ACAGCAAGCTGAATGGTATTTGTAATAGCTGGGGCTGGGCAAGGAAGAAGAGAAAATTGGATCCAAAGGGAGAAAGCTGTCGATTGCTGACATGACTGATGAAACTAATTCTATTGAAACACAACAGCAGGACCCTTTCAGCTGATCTGCAGCCATTACGGGTCCTGTCGAGTAAGCCCTCGGTACCACCGCACTGGAAGTCCGTTTCTTCCAAAACAGGCACAAATCAAATGAAATCGAGACCGACACCTACATGGGCAGAGAAGAAGAAAAAAGCTCAGAATGACTTCCCGTCAGAAGCTGGGGTATTGTGATATAACACCGACCCAAAGGCCCAAGTATTCGTACAAAAAATCCAAATGGAAAGACACAATCCATTTCCCTGCATTGCCCTCGACTCGGAGGAGATGCCATGATGATCCTAAGCGCCCACCATGATGTATATGATTTCCCTAAAGTGCCAAGTGTTCCTATGCGACACACCCTGAGATTTCCAAACAAACCGCTGCCTATTGAAGGCTACCCAACCATGATACTGGCTATGATATGAAAAGTAAAGCACGGAGAATATGAAACGAGTTGAGAGACAAAGAAAAAAGTCGACAGGGGATATAGAGGAGGAAAAGAAACGAGAGTATTAGAAAAAAACAAGTAGAGAGTATAGAGGAATGAGTGAAGAGAAGCCCATGCAGCCAATGTATACCTGCCAGGCCCTACCCCAAGAGATTGGCAATAGCCATCCTTGAGTCAGCTGGGTCGGCGGCGGCGCTCATGTTCGGAGATGGCAGCACCCCGTTCTTTGCCCAGTGAGGGTCTATTCTGGGCAATTCGTTGGTTTGCATTCCTAGCCCCCTTGTCAGCTCCCGCGAGGCCGGGCCAGACAGCGAGTATCTGGCAAGGTCCGAGCCAGAACGCTGTGAGAACGAGTGCGTAAATGGCGACGGCTCGGGGGAATGAGACGAGGGACGCCAACCATCGTGGTGCTGAACGTATCCAATGCCGCTCTGGCCAAAGGGCGAAGCTTCGTAGTGTGTGTGTGGGTAAGGGGCAGCACGGCGATGCAAAGGGGGCTGAGGCAAGTCTGGTGACTGGGCCAGCGGCCGATACCACACCGGAGGGGAGTGGCGAGACGCTGCGGCAGCTTCCGTGAAGTGTCCCCAGGGTGATGCTGTGGACAGCGTGTAGTTGTTGTTGTTGCCGCCGTCTGAGTCGGCCATGTCGGAGAAGGTAGGCGATTCCAGGGCGTGAGAGCCGCACGGCGACGGAGTCAGGGCAGAGACGACGGTCGAAGAAGTAACAGCAGTAGCCGAGGTGGTAGTCGCGGACCCAGAAGAAGCGGAAGCGGAAGTAGAAACGTCGGAGCGAATAGACAGCCTTGAGCCCCGTCGCCCGGCGTTCTGGTGATGGCGTCCCTCGGCTCGCCTCGTCTTGTTGACGAGCCCGTTGACGTAGTTCTTGATGGCATTGTCGCTGCGTCCGGGCAGGTGCTCGGCGATGCGCGCCCAGGCCGTGCCGTATCTGCCGTACAGGTCCATGATGGCCCGGGCCTCGTCCTCGCTGATGGGGTCGTGCCGCAGCGACGGATCGAGGTTCTGGTGGTATCTTTCGCGGCACTGCTTTGCGTTGCGCGAACTCATGAAGGAGGCGATGCTGACCCAGTCCTGGGGGCCCATGAGCCGCACCAACGTCACCAGCCGCTGGCTCTCTTCGGGAGTCCAGGGGCCTTTCCTAGGTGACAGGACGCCACTCCTCATGACGACGGTCCGGAGAGAGGTTGGCGTCATGGTCATGAGCTTTTCGGTAGGGATGAATTCGACCTCTCGGGGGGCGAGGGGAGGGGCCACGACCGCCATGGCTTGATGATCTGAGTGAAAGATTGGCGAAAGACAGGATACAATGGATATTGTATTGTACAAGTCCTGTGACTGGAAATGGGACAAAGATCCAGAGTTGAAGGTTTGTGCAAAGAGAAGATCAATGTGTGATGCTGAATGGTCGAGGGTAGCAGAGAAAGGATCTGATCAAGGACGAAACTAGTTTGGTACAAGCCAGCAGGGAGAAACCGAATCGGCACAGGAGAAACTGCAGTCCACAACGGCCGGATCCTCTCGAGGGAGCGGATCTTTATAAAACAAGCAGAAGTAGATCGAAAAGGCTAAGCAGGCCGGGCAATTTCCTAGGGATCGGCCTCGTATGTCTGTGCTCATGAGAAGCAGAGGAAGAAGAGGGAAAAATAGAGGCAGATGGAGGGGGGAGGGGTGGATGTAGCACCGGCAAGGCGCTGACAGGGGGGGGTGTTTAAATGGCGGGCTGGGTTGACGGTTACAGTTGGAAGGCACCTTAGATCTGCGCTTGTGATCGAGAGACTCGTGCCTGAGGTACCGGAATCGCGCCAGCTGTGCAGGAAGTACGGGCGCGATACTTGCGTGCGTACTGACGTAATAAATCGAGGTACCGCGTCCATAGAGGCATATTGCACGTAACAGAGTGGTACTGCTTCGCTGCGGCCGCGTCCAGCGTTCTTGCCAGCGCTGCAATCTGGAGCCAGCAGCCGGTACCGCAGCCGTACCGAGACACTCGAGCCCCTTGTAGCCGATACGGGACCGTTCGGTGCCTGTACCTGCTGCACTGACGATGTGGGGGAGGGCAGGTCCAGGCACCTGGTTGGCTGGCTTGGGAATCCCGAAATCTTTCGGGCCTGAGAAGTGACCGATGCGCCACCAGAATCAGAAAATCACACACCAGCAGCTCAGACATTCCCGGCCCTGGGTTCGGGGACCCCACAGGCTGCGCAGCAAGGTTGCCGATACCGACATGAGCAGCGAGCCGTGCGTGCAAGTGCAGGTAGCAGATACGAAAACACAAGGTAAAGAGCAGATATCATTTCGAGTGGTATTTCATAAGGTAGCCAATGTTTGTGCACGTAATGCTAGTACCCAGTGACACCTTAGATTAGGTATTCCGCATATACCTGTAGTAGCCTGCAGGTACAGGAGAAGCCCGGCGTACGGGTACGAGGGCAAAGGCAGGGGGGCAGGGGCAACGACTGACTCCAACGCGAGATGCGATGAGATGCATAGATCTGGTACAGGCAAGCAATACCTACCTAGCCACGGCAAAAGACCAACAGGTCCGAAGTACAAGGTGCATGCCTGTACAAGCAGAGGTTACGGTAAGGGATACGTGTCCAACAAGCACAACTACAATACATGTGTATCCGTAGGTATGTAGAAGGCCGAGGCTTTGGCCCCATATACCGTGTACGAAGAAATATATCGAATTCCAGGCACTCGGCTTCTATTTCATCCTACCTATGAATACGTACGTTAGGGTTCGGTAAGATTGGGATGCTATCCAACGATAATGTCAGGTACTGGCCATTCAGAGGACAGCATAACTTCGTCCGCCTCTTGCTAGGGGCAAGCAATGCAGGCCGGATGACGAGGAAGACGGCGAGACTCCAAAGTTCAATAATTGCATATTCCATACTTTGAATAATACATGCCGAGCCTACCTTACAGATAGCTGGATGGACTATAACATCTCGGTTTATACGCATCCGAGTCTGCGTATGCCTTGTGCGGCCCCAACAGGCACACTCAGCCCGCATGAAAGAGTTTGTTGGAGGAGGTAAGGTAGGTAAAGTAATGACCAACCTGTCGGTACCTTATCCAGCGCGGCCAGCTGAGCCACCCTTCTTTTCCACCCTCACCTGCCCTGTCCATCTTTATGTTTCTTTGCTTTTTTACACTGCAAGGGAGAGTGTTTGCGCCTGTGCATGGGCAGATTGATCGCCGAGGTGGACGAGACAGACTCCGAATAGTCGGGAAAGCTAAACCACATCTGAAGTCAATGGCAACAACAGCCCGTGCAGCTAAACAAAAGCATGCATCGTCCTCACATTTCCACCCCTTTTCTTTTCTTTTCTTCCGACCCAACGCCGCTATTTTAGGTAACCCATCCGAGAAGGGAGAAGGAGGGGGTGCAAGCGAAGGGGGAGGAAACGAAGCAAAACATGTGTCTGCTGGAACCGCACGAACCCGCCTTTTTCAATGTACGTGAGAGACAAGAGGCAGCCTTGGCGGGAAGGTCATGTGCGGCGGTTGTAAGTGTGGTTATTCAGGAGGATACGCGCCGTCATTGTTCTCTCTTGTGACGTCTTGATTCGGCAAGGCTGCATTTGATATTGAGAAATTTAGGATGAAGGCCGGACAGGTCGTATACAAGGATAGGCCAGTGAGATCCGAGCTAACATGCGATTTGGCGCAGTCGAGAACCTCGACAGTTCAAAGGCTGAACTTTCGTCTTTCCGGCTGCTCGGCCGTGTCTCAAGGGATCGACCATCGGCTATTTCATCGCGATCGAAGCTCGGCGTAAAACCACGACTTGCCCCTGTGCTAGGGATACGCGTTGAGAGACGCCAACGGAGACGGAGGAAGAACGCATGCAACTATCTTTTGGGTACAATTGGTGCTTGAGGTCATAGTCATTCCTGAGTGGCGTGCGGCAGGCGTTATGTGAGCACCGGGATTGAAATGTAGAAATTCATGATTGTCCCTGCGGAGGTCGAGGTATGAATTCATGATAGCTCAGAGGCGCAGATGTATAGCTCGGCTCCCTGAAGATGGATGAGACGAGACGCTGGCTTCGTCATTTCGATTTGAGAATCATTTGCCAAAGGCGTATACATATCGAACATCGAGGCTGAGGCACATGCCATTAGGAGCTGTATCGGTGAAAGTAAGGGCGCAGAACAGCCGAGAGTATCAACAGTCTCGTCAGCTTTGGCTGTCTCTCGCTCTCTCTCATGATGATAGATGGCAGCTTGTTATGAGGCATATGGTGAACGACGACAAGCCCCGTGCAAGCAACAATTGCTGGTGGTTTGAACGGGAGGAAGAGGAGCAACGTGCCTGGAGAAGGGGGAAACCAGCCAGAATAGCTCATCACCAGCGTTCATGAGATGCGAGTAGGTGCAACTGTAACTCCAGCTTCCCGAGATGGACAGAGCACCCGAAGACAGTAACTGTTTATGTCAGGCGTATCCGTTGCACAGGCTCTGTATTTGTAATGCCTCTGTAATCAATAATTCCATGACTGTAGATGAAGAAGCTCGTGCAATTTCCCTCGTTGACAAGGCGGCCACTCCCGGGTAAGCTGGCTCGTAGCAACTGTCGCTGACTGGGGAGCCGTTTCTTGGCCGGATATCATCTTAACGAACGAGGTATACGTACTGGGTGAAGTCCAGATGGGGATTGGAGAAGAGGTTTCCAACTCCGCAGCCTGAGTCTAAGAAGGAGAACAAGATGAACGAGAAGGGAGAAAGGCAGAGAAGAGAAGATGAGTCCCGCGCGTCAAGTAATGAGTAAGCGTCAGCTGGTCTCTCATAATCCGCAAATCTGTGCTTACCAATGTAAGGGATATGCAGCCAGGAAGAAAAGCAGCCGCCATTTTGTTGATGAAGATGGGGCCTCCTGACTCTACCAATGCCTTGCAGGAGAGCCAATCTGAGCAACATTCGGTTCGTATGTATTTGACAAGATCTTGATAGAGCTGAAGCAGATAAGGTAAGATGGTTGAGCTCTTGGACGCTTTCATTTCCAAAACTCCGCCGGCGAGACGAGCGGGAAGCCGGCGCTAACGACGCTGATTGGCTGGCAGGCTTTGCGGCCCATTCTAGAAGAGCTTGTCCTCACCGCGCGGCTGCTGGGGGTTGATTGCAAGAAGATACAACCTGTGGATATCTTTTCCGTCTGTGATGTTGCTGGAAGAATCTAGAGATGTCTAATATTGATTAAGCGTTGATATTCCCAGTTCCAAGAGGAAGAAGGGATTCTTGGTAAGAAAACCGGGGTCAGGAATGCCGAAGAGAGTATACTGATTTACACGTATCACGCTTCTATAAGGTACCTACCTACCTAGGAAACATGCCCAAAGAAGAAGAAGGGGCAATGGATAGAGCGTTGGCATGTCGGAAATGCCCGCGGTTACTCAGCAATACCTACCTAATGGTGACGGAAAAGCTGAGCTGGTCCCTATTCCGCGGATTTCTATTCAAGCTTGAATCTCGGCATTCGCCACTATGTTCCTCCGCTCGTCTGCCGGTTCAATAGTTGTTTATTCCCGACCTATTCTTGGGTGCGAGATCTGCGATTACACCATCGACGTATGTAAGCCACCTTAGGCAGTACCTATCTAGGTAGTGCAGCAGATGTAGCGCGCGCGTCTGAAATTCCCAGCTTCTAGACTGCTACACTACCGCCAACCTCGCTCTACTGCCTCCGGACATTATGCTGTGAAAATCTCTTTCAATCTGCCATGGTGGAGCCTCGCACCTGTACGAAATGCCGAATGCATAGCTATTCTTATTAATCATCTGAGCGTCGGTAGGTAGCCGGCGCTGGCTGAATCACCAAGCACAGCGTCTCACATGTGCTCTGACACAGCATCCTGATCCTTGCGTGTCATTGCTTGGACAGCTTTGTCCCGGCCACAATGGGTACAGGGGCTGCGGAGTATCATGTCCACACATCGGGCATGGCAGTATATATTCAGCCCGATGCCCTGTTTCCACAGCCGTGCTCGCCTCCTCGCTACATCACCACAGACACCAAATAAAACACTCGCCTGATCTGTCTCCCAACCCCCTACTCTCCCACGAAGCAGGCAACGCACCGTCCAAGATGAAGACCATTGTTGTCCTCGGCGTCGGCATGGCCGCGACGCCTCTCATCCGCCAGACCATGCGCAACGTCGTCCTCAAGGACAAGGAATACAACCTCATCGTCGTGGCCCCAACCACTCACTTCCACTGGCCCATTGCCATGCCCAGAGTCATTGTGCCTGGTCAGCTGTCCGAGGACAAGGCCATGATTGACATGCGGCCCATCTTCAAGGAGTATCCCTCGGACCAGTTTGAGTTCGTCCTCGGCGCCGCCAGCGCCCTGGACCCCACCAGCAACACCGTCGCTGTCTCGCTCAACGACGGCGGCAGCCGGACCATCAACTACCACACCCTCGTCGTGGCCACCGGCACCTCGTCCAAGGACAACATGCCGTGGAAGGCCATGGCCACCACCGAGCAGACCAAGCAGCGCGTGCACGAGCTCCACCAGCAGATCGAGAAGGCAAAGACCATTGTCGTCGTCGGCGGCGGCCAGACAGGCTCCGAGACGGCGGGCGAGCTGGGCTTCGAGTACTCCAAGCAGGGCCGCAAGGAGGTCTACTTCATCTACAACGACAGGCTGCCCCTGGCGCCGCCCCTGATGGAGAGCGTCCGCAAGCAGACCAAGACGGAGCTGGAGAAGCTCAATGTCAAGCTGATCCCCAACACCAAGGTCACCGTCGTGGAGCACTCGGGCGACGACACCATCCTGACGCTGACGGACGCCAAGGGCAACATCACCAAACTCACGACGCAGGCCTACATCCCCACCACCGGAGGCATCCCCAACAGCTCCTTTGTGCCGGCCGACCTCCTGGACAGCAACGGCTTCATCCACCAGACCAAGTCCCTCCAGGTCAAGGGCCACGACAACATCTTCGTCCTCGGCGATGTCGGCAGCCTGGAGGAATGCAAGGCCGGTGCCGCGGATGCCCAGGCCGTGCACCTCATCAAGACGCTGCCCATCTACCTCAAGGGCGGCGTCATGCCCGTGTACAACCCGAACACCAAGGTCATGGTTGGCATCACGCTGGGCCGGAGCCGCGCCACTGGCCAGATGGGCTCGTTTAAGCTCTTCAGCTTCCTCATCCACTATGCCAAGGGCCGATTCCTGGGTACCGACTACTGTCATCTGATTGCCGCTGGCAAGAAGACGCTGATGACGACGTACGAGAAGTAAGCGTCTGAAGACTCATCTTTGGCCGATGGGAGAAATGCCGTGTTAATAGAAGAGTGTTGTTGTTGTGACGGTATTGCGTGGTGGTGTTGTGTCAGAAGCACCTGGGATGTGCTTCTTTGTCGACCCTTTTATTGTCTATGCCTTCACTTTTCGTTTCTAACTAGATATCCACTTTCTGTTTTCTTTCAGTTGCTTGATCAAAAGGTATCCAGATGCGGAGGCGATGTCATAGGTACCTCATATTCATTGTGGCAACATTTCGTGGTGGCCATGATGCTTGCCTCGCTCTGTTCTAAGAGAATCGAGGCGGCAGCACTTGGGCAGCATACATGTAGATAGACTTGTTTAATGGCAGAAGTTGATTGTCGCTCGAGCAACTTTAACTGGTGTGAATTATCGTATACATATTGATAAACAGGGGGTACGGCAGCAGGCTGACTATGACTCTCAGAGACCTGTGTGTTATCGAAGTCCATACAAAATGCCTTGATTCACAGTTGAATGCCGTCACATGTGATTCACAAACCTGGTCAAGCGGTCGTCAGAAAAAGCGAGACTAAAATTTCGTGATGAACACACAAGCTTCCCAATACGCACATAGTCTACGTCAGAGTCTTCGACTGTACATGATGCACATCCTTTGAAGCTGTGTGCGTAAATCTGAACTCTAGTCTCGCTTTTTTTGACGACCGCTTGCTGGTGACGATACAGTGAGCCGATGCAGTCTGTTGTTACCTGTACCTGCGGGAGACACGACAGGTTCGGGTGGTACTTGGTGCCTCACGAGCTGCTGGTCAAGATCCGATGTACTGACCGCTGCTACCTTCAATTCATTAAGTTGTTGTACCTTGCCTTAGTCATCTCCAACTGGTCCAATTCATAGATGCAATTCCCAATGCGGAAAGAGCGCTTGAAGCAGTCAAAGCCCCACTCCCATTAGCCTCCCAACCAATCATAGCTTGACCTCTCCGGTGCTCGACAACCTGGAGGTACGTAGAGTTACTTCCGCACTGTACCTTTGGAGCATCAGGATGCGACGCCGCGATCCGCAACTTCAAGTCCTGCAGCCTCGTCTCTCTTTCACCAGCACTCCCATTCACCCACAGCCACTGTGAAGCAGAGGCGAGGAGAGGAGGGACAGAAGAGAAGGGAAAGAGCATCGAAAGCCACTGTCTCGGCCTTGGATCACCCACGTCTCACGAATCGACGGGCTCTATGGCTGTGGTGAGCTGGTTGTCCTACCCTTCAAGGGCATCCAGTCCGTGACAGCACCTCGACTTTCGCCTCACAAACGACTTCGTCTTCGACGTGTGAGCCCTCGAACAGCCCTCTTGATAGCGGCGCACACATAGAGACACGCCGCGCCAGCAGCATCACCAATCCGCCACGACAACTTCGACAATATACCCTCAGCCGCGACACCTCTGCCGCCGCGCTTTTCCCACCTCCGTCTCTCCCACCCCGCTGCGAGGCGCGACACCTACCATGACCATGGACCGGCGCAACACGGCCAGGGAAGCTCTCCGCGACTCCGTCAAGTGCTGGTCCGACTTTGTCGCCAAATGCCTGACGAAGCGCCTCGATGCCGGCCCCTTTGAGGACTACGTCAAGCTCGTCTTCGCCAAGCACCCGCTGACCCCCGAGGTCATCGCCGACTTCCTGCTGCAGCCGCAGGCGGCCAATTGCGTCAGCCCCGACCCGCGAATCCCGCCGTACGTCTCCGTGCTCACCCACCTGCGGTACGTCGACGCCGTGTCCATCCTTCGGTCGCTGTATAGATACTCGTCGCTGCACGCGCAAACGCCGCTGCAGGCGCAAGAACAAGAACAAGGCCAAGGCCAAGGCCAAGGCCAACAACAAGAACAAGAACAGAAACAGCTTCAAGAACGAGAGCAGGAGCAAGAGCAAGGCCAAGAGCGAGAACGAGAAGAACGAGAAAATGCACCAGCGAAAGAGCAGGAGCACGAGAAGGCATTGCTGAGCGACGCCAAGCACGACGCCCAGCACGATGCCCTACGGCCATCCCGAACTCGGTGGAAGAGCTCGTCCTGGCTCGAAGAGGTCATGTTCTATCACGTCATACGGCTGGTAGTCGAAGGCACTGCGTTCAAGGATTCGCGCACGGCTCTCGAGCTTATCCATGTTACCTCCAAATGGATGTCTCTGTTTGCCGCCGCATCCAATTCCATGGCTGCCGAAGTGCTCAGTGGCACCTTGCAGGATCCCCAAGTCCGCCATGATATGGAGGTCTCGAGGGCTGCTTTTGTCCCTCTGCTGCTTCGGCTAGTCGATAACCCGGCTCTTGTCAAGGTCATTAGCCACCCGTCTGCTAAAGGTATGCGTTCCTGTGGCCGCCATTTGTCCGAAAGGCATTGGTTCCTCCCCCTGGCCCGTCATGTGCTCACCATTATTACCAGCGCCGCGGAAAGAATTCTCGGACAGCCTCACATCTTTTGTGCATGTTTTTCAGCCTGTCCCACCGTTCGTGGAGAAGCTCGAAATGTTCCGAACAGAAGTCCTAGCCCCATTGGACCCGGTGGATAAGAACAGCCAAGCTGCCAATGCCATGGATGAACTCCTGGACTCTACCGTGGGCTTGGATAACCTGATGATCCCTGATATGCCGATAACCAACACACGGGCAGGCTTATACGTTTACCTTGGCGCTTCTGTTCGTTGACATTTCCGAAGTCTCCTCTCTCGGAAATATGTGCTGACTATTGTACCAGCTTGTCGGCCGGCCACTCATAGACGACCATGCGTTTTTCTCATATCTGAACAACAGATACCAGGTTTGTTCTCACATCAGGTGTCAAAACAGCTTTTATAGACCTGTTACTGACGACTTACACAGGGAAACAACCAGCAGAGCGCGATTGACTTGATTCTGGCGTCTTTCGACTTGCTTGCAAATGCCGTCTTCAGGAATGAAGGACCCAGAGATGCCCACCTGCTACGGTCTTTTTTGACAAACAAGGTGCCTTTGATACTCGGTCAACTGTGCCCCCCCGGCTTTTCCACGCCATCGGCCGAGTTTTGTATCACCCAGGCTCTCTCTCAAGTTGATACAAGCGTTTTCCCTACCGCGTCACTCATGTTTGATGAATCAAGGAATAATAACCCCTACACAGAGAGTGTTAGGGAAGAATTCTGTTCCGCTTGTGCTCTCCACGGGCTGATAGAGCGTGAACACGTGGAGCGGATTCTGGGAGAGAGCTCCATGTCATATGAACCTTCTCAGGAGAAATATTCCAAGGAGAAGTTGGTTCAGAACTGTCTCTCTGACCCAGACAAGATCCAAGCCCTTGTTCGTGACATGGACAAGATGGACGGCAATGTCGGGGCAGTATGCCAGGCGCTTGTAGAGGTTTGCCTTCCCAGCTCCCGCCCCCTCTTGGCTGTTTTTAGAGCAGGCAATGACTAACGGAGGAAACGATGTCAGTTACTGCGACAACTCTGTAATAGCAAGGAAACAATGTCCTTGAAGATTCTCTGTAACCAGCTGGTCCAGAAGCCACAGTCTCTCGACGTTTTGCTTTTGTTCGAGAAGCTGCCGACTATCTTGGATCCCATATGCCAGCTTTTGGACGGCTGGCGGTACGAGGAGGATCAGGGGGAGTACCAGCCTGTCTATGAGGAATTTGGCGCCATCCTGCTGCTGGTGCTGGCCTTTGCGTACCGATACAGCCTATATCCAGCCGACATTGGTATTCTGGCGACAGACTCGAGCGTTGCCAAGATCATCGGCCGAGCTCATATCAGCCGTGGGCTGGACCGGCTGTCGGAGCAGGAACACGGACATCTTGGCGGATGGATCCATGGACTCTTTGACAGCGACGCAGGGGGGCTGGGGGATGACTTGATGTCGTCTTGCCCACCTGCAGAATTCTATCTCCTCATTGCGACGCTGTTTGAAAACATTGTAATGGCATATACCCAGGGCTCCCTAACCGACGATTCCCTCAAGTCGGGCGTTGAGTGTAAGTGACTAGCGATTTGCGGCTGCCCGTTGCTCATGGGGCTCACTGACTGTTTACAGACCTGGTTGATACCTTCTTGCTGCCGTCGCTCATTCCCGCGATTCGGTTCTTGTCCGATTACCTATGGGTCGAGCAGAGGGAGCAGAAATCCATCATCAAAATCCTGCAGCTCATCCTGCTGCCTACGTCCATTTCTGGCGAGGCCAGTACCATGCTTGCCTCGGTGAAGGGGATTGTCGCGAAGCCGCTGGAGCACTCCCTGCGAGCATACCAGCGACAAGACCCAAAGAACCAGGACATTGAGCCGCTGCTGAGGGCTCTGAAGGATAGCTTGCCCCATTCCAGGCGGACGGGAGCTGCCGAGCATCAAGAGCTGGAGATGTGGACTGCCAGCTCCAGCAGTGGTCTTGCCGGGGCTGCCAAGCATCTGATACAGAATCTGGTGCAATGGGGCATGCATCCAGAGATGACGGCGATGCCAACCTCGTACACGCATCGGCAGATGATCGCAACGCTCAAGATTGTGGGCGCAAGCAGGCTGCTACGTGTCATGTTAGAGGAGATCCGCCAGCAGACTCTGGCGGGCAGCGGGAGCATCGCCTACGACGTAGTGACGGCGCTGGTTTGTGCGCCGAACGTGAGCAATGAGCTCCCGCTGACGAGTGGCCTGCTGGACGAAACGGGAAGCCTGCCTCCGCCGCTGCAGCGACGTCTCACTCTTCGAGAAGTCCTCAAGATGGAGGCTGAGAACTACAGGAAACTGCACAAGAAGGATCCCGAGCTGGCAGAGATCACGGTCCGGCTCTATAGGAGAGTCGAGGCACAGTTGGTCCTGCCGCCACCGCCGACGATGCTGCAGGCAGCCGATATGCAGCTCGATCTGGCCGGCGACGCGACAGGCCTGGGGGATCCCATGGCCGCGGCCGCCGGAGTCCAGGGAGACGGCACGATGGCGATTGACGGCGTGGGCAACCTGGACATGAGCATCGGTGGCGTCTCGGCCGATATGGGCCTGGGAGCGTCTGGCAACAGCGGTGGGCTGGATGCGTCGGCAGAGGCGGATCTGTTTGGCGGCTTGGACACGGACATGGATGTGTTTGACGGATGGAGCGGCATGGATCTCAGCAGGCCATGATTGCAGAGCACTTACTGCCTGCTTGCATACATGCGTACGAGGAGACACTTGAGATGAGATAGGCACCTGTGGTATAATGCGGCTGTGACGTCTCCCTTTGATGGATATAGCTTACCTAGAGATGATGATGAGAGGATGCAAGAGAGGGCAACTAAGCTGTTTGATGTGGAGAAGCCTTGCATAGAGAAAGACTTCATGTGACCAAGTAGTACATACCCAGTATTATCTACGAGCATGAGTCTTCTGTCTCGTCCTTGTAAGTTGAAGCCATCGCAGTGCCTATTCGGGCTAGCCAACCCCAACCAGCCGGTCGCATCTCCGGGTTACGTAAGGCGGGGCCTGCCACGAGCTGTGGCCACATTTCTGTAAGGTGGAATCTCTGGGGCCATTTTCCGTGTCACCCAGAAGATACAAAGCAGCTTCAGCTCTCGACTCTCTCTCTCTCTCTCTCATTCTCTCCTCTTCCTCTTCCTCTTCCTCCTCCTCATCTCCCCTCAATTCTTCGAGGTTCAACCAATTGGGCCGGGCCGAGCTTGGGTTCTCTTCGTCTTCGTCTTCGTCTTCGTCTCCGTCTCCGTCCATCGTGTCCCCCGCCGTCATCATGCTGTTCAAGTCGTCTCTCGTGGCCTTTCTGGCCCTGCGGGTCTTTGGCGCCGTCGCTCAGGTTCGTTTATATGATAATGATGATGATGATGATGATGTGTGATGGGGTCGCATGATGCGCCATCAGGTCAATTGGAAAAAGTAGAAGCTCACATGCACGCGCACAGTCTGACGCCGACTTCCTCGCCGACGACGCCAGCCAGCCGCCCGCCACGCTCAACGCCGACATCAGGACCACGTTCCCCGACTCGGACATCCTGGGCGTCAAGCTGGTCAACGGCCGTCCCACGACGGCGCTGATCGAGGTCACCAACAAGGAGGACGGCGCCATCCAGGTCGTCTTCGCCAACGGCGCGCTGTGGACCACCAAGGACCTGCCCGAGGACGCCCCGGCCTACCAGGGCATCGTGCGCAACCTGACGGCCGTGCAGTACAGCCTGGAGATTGAGCCCGGCGAGACAAAGTCCATCCCGTACTCGTTCGCCCTCGACATGATGCCCCAGGACGTGCGCCTGCGCCTGCTGGCCGTCTTCACCAACGGCAAGGGCGACATCTTCCAGGTTCCTGCCTACGACGGCGAGACGTCCATTGTCGAGGCCCCCACCAGCTTCCTCGATCCTCAGATGTATGTCTACAAAGCTTGACTGATTGGTGTCTGTTATTATATGCGTGGTGGTGGCTAACTCTCGTCGAACTTGCAGCATCTTCCTCTACCTCGTCCTCACGGCCGTCTTCGGAGGCACCCTCTTCTTCGTCTACAAGACCTGGATCGAGGCGCTCTTCCCCCAGGCCAAGCGCCCTCGCACCGCCAAGAAGCCCGTCCAGAAGCCCATTGACCCCGCCGATGCCCTCTCCGGCTCCGAGTCCGCCGGCAAGTCGTACGACGAGAGCTGGATCCCGGACCACCACATCAACCGCCCCGTCGCCAAGCGCGTCAAGTCCAGCGCCAGCAAGAAGAAGGGCGCCGAGTAGAGAAGAAGCGAAGAAATGGGAATAAAAGGACGACAGAAGTTGGGCTGAGTGGGTTGGTGTTTGGTCTTCTGTGGGGAGAGAGAGGCGAAAGGTTTTCGTCTTTTCTCCCCTTATGCCCCCCTCCTGTGACGACAGCACTTCTCTGTGGAATGGCTATTACGGAAGTCGTAATGTGTAGCAACAGCACCCCTTTTCGCTGTCATTCATACTCTCTTTGACGGGATATCCAGCACCAAACCGGACCCCATGGAGATTGTTGAGGACTGGACTGTGATTGATGTTAGACATGAAGCTCGTGGTCTTTTCTTCTTGTTCTTCTCTTCTTACGTCTTTAATCTGAGAATAAAGAAAGGCTGCTGAGCTTGGGCTGGAATGGGGACACGGCCTTGGGGGGTTTGGGATATAACACAATTGTAAGAAAAGGAATCATGTACAATACGAAGGGAGTGAGAAACGATAATGAATTTCATATCTTTTAAAAGTATTTCATTCTCTGAATTATCCCATGTATCAAGTTCTAGGCGCATGTATCGATCATGTTGGTGTATACATACATATATCATGGATCTCTTTGAAACGTCAAAGAATGGTTCTACATCCCCCCTTTCAATTCCCTCTTGCCATTGACATGTCCAAACAGACACTCCCACAAATCGCTCCGGTCCACCATCTCGCCCGCAGACCGGTCCTTGCTCATGAGCTTCGACAAGGCCGCCTGCTCCAGCTCGAGCGTATTCGCCTCGTCGATGTTCGCATCCAGCAGCTCCGACGTCGACGCCGCCGCTTCCTCCCCTTGCCTGCCGCTGCCGCCGAGATTGTTGTTGTTCCTCCGCCCCATGTGCTCCATGCGGCGCCGCACGGAGAGGTTGTAGATGGACTCCTCGACCGTGCCGGAGACAATGTACAGCCACACCGTCGTCTCGTGCTGCTGCCCGATGCGGTCGACGCGGGCAATGGCCTGCAGCTCGAGGGCCGTGTTGAGCAGCGGCTCGCAGAGGAAGACGTGGCTGGCGTTGACGAGGTTGAGGCCGCTCGAGTGGGCCCGGGCGTGGAGGAGGAAGCACTCCACGGCCGGGTCGTCCTGGAAGCGGCCGATGCCGTCGGCGTCGTCGATGGAGGCGTGGCCGATGCGGAAGCGCGCAAAGGCGTTGCGCAGGATGTTGAGGAAGTCCTTGTACTGCGAGAACACAATCGACTTTGCGCCGGGATCGGACTCACGCAACCACATCAGGTGCCGGACCAGGGTGTCTACTTTGGTCGTGAAGGACGGCCCGTCCAGCTCAATGTTCTTCATCTGCTCGAGCTGCTCGGCGTCAAACTCGGAGTAGAGCACCATCTGCTTCGAAGAGCCGCGGCGGCTTCCCTGCAAGCCGTCGCCGTTGCTGGCGGCGCTTCCCTGAGACCGCCGGCCCGTTTCCTCGCCATGCACCTGGAGCTGTCGGGGTTTGATGACGATGTCGTGCAGGTTGTCCGCCTTGAGCGCCCTCTTGCAGACGGGGCAGTTGCGGTGGGATTTGAACCATATCATGATGCACTCCTTGCAGAATTGGTGGCCGCACACGGTCAGGACGCCGGCCGTGAAGGGCATCTGGCAGATGACGCACATGCGAGGCTCGCTGGATTGGGCACCCGTCTCCTTCAGGCTCATGACTGTTCATTCTTCTCGTCAGCTTTGGCTATCAATTTATTGAGGACAATCTTGGTCCCCCCTCTGGGAGGCTTTCCACCACCCAAACTTACGGTATCGATGCTTGGCTTCGCCGTTCAACAGCCTTCTGTGGAGGTCCTCAATGTTCTTCTTGGCCTTTTCAATGGCCTCTTCCGTCTTCGGTGTTTCCAGAGGGAGCACGTCGTCCGAGACGGCCTGCAGCTGTCGATAGAAATCCAGTCGCGCATTCATGGCTCTTTTGAAGCTCTCGATTTCTGCTTCCAGAGCCACTGCCACTTTGTTCTGCTCCCCGAGCAGCGTCTGGGTCGACTTCATCAACTTGGAAGCAATCGTAGACTCCACAAGTTCTCTCTGGCTCTGGTTTGTGTCTCTGGTGAGTCGAGATACCAGGCTGCGCAGCTCGCTGATGGCGCCGCGCATGGACATCTTGGCTGTCCTGGGCTTGACCTCAGCGCATCTGCGGACCAGCTCCATGAGCTTCTCCGGAGCAGGCCCGGCTCCTTCTTTCGCTAGCCTCATGGACGTCTCCAGCTCATGCGTCACCAAGCCATTCATTTGGCCCGATATGGCAAACTGACGGTCGGCAATGATGACCCGAAGGACCTGAACGTACACCATCAGTTGTTCCTGGATCTTTGTGGAATCTGCGAGTTCCTCTCCGGTAGTCTCCGTACTCTCTTCTTCATCGACAAGTGGTCGAAGAAGGAGCTGAACAACTTGCTCTCTCCATTCGTCAATCAAGTTTGCTTGTTCGTTGAGCTCATCATAGAGAATCTCCAGATCGTCGACGATGTTGCCTGTTTCGATGCCTTTCTCACTCTTCATGACGAGCTCTGGTATCTCGACAAAGGACTGCTCTCCGGCCTTGATTGCAATCTTCTTGACGAGCCGCATGGCCTTGCGATGGCCCTGCTCGAGTATCTTCCTCCGGAGCATCTTGGCAGTCTCATAGCTATCGTCCTCGAGCTTTTTCAGCCGCTCAAAATCTTCCGACCCAGGCGCCGTCATCTCTGGGTTGTCCCGAATCTGGAAATATGCGTTGGCGCAGAAGAAGACGGCCTTGTGATGCAACTCAAGGCTGTTCCTCAGCCTGTTCTGCAGTTCGCCCAGCTTGCCTCTACTTCCAGCTTCTTCCTCTGCCTCTTCATCCGACTCACTGTCCGAATCCGACAGTTCCTGCACCCTCCCGGACAACTCGCTCGCGTCCTCGATCCCTCGCTTCTCTCGCAGCGCATCTCGAAGTGCTGCTTGGGCATCTTCCACCAATTTGGCAGACTCACTCTGTACCTTTTCCCAAATCTTGAGGGCTTCCCTAACCCGAGGGCTGTTTTCGTACAGCTGACCCAGGTACAGCTTGCTCGAAAGATAGGCACGTTCATCGGTGCGAACAGCGACCTCGCCTTGCTCTAACATGGCGTTCAGCACTTCTTCCACCGTCCTCATCGGGCGTTCCTTGCTTCCCAGCACTCGGCGTCCGTAGACGCCCACCTCTGGATGAAGAGCAGTCTGTCTCAGTCTGTTGAGCCACAGTCTCATGACATCTTCATACTCCTCTGGATCCCAATCATCGGTCAGTGGGGCTCCTTCTGCGCTGAGCTTGCAAGCTTCTGCCATTTCCTTGTACAGTGACTGGTAGTGCTGCTCTTCTACTGCCGTAAAGGGCATGCTTATAACAAATCGCCTCTGCGGTGGTAGAGAAATCTCATCCCTCACCAACGCCTTTGTATGCCGGACGGATATCGACCCAAACAGCTGCTGGAACAGTGGCTTGTGGTGCGTGGTGAGCGCCTGCCACACCTGCGGAGCAGAACAGTAGGGCTCGTATCTCAAAAAGGAGAGCAAGCCAAGCAGGTCCTTGACATCGTCTTTGACCGGTGTTCCCGTGATGCCCCAAGCATGGACTCGAGGAATCACTCTGGCCAATGCAGCCGCCTGGCTGACGCCGCTTTCAATCATCTGCGCCTCGTCGAGACATACCCTCCACCATAGTATCTGGACCAGGGGCGAGAGGACTCGACGGTATGCCCTTTCAAACCTTCGGGACCGCTCAGGGGGGTTGATGGCAAAGTGAAGCTCTGCAGATAGGACACTGTAGGTCGTCACTACCACGTCGTAGCCGGCCAGCTCGGCCACGAGACGAGCCTCGTCCTCCTTGTCGATTCCTCGACATCCGGTATAATGCATGATGCGCAGTCCAGGGGCGTGACGTGACAGTTCTGATATCCATTGCGGCTGCAGAGACTTTGGGGTTACGATGATCGTTGCGCCGCTGGGAACGAGATTTTCTTGGCCAAGTAGGAGAGCTGGGGAATGGTTTGCTTGACGCCGATGCAAAAGGATGAGGCTGATCATTTCGAGAGTCTTCCCCAAGCCCATTTCTTCCGCCAAGATGCCGCCCTTGACAAGTTTACTAGCCTGATGGTAGGGCGTAGGATCTCGAGTCACTGTCTGAAACACGTCACTGAGGTATACCTTGTTGTTATCGGCATCATTTACGGCACGGAAAGGATCCAAGTCCAGCTTCTGTTCCTCTTCCGACACAGGCTGGACAGCTGTGTCTGGTGCAGTCCACTGAACCCCCTCTCGGCGCAACAGCCATCGTAGCGTCCGCTTTTGGTAGGGGAAAAGGGTGGCATTCAAACCGGAAACATGGATTGAGCGAGAGCTGCCATCGTCTTTTGGCGGCACGTGCGCCGCATTATAGAAATCCATTGGCGACCAAGAGGCAGATTTGCTCAGAGTTGAGTCTGCCGAGGGAAAGAAAGCCTGGATGAGCTTCTCGCTGCATCGACGCTCGTCGTTTCGCCTCAAAGGCGCATACGGAGATGGGGTTTCGTTCCAGAAAAGTCGAAAAGAGATTGTCATCGTCGCAATGCCTTGGTGCTGCTCAATCACGACATCGGCAGCTCTCCAGATAGCGCCTACGCCAGTCCTCTTCAGGTTCAAGCTCTCGATGTTGAACATCTCCCGAGTATCCCGGTCCACGTCGCCCGGGCGTAGCAGTATATGCGCAATGAAGTGTCCGATACGACTGGTTGGCGACGTCATGATCGATAACCGTTCGCCATCGAGACCGAATCTGAGCAACGACTCCACCCCATGATGGACACTACGATAGTTCGGGCTGGAATATTCCTCACACCGGCGCGAAAAGACGAGCTCTGCTTTGGCGACACAAATGCTGGAATCTGATTCACGGTCTACCTTGCGACGCTTCGACGAGGGCGGCTCGACGTCACTGGGACTGTATCTGATATCGCCGGCGGGGCCTTGGGCCGATAGGGAATCGAAGAAATGGAGAAATGCGGCCGGCATGGTATCTTCGCGATGAAGTCAGATATTAGCTTCCTGATATTCCGCAGATGAAATCAAGCGCTCCTAAACAGACGCACCATCGTGTCCAATGTCAAAGTCGAGCCACACCAAGGGCTTGCGCGGCAGCTTCTTGCGGGCCATATTGGCTGGTTTGCAGCAAGCAAGCGCGCTTGCAACTATTCCGGATGATTCAGAGACAAGCCAGCACCATAGATGGGGGATGCGCTCGTCGCCATGATGCACCGCAGAACGTTGAAGGAGGAAGAGATGATGCGACAGGTGCCTGGCGATGCGAAGCCGAATTGATGCATCTTCTTATCAATTAGATAATGCAGCCTGGCCAATGGATGGGTCTGGATAACGATCAATGGTAGCAGCCCCACTACATTTTTTCCCATCCATCACTGCTTACCTAATTTCTTCAAAATCGAACGGATCGGACTCAGGAAACTTCACATGCGACAGGACTGGACGAGCTGATTTCGAAAGAGAAGTTGCTGTGCCAGGCTGATCCCGGTTGACACACAAAAGGTACCATCTACACATGAATTGAGAACTTATCCCACTTATATGCCAATTGGCCAAGGGCGGTGCCGCTGACGACCGAATGCCAGGGCTCCAGCAACGCAAGTCGACGATGAAGACGATACTATCACAGCCCTTGCGGTTCCTTCGCGGCACCAGCTTCCCAGGTGCAAACCAGGCAAGGTGGCTTCACAAGACGAGGCCAGCCCCGACGATTCCGCAGCCGAGACCGTTCGTCCCCGACGTGCAGACCTTTCTCACCCTCATTGGTCGCGGCCTCAGCAAGCATGCCTCCAAGTTCCCGTCATGGGAGTCGCTCTTCTCCCTCACCTCGCCGCAACTCAAGGAGCTCGGCATCGAGCCGCCCCGGAGCCGCCGATACCTGCTGCAGTGGATGCAGCGATACCGAGAGGGTGCGCTGGGCCCCGGCGGAGACTTCAAGTATGTCACAGACGGCCAGGCGCTGCTGAAGGTTGCAACACCACCGGCGTCCGTCGTCAGCGATGCGAAATATGTCGTCAACGTGCCAATGGACCAAGAAGCGACTCTGGACAAGTCTGAGATTTTGCCTCGCCCCAACGGCTACACAGTCAGAGGACTCAAGTCAATAGCCGGCCCGTATGCGACGCCGCTGCCGCAGCAGGCTGGTGCAATCGTCAAGGTCACGGAGGGCATGTGGGAGCAGCGTCAAGGCCGCAAGATTGATGGTGGTGAGAGAAGAAGAGCAGAGATTCGGTTCAAGAGACGGTCAGTGGAGCGGAGAGCTGAGCGCGAGGCAGAGGCGTTGGCAGGCATGTAAAGGGAAGGGTGCTGGGAGAGGTTATCCATGTCTGGCAACACTGTATATCAGGTATGATATCGATGTAGTCCAAATGATTTGATTCTTGGCTGCTAGTCGCATAATGTGCGCCTCACAACACGGCCGCATGAGCTATATACTTGGCGCAGTGGTCATTCCATCTGCTTGCATGGTGCCGAATCAAGACAACGATGTTTATCACGCTACGAGATGTGAGGCAAGAAGAGTCTCTATACACTGTTACTACTGCTGCTGCTACTGCTGCTGCTACTGCCACTGTTGTTGCTGCTGCTGCTACTTACAACAAATGTATCAACAGCAGTTTGGAACCAGTTGTATGATACATTGCCGTCCAGCGCACAAATCACAGCATGCGGCCCAGGAGTATCTGAAGTACTGAGTTTACTGCCAGTGGCGAAGCCAACGGGTCTGCTCTTCCCATCTCCTCCATGGTCAGACATGATAGGCTACCCTCTCTACAAGCGAGAGTTCGCCGTGTCCCTCTTCCGCGCAAACGAGGCTTGCCTTTATCTTCGGTATAGATTAGACGGCGATCTGGTCCTTTCCAGCCTGTGGTACTTATTTATTCTTGCTTCGTCAGCCAAGGTCATGGTGTTTATTAGTAGGTACCTAAGCAGTGGCTAGCAAGCACCCCAATACAATAGCTATCCAGCATCCCAGCAAATCTACACTGAATGTCTTCATTACTTCCATCATTACTCCTGACCTTATTAGAGAATAAGACCTTCAAGTTCAGCTACTACTGCTATGAAATCTGAGTCTTGTTATATGTTATAAATGCCAGGAAATAGAGTGGAAACCCCCAGCTTCCTCACTTCTAACTCAACGAACTTGGGATGCTGGATAGCCAAGTTGGGGTGCTGGCAAGCCACCTCCTACGATCTGTCAATACGAGCCATAATGGAGGCTGCAACATACATACACCACTTCAGACATCAGGTTTTCCAACGCAACACGACACCAGTGAAACCACACACACTGAGCCCCGCCACCAACACGTTATGCCCCTCAGAATTGGCGGCATTCTGCCCTCATCATCACCATCCCTCTCTCACCGACAAAAAAGGGCAATGCTCCGGAAAGCAAGGCACACCCCGGCTCGTCCCGTCCAGAAGGTACGCTAACAAGGAGGTTATTTGCTTAGGCAGATTTTCGTCGGGAAACCATTGAAAAAAGAAAAAAGTAAGCCCACTCGCCTCAACTCCCTTGCATTTGCCCAGCTCTCGACTACTGAACAAGCCATCTTCAGCCGCAAAATAAAATAAAAATAAATAAAAAACAAAAAGAGTCGGCACTTGGCAAACTGCACTGGGGGGAGTGTCATGTCATGCCAGACCCCAGTTACGGTTATACATACATACATACTTGTACAAGTAAGGTAATGTAAATAAGCACTGGGCACTGCAGGAGAGGCTTGGCGCACGCATGTCGTTTCTCTCCAATCAACTACCGCCGTCATGCAAACGAACAAAGCCAGCTGGCTCTCCCTTACTTTCCCTGCCCTCCCCAGCTTGTCCAAGTGCCGATTGGGGCTGCGAGGGAAGACGACAAGCTTATTGTTAGTGGGAAGTGTACAGAAGCCGAGAACGCGGGTTTCTCGTAGCGTCAGCTAACCTGACGACTGGTATTTGCGTCGTTTGTCATGACTACCTTACCTACTAGTACTACTACTAGTCGGTGATCTCGCTTGGGGGCATGGGTGTTCAGCCCTCCTCGAGCGGGAGTTTTAGTTGCCTTGGCCATGACTATTCGACAAGGGGCCCCATCTGACAAGAGACCAATCGAGCTGGCTGTAATTCCAAAAGCTGGAAAGAAAGAAGTAGGGCAAAGCAAGCGATGATTAGTGACGAGTACCCGGACGTTGGTGGCTACCAGCAGGAGCCGCAGCAGGAGACGCAGCAGGAGACGCAGCAGGCCCCGGGAGTAGGACGCTCATCTGTTGCAAGGGAAAAGGAGAGTTGGAGCATTTGGGGCTGACGGGGAAAACGCCATGGCTACCCAGGCTGCAGCAAATGGAGCGAGGCCTTGCCCGCCACAATATGCACGGCGTGGCATAGTATTAGTCTCCAGGCCGGTTGTAGGCCCAAGGTCGACGGCGTTGGTGCTGGGCTGGACCAACAAGGGGGGTGGAGGGAAGAGGTGATGGGTTTCTCTGGTCCAGGCCCGGTGTGACCTCTCGGCTGGCCCTGCCCCTACCTATATTATCATGGGGGAATCTCCGTATACACAGATCGCTGGTTATCCCCCCTTGTCTGACTCTCTACTGCTCTCTTTGTTCTGCCGGTTTGTCTGTCTGTCTGCTCTACCAACAGTGATTCCCCTCGACATGTTGTGGCATCGAGTTGCCGCCATCTTGCTGCTGGCCGCGGGGCGGACGGCCCTCGCTCAAAGGTCCGACAATGAATCCATCTGCGACTACTACGCCGCCAAGCGGTACGGGGAGAGCAACGCCACGACGCAGCTGCTCCTCGTCCAGAGCATCGTCACTCTTGCCTACGCTGGAGGCCACGACCTTCTCCCAGGCGCGTATAACGGCACTACCGGCATCTTCAACCAAGGTTCATACGAGGGAGCTGATGTATTCCTTCGGCCCTGGTTCGATGGTTCAAGTAAGGAATATTGTCTCGGGCTGAAGAAAAGGGGGGAGGGGGGGAAAGAAAGATGCAAAGACGGAGAGATGGAGAGACATACCTATTCCCCTACTTGAACGTTTGTGTTCTGACCTTTGACGTTACAACCATTCAGAGGCGACGACGAACCTAAATAATCAGCCCGTGGGCATCGACTGGCTAGACGGAGGAGCTACCGGACCGCTGCTGTCTTTCTTGAACGGCTCTACCGGTTCCGTCGAGATAGACAAGTCGACGAACCAATAGTAGGTAACTCCCTGTTATTGCTCTCCCCTCGGTCTCATCGTTGCCATTGCTTACCTGTCGATTCAAGCCGTCTCTTTACCCACTGGTTCACGGCATTTGGCTTCGTCTATGGCTGCAGCCTTGCGCCCAAGTTCCCGCGCACGGGAGACAGCGGCGGCCCTCTCTCTCCGGCGTACGTCCACAAGTTCATGAACTTGAACCAGACGCACATCGGATACTTCATCGAACAGCTCACGCTGGCGAGCATGGCCTATGGCTTCTCGTCCGAGGACGCGCAGACGCTCTCGACCTTCATGAATGCGCGGTACAATGTGCGATGTGCGCCGGCTATCAACGGTCAGCTCTTCTCTATTTGCTTTGCAGATGAGTGCCCACTTGCGCAGCCCAAGCCCGACTGCGACGCATACAAGGAGATTGGACCGAGCGGGACGGGCAATGGTTCAGAGCCCACCGCCACGGCTGGCCCAGGATCAGCAACGAACTCGGCGACGACGACTTCCATCTCCCCAGGCTCTCCGACTGCCGCAGCAGGAGACGCAGGAACAGGCCGAGATGCCAGCTCCAGCTCTGCCGCTCTATCTGGTGGAGCCATCGCGGGCATCGCCATCGGCGGCGCGGCAGTTTTGCTTCTGGCCGTTGGCCTGCTGCTGTATTTCCGCCGCCGTTCCGCAAAGCCGCACCTCGTGCCCGTTCCCGTCCCTTCAGATGGTGGCTACGGGTCTCCCGCCCACCCTACTCATTCGTATTATAGCTCGAATCCGCACATGAGCATGGCCTCGACAATCCCCCCAGAGGCGTATATGGGAGGGCACAACCCCGTCCCTGGATTCTGGTCGCCGCCAAAGCCACAGGAGATTGGCCATGGTGGCCATGAGCCTATGGCGGTTCCAAGGCCAGCGACAATGTCGCCACCGATAGCCGAAATGGAGAGCCCGTAATACTCGCAGCCTTGATGATTAAGAAATCTGCTTTGACATCATATGGATAGCCGTGTCCTATATAATGGTTAGTACTAATATCAGGTATAATGATGCAGCTTGGGGCAGCAGGGACACACTCGGGGTAGGAGATAATAGTCTCTGGGCGAATAAATGGCCAACGTTTCATTGAAGTTGGAGCTTTTCTTCGAAAAGGTTTCTTACTCGTCTTCCTCGTCTTTGCTGTTGCTTCATGTTGGCGTTTGATGATCACATGGATTTCCCTTCTGTTTCTACATCTTGTGGATTGTTCGTTTCCACTTTGTCGAGTCATGTTCTTTAACATAACGCATAACGCACAACGCGAACTCAAGCCAACGTCGGTCACCTAAATTAGCACTGAAGACTCGTTAGGCCGCCAGGGCAATTTTACTCACAATATATCGTCCTTTGCTTATTGCCATCCATGAGCCTTTTTTTGCACCCCTCCTTGTAAAGTTTATAGAGTAACAAGACACGGAACCTCCAACCGCCGCCCGGTCGAGGTAACCATTGCGAGGGAGTATCGGTTGGACGAGGAGGTTCACCTTGATGCTAATAAAAGCAACACACAGGTCGGGGGAAAGGGAAGAAGAGTCAAGAAGAACGATGAAAGAATTTGACGGGAAACGGCCGAGATGTGCGGCCGACGGACAGAACGAAGCTTTACAACGGGCGAGAACAGGAACCGAGCTCTCAGCTGAAAAGTAGGATCCATAAGATGCATAGCTTGCCGGTGGAAAGGAGGTATAGCGTGATGAGTTAGCTGGAAAAAGCAGGCAGACAAGGGAAGAAAAAGAACGCTTCTCTCATGAATGTGAAAGGCGTGCAAAGACTCTATGGGTTCATAGCTTCTCTTTGTCCTGAATCGTGGAGGTGTCACAGGTAGTGTGGGCTTCTGAGGAGGCAACTAGTGTTACTAGTATGCAGATCCGATGGAGATACCCCTACACGACCCAAGAATAGAAAGCCGTTGAGATGGAAGTGTCCTCGCCCTGAATACTCGTCGTGGGTTAGTGTAGATCGCCATGCTTCCTCCGACAGCTACACCCCCTATTTTTGGTATTCCCACCTGAGCGACGGTATTCTTGGCAGCCCTATGAAGAATGTAAAACGGCATCCGCGCGTTAGCATGGTGGAACAGAACATCAAGGCGCATCATCAAGTGCATGGCAGGCAGGGATCGTGGAGGATGCACGCGGACATCTCGAGGCATGCGTTTGAAACATGCATTGCTGGTGTGTAAGTTGGCTCGTTGTGCATCTGCGCGGTCATTGGCTCCAAAGCGGCCTCGGAAACAAGCCTTCTTTGCCAGTGGGCACCTTGACCGGATGCTTCTTATTAGACACGGCCCACGGGCCACGGTGCGACCAAAATGGTGTTCAGAGGGCGCTGTTGACGAAGTTTAGCGTGGGAGTTGCGCCTAACCCATCGTATCAACGGCAGTGTAGGGAGGGAAGAGCTGGTGAGCAATGCTAAGAATCTCAACAGCGTCGTGCTCTGATACTTCGTTATTCCCATCCCATCTCTGGGCCAGTATCCGCCGTTTGATGGGAGGGCACTCGCGTTAGATCGAGTGGTCCCTCTCCCATCATGACCACTTGGGCAACAGACTCATTCCGTTTTCTGTTAGAACCGACTGGGATGCGATTGCCGTACCAGTCGGGAGAATGTTGAAGTACACAAAGTGTGATCCAGCGGCGAGAGCACGGGCTCGTTAGCCGGACCTGCGCTCGGGGTCGCCGCCACATCTCAACGTCAAGTGCCGCGGCGGAAGCATCGTGACAAGAGCCTGATCAGGAGCCTGGCCTAGTCCTGGAAGTAGAAGAGACGTCCAAAGAATGTGACGCGCATACGTAGTAAGATTCCTGACACGGCAGTGCCTGGTATCGGTGGGGTAGCTTTTGCATGTACCACCTCATCGCGTGCATGGCTTGAGATGAAGCAGCCCTCCAAAATCCCGAGCTGAGAATTTGGTCTGACCAATGCAAATGGAGGCTGCCCCGTATTCGTGGAATTGAATGCAGTCGAATCTTGACCGAGAGCCGGGACCACAGAGATTGTAGCGATGGTAGGATTTCTAAGCCTGCTGATGAATCGATGCAGAAGAAGAGAGGATTGCCTGGTTAAAAGGCAACATCGACAGCATTAATCATTCTCGCATTACCAAGCAAACTGCTTATATGCGTTCACCAGTCATGACATACCTGCCTGCGTGCTTCGAGTACCGCCAGTGAAGATAGCGAGCGATGTTCCACTCCTATCGTGCCAGGACGCATCAGCACCCAGCGAAGATGCAGGACAGGGTGAGCTGCGCTGACGCAAAGAAGGAAGGGATGCGACGCTTGGCTTCCCCGTCGTATATCTCGCTTTGTCCGTCGGGAGTCCATGACTGGGTTGAAGAGCTGGAGAGACCTTTTGTAAAGCTGAGCCGTCATTGGTGCCAGCCCTGCGTACGGCCCCCAAGAAATTAAAGGTTGGCCGGCAAAGAGTCATACTCGCACTAGATGGACAGGGCTAACGGTTAGACTGGCAGCTTGGAGAAATAGTCGGAGGGGTCGAAGAGGATAGTAGTAGGTACGGAGTACTACTGCACAGGTTGCGGATGATTTGGTAATTGTGCAGACTCGGCTCAGAGGAGAGCCTGGATGAGGCGTGATGTCAGTTGAGGGTGCCGGTGCTGATGCGTCGCAGTCGTGATGACGAAGACGAAGACGAAGTGAAGTTGAAGATTCAAGGAAGCATTGCGAGGTGTGCATTACGTAGTCTGCACGTATCTACCCTATGGAAGGCACGGATGGATTCTGAGGCAGCACTTGCCAGGAAGGAACAACCTGGACCTGCCAATGCCATGGAATGCACCCTTCTAGTAGTAGTACCTGTACCTGCGTTGCTCGTCTCGGTGTAGAAGCGACTGCTGGCACTCAGGTCGACTATAAATAGCATACAATGCTAGGTAGCATCTTCATAAGGTAGCGCAAGTGTCATTGGTTACAATTCCAATTCTCGTGTCCTCGGTGCCATCCAGTCATGCGCGCAGAACCCAAAATCAGGCAGAGTGCAGCTTGTCACTGCCTTAGTATCTGCTAGACAGTATGCTCACTGGGCACTGCTCTCCCCTGGGTATTTCTCTTCCATCAACTGGTCATGTCTTCGCCCAGGCACCAACCCACAGCTGCAGCTGAAGCCACCATGCGGCAAAGCCTGCCACTAATCGACAGAAGGGCGCTCTAGACAAGTCCATTGACGCGCGAGGGCCTCGTACTCGGTACGCCGTGCCCGATGCTGTCGGTTTAAACATCCAGGGCCGAGGGGGGTGTTTTGGTTCCATCAGAGGAGGCTCTGGAGTGCCGTGATTGGCTAAAAGGGGCTGGCTAAGCTTAATTTCTAACCTTGTTTGAGCCGTTTACCTAAGGTACCTAATCTTCAGCCCTAGTACCTGAGGTACAAGCAAGTTCCGTGGAAGCGATGCGAGGGCGAGAGAGGTACCGAGTCGGTACATGTGGAAATGGCATCTCCTGGCCGAGCATTGGAAGCCGAACATGACAACACTCATTCTGTAGATCACCGCTATGTACTGTAGGGTATGGTTCAAGTAGCGGTACTTTGAGCCCTTTAGTCTGATCAGACGGCCATCTACAGTACCGCACATATACATGTGAAAGTAAGGCAGTCAACAACCACTGCTGACAATCGGGGCCCCCTGCCCAGGAGGGTGAACCTCGCTCTCGTCCTTGTCCTCCCACTACCGCGTTCTAGATGGAAATTCTCTCACCACCTCCTCCAGGCACGAATGAACAGGCACATGCAAAGCAGACTTTCCCAAGGCTCGTATGAGAGCCAGGGCCAGCCCCAGCTTTCTGCCAAGCTCCTCTTTGTCAACTCACCCGCCGGCCGGATGACCTCGCCTGTGTTTTTCCAGAGCATGTGTCGTGCGGATCGTGGCTCTAGGCTTGAAGATGATGGCAGGAAAAGACCGTCAGTACCGCTACGTCACCGTCTGATTTGTGCTGTTCTGCTCTGCTCCTTCACCCGGGCCGCTTCGTCCTTGTCACCCGTCCTCGTACTCCGCGCGCCCTCTCTCCCCTCTCTCTCTGTGCCTTCGCGTCCCCCGTATCGGGACCATCCATCCATCTAACCCCCCATCCTTCTATCTCCCCAGCATCTGCTTCGTACACCCCGTGCTACGGACTGGCCACTTACCAGTACTGACACCTAGACTAACTATTGTACGATGGCACGCACGCTGATTCCCTGCCGTTACTAGCTAGGACCCTGGAATCCGCAGGTGGAGCCTTGGGGAGCAGAGTACCGCAGATCCCTTGCCGTGAACCTGAATATGCCTCCAACCTGGTCCCTGTTCCCTGTACCCAGGCGGGTGTGCCCTTTTTAGCTCCTTCGTTAACGGCTGTCGCTGCTCGACGACCGAGGGTGCTGGGGTCGGGGCAATTTGTGTGGGCATGCAAAGTGCAGTAGGGGCTGCTTTGGGACAGACACACTCTGGTTGATTTCTCTGCTGGGGGCACTGCCTGCGTTCGGCTTCGTGGCCTAGAGCCGCATTGCCTAATCATGCCTCGCCTTGCTGGACTGCTGAGCTTATAACCCACATGGTCCGACTCCCCGTTGCCCATCGCTTGTTTTCGTCTCCGAACTATCTGTAACTGAGTCTCAACCGCTAATTGCTACGTCTCTTACGAGCTCACATAGTTCTCTCATGCTTTCTATTCAAGCATTAAACAGTCTGCTCTTGTCAACGAATAGCTCCTCAGTTTAACTCGTCTGTGAATCCTGAAGCGAGAGAATCTGGACTGAAGGCGCTGTTCCCAGTTGGTGCCCACTTGAGATATCCGGTTTACACGCAGCTCTCGGTCGAGACTCTCACTATTACACACCCTTCTCAACTCGACTCGAGCTTCCCAAGTAGTCGGCCTTGATCCTTTGTCGTCAACCTTGTCTTACTCCTTCATCATGTCTACCACACAACGAGCAACAAGTCTTTCGCAAAGCCCCGGACCTCGGTCAAACAGGAGCAGCAACTGCTCTTCGCCGCCCAAAAAGAGCAAACCTGGCGACAAACATGCAGAGTGGTCCCAGGTCACAGACCCCGAGGAAAGGAGGCGGATACAGAACCGTATTGCGCAACGCAAGTTTCGTACGTCTCCCCCCCCCCCCCCCTTGAGCTTCTGTCAGGGCTTTTTTTGGCTTGCTAACCACAAACATAGGGGGCAAGGTGAAGGAGCAAAAAGAGAGAGCGGAGCGTGAGGCCAAGGACAAGGAGCACGCCGGCAACAGCTACCGCATCCCCGAGCCAGACGACATCGACGCAGAGCCAGAGCTGTCGGGGTTGCCCTGGGGTAGCGTCAGCCTGAGTCACATCGTGGCCCGAGGACACGAGGCTGAGAGTCGAAAGAGTAGCGGCCGGGGGACATACCTGGAGGACAGCTTTGCCTCAAACAACTATTCGCCGTCTTTCAGCTCCGATGTGCGCCAGACGGCGAGTTATGGTAGCAGCGGAGTGGACGACTCCTATAGGGGCGAGAATCAGTACGTTTATGATGCTCCGGGTTTCGACCAAGCCTATTCTATACTTTCATGACAACATACAATCACTTAACTTTTGCAATTCATGTCTTATCTTTCTTCCTTCTGTTATTTCCTTGTCTTATTTTTCGGGTTTCACGACTGTGGGGTTTTATGGCTGAGACGGTACGATATCACCAGAGTTACAAGGCGCGGGCGCAAGCACGGGAAAGGGTAAAGATGTTGATGATGGATACATCTCACTTCATGTATCAACGACCCAAGTTACAAGTCTAGAGCGGCTGCAGTGGGTTTGATGGCACGTATACCTACCTTAGAAAGCATGTAGTAAATACTATATTCATGCAGTGATTCCAGGAACTCGAGCGCTTTTGCCTTAGACCAGAAAGATCAGTTTCATTACATCTGGCTGTTGCCACGAGCTGACTGCGGTATTGACCCTGGGTTACAACGGGACAAGCAAAGGCGTCTTTTCTGTGACTCTGGACACCAGGTTGTGGGAGTAAATGGCAGGCTCATCAACCCGCGAGCTCAAGCCTCGTGTATGGTCCCGCATGATCACCTAGGCCCATACATTGTGCTTCTGAGCACCTTCAGGTTGAAAAGCATGGCTATTCTCTTACCAGAGCTGCTGAGGGGGAAAATACTGATTCTCGGTTCTATTTCTCCTTCTCCTTTCTCACGTGCATCATGTTACCTGTTTGACTGATTCATGATATGCAAGTAGGTACTCAGTACACGCACGAAGCTTACCAATCGTCCGCTCTTGGTAAGCCCACAAGCCCCCAAGGCCCCCTAAAAGAACTCCGTCTGGGGCGCCTCGAGCCTTCCCTGGCGCTATCCGTTTGGCAGGTGCCACCGCTTCTCAGGTCCTTCTTCACCCCACCTTCCTCCAGCTCGGCAGCCTTTGCCGTTATGCATCAGCGCGCCTGCCCTGTCAATCAGTGTGGGGGAGCTCCATCACCGCCCGGCAGAAAGCCTGTAGCTTTTCTTTTTTTCCTTTTTTCCCTACCCACTGCGATTGGTAGCAGCTCTTTTGCAGCTTCAGATCCATCAGCTGCATAGGCTTCTGGAGTTTCCAAACTTCGACTTTGCACCGAGCCACAACTCTGTGACACGCTGCTGAGCATCTTCTCGAACGGAGATTGCTTTCATTGATATTTGCCTCCAGCCTATTCAGTCTCTTGCAGCTTTGCAAACTGCGATCTATCATGGCCTCCAACGCCTCCGCTCAGGCCAAGCAAGGTGAGATATTCCTTTTTCTTCCCCTCGACCACCGGCTGCCGATGCATTGCACGCAAGCTTTTTACCGTCTTGCTTGCTCACCATTCCCACTGCGCAGAACGCAAGCTCGCCAAGAAGGCCGCCAAAGCCGCCCGCAAAGTCGAAAAGCTCCAAGCCAAAGAGGCTGCCAAAGTGAATGACGATGGTGCCACGCGTGGCGAGAAGGGCAAGAAGGAGAAGAGCAAGAAAGATCGCGAGCTACTGAAGCAGATTCTGGAGCTGGAGACAAAGCGCCACAATTATCTGGCAGAGTTGAAGAAGCTCGATGCCCAGGTCCAGCAAATGCTCGAGCAAGCTGACGATGCCGACAAAGTGGCCAAGTGGGTGGCCAAAGCTATCGAGGTAAGGCATCCAACTTCGAGGCACGTCCACTTCTGCAGCCAGGACTGACATGCATCCTTTTAGGAAACCTCCGATGAGGGTGCCGGCGAGCAAAGCTCCAAACTTACGCCTGACGACGACGACGTTAGCGAGGCGGACTCCTCGGGCGGGAAGAACCCTGACACTGTGATGAAGGATGCCATTGACGCCCCCAAGGCTGCTTCAGAGAAGGCCGACGGCGAAAAGAAGAAGAAGAAGGACAAGAAGAAGAAGTCAAAGTCCAAGGCTGAGGAGCCCAGTGCCGTTGAAGGACAGGCATCTGACGGCAAAAGGAAGCGGCAGGACGACAGTGCCGAGCAACCAGCCAGCAAGAAGGGCAAGAAGGCGAAGGGGAGCAAAGGAGGAGAGCAGGAGGCGCATGCAGCAGCCGAAGAAGTGAAGATCGAAGGCCTCGAAGGGGGCAAGGCTCGTCAAGATAAGTTTATGAGACTGCTTGGCGGCAAGAAGGCCGGTGTCAGCACCGCTCAGCCGGGCAGCCTGGTGTCGAAGAGCCAGGGCGGTTCGGTCCGCGCCGAGGCAGCTATCCAGCAGCAGTTCGAGGCTGGCATGGCGCTGAAGGAGAGCGGCCACAAGCGCCGCGGCTTGGGTGCGTAGGACTGTCACGTCTTCTGAGAAATGATGGGGCAGATCCGTTCACCTTGTACTATAACTGCAGACCAGACAGTCGTTTGGGGCTGTCTGCCATACTTGCATCTGTTCAACTCGTCGATTTGGACGAGTGAAGGTAATGAGGCGTTAGGTAGGGCTCACGCGAGATACCACATGGAATGATTAGCTTTTTGTCTTGTTGCTTTCTGGCTCTCTCTCAGAGAAGCTCCAAGTAGTAGATGTACAGTGCCAGTGCGCCGCAATTCCTCATGATACGTGAAGTATGGAAACACGCCATGGGTAACATGGCAGGACAGGCGAAATGCAAAAAACGTCAGCGTCAACAACGGTAGCGCCGGCTGCAGCGAGACAGCTGATGGCAATCCGGGAGCCATTCGTCAGGCCCGTCAACGCTGCCTCGCGCCCCAACTATCCCCCGTCTTCTTCCTTCTATAATGACAGAGCCCCTCTGCCTTCTTCGTATGCTTTCAATATTCCTTCCTCACTTCTTCTGTCTTTCTTCCAGGTGTTTTCTTGAATCCTTGTCATTCTGTCTCATCTCCGGAGTAGGTGGTATATCGATGCGAAACATTTAGAGGCCGAAGAAGCGCGACAGGAGCTCGAACACGAGCCCGCCAAAGACGACGAAACCGAGCACGGCTAACAACCAAATAACAACGTCAGCGCAAAACAGCACATAACCAAAAAGCAATTGCGACAAAGTGCAAACGTATACCATCTGGGTTCTACTTACCGAGCCAGAACAAGGAGATGGGCGACTTGGGCGTCTCCTTTGTGCGCTTCTTGAGCTGGTCCTCGGACTTGCCCATCTTCGCCTCCTGCTCTTTGGCGAACTTGGCGTTGCGCCGGCGCTGCTCGAGGGTTTGGGCCTGTTTTTGTCGCGGAAAGTGTTAGAGGGGGGTTGTTGTGCGCGCGCGTGCGCGACTCGGAGAGGAGCAAGGGGGGGTTGAGCTATACCATGGCGAGAATATTTGGGTGATTCTTAAAAGTGTAGATGCAGCTGGAGAGGGTGCGCTGAGCAGCGTCGAGACGGGGCTGGGGGAGGGAGTGATGCGATTCTTATACTAGAAGCAGCTCCGAATGGCGGGCGGATGTCGTGTCCAGTTCGAGACGATGCCGATTGAGGACAGATCTTGTTGGCCTTCTAGCAAAGGGTGAGACTTTGTTCAAGGAGCGTGACAGTGGCAAGAAACTCGAGATTTGTGCGAAGAAAAGGAACGGACGAGACACAACAACCTCCAAGGGAAATGGCCAGCGAGGTCGATTTCAGGGATCAGATGGGGACAAGGACATGTGTCGTCAAGGGGGGAAATAGCCGGCGCTAATCTAATCGCAGCAGGTCCACGGGCCTCTAGTTACTGTAGGCTTGTGGTGGCTTTTAGCGGGGAGGGGACCTGGAGTGTCAGTTTCGCTGGAAGGAGCCGGATTTGCCCTTCCAGCGAACGAAATGCGGGGAGCGAACAGAATTTCGGGGCGGGTTACATGTCATCTGCGCTGCCACATGGTGCGCCGCGAGGTACCGCTGCAGGGATGTCTTGCGCCAACGGATTTTCATTTACCACAGGCAAGGTACTACCACTGTTGACAACTCCGTCCAGCTTCTCCAAGCTCCAAAAGCTGGACAAACCTCTTCAGCTCAGACGCCCGAGTGAACAGAAACGAAAACAAACCACCCGACGCCTCAGAGCAACTCGAAAGGACCGGCACACGCCGCTGCAGAGCGCCCAATGACCGCCGACAGCACGACTCGCACTCGTTGACGCTCCGCTCCCCCTCTGAGACGAGAAAAAAACGACATCCAGCGCCATCCATCCCTTCTTCTTGTTTTCCGCGGACCGACGAAATATATATATCGAATCGTGTTTGTGTCGACAATATGAGTCTGGCGCATGCGCTGGGTGTCTTGCGCCGGGGAAGCGGGTGCTGCTGCTCGTCTGCCGGTGTCGTTGCTTTGCGCAGAGCTGCTGGGTCTGGTGGTGTGTCGCCGGCGAGGCGATTTGCGACGACGAGGCAGCAGCAGCAGCAGCAGCAGTCGGGTTCAGCGGTGAGCGCAAACTCTCTTCAATCCTCCTCTTATGTTCTTCTTTTTTTCATTCTTCAATTGTGGGAAAGGCGAGTTTGGATGGGCTAATGGGGATCGTGTTTTTGTCGGCTTAGGCGCAATTCTACAAGACGTTTACCCGCCCCATAGGCAAAGTCCTCGTCCTCGCCGTCTTCACCTATCAGGTTGCTTATTGGACCTGGGTGAAGCTCGAGGCCGATGAGCATCGCGCAGAAACAGATGGTGAGCGTTGAACAATCTCTCTACTTTACTATCCAGAGTGATGTTGGACAATCTGGACAGCAATGCTGACGAGTAATGGGGGTGTGTGTTGTGTGATAGCGACGATTGCGGCACTGGAGAAGACGGTTGATGAGTATAAACGGGCAAAGGATGCGGCAGGCAAATCTTCATGAGAGAACGTGAGAGGGAGAGATATACATATATATATATATATATATATACCATGACGGCGGCGTTGGAAGACGCACCGAGCGGCAACAAGAGCCGATAACAAAACTCAAGGAGTTGCTGTGCGCTGTGGCAACTGAAGAAAGGGTCACAGACTCACAGACGCGAACGATGACTTATATACATGTGTCAGGTTACACACAACTCATTCAAAAACAAAGAAACAGTTTCAAGAGGACTTCTTCACACAGGCCTGCGCGGCACATTGTCCCTCATGCATCTTGCTTGCTTTCTATTCTTCTCCCACAGTGATGATGCTAATGTCAAAATCCTGGACGTATGTATATCAAAATCGCCCAGCCAAGCACACTTCAGGGCATCTATTCAAGAAACGCAAAAAGCGCAGTCGGCCCAGTGCCCTCCTTCATGATACATAACAACGTCAAGACATGTTGCCCGAATAAAACGCCTTGCTCCTCTTAACTCTCGCTGAGTAAGGGGATCAGCCCCTTTCAAACCCATAAACGCTGGAACCGAAAACGCCGTGTATGTGGTATGACTAAACCAACCTCCCTTTTCTTGGGTTTCCCCTTCTGATCCTTCTTCTGCTTCTTCATTGTCTCTTCCTTCTTCACCTTCGTCTAATCCAGCAGGTGCCCGTCAGAGCAGCAGCATCGAGCCTAGGCCCAAGGCTCCGATGAGGAGCATCAAGCTGGGCGTGGTCGCTCCCGATGCGCTGACCTGCGTTCTGGGCTCTCCCGGGTAGTTGCAAGACACCGCTCCGCCGTTGCGGTCCCGCAACGCATAGCTCACGTTGAAGCCGAGCTTCCCAGACCGCGGACATCCAAAGCCCATCGCCGCCGGGCATCCCTGGACGACCGCGTAGCAGAGATCCGCGCAGGGCAAAATCTCCTTGTACGGGCCCGGCGCAATCACCTCGTCGATGAAGCTGGTGCGGGACGTGTTGAAGGCCGGCGTCTGCATGAGCTCGTTTCTCAGCGCGTCCGGGAGGAACGTGCCGTTGGGAAAGGCTTGGGCGGCGTTGCGCGGGATCGTATAGTTGCTCTCCGTCGAAAAGTCCTCGCACCGGGGAATGGCGACGGCGCAGAGCCACTGTTTGTACGCCGTCGTGCAGTTGTCGCAGTTAGCCGCCAGCGAATACCGCTGCGTGGACGGCGCCTCGCACGGGATCTGCATCATGACCTTCTGGAAGTTGCCGTACATGGCCTTGGCATACGCGTCGTAGAGATTGCCCAGCTCCGTGTTGTTGTACTTGTTGTTTCCGGGAGCCGCCCACTGCACGTCTTCGCAAAAGTCCAGATCGGTGATGAGGTTGCAGTTTGTTCCTGTGAACACGCAACGGATTAGTATATGCATCGTCTTGCCTGACCTGGCATCGTATCGCACATGCAGCGAATACATACCTGCCGAAGTCTGAAAATCGGTGGGCGGAAACACGATGCCTCCGCCCCCAATCGCCGCCGTGCTTTGTCTCTTGGAGCCGGTTGTTGAGTTTCCGTGCTTGACCAGGATGCCGTAATATGAGGTGCTCGAGTTGAGTCCCTGGAAATAAAACTGCTGCCTGGGCCACCCTCCCGGGCCCTTGTCCGTCATCTTGGTCCGGACCACTTCATTGTTGTTCATTTCCCCGTTATCCAATCTCTTAGATGCTATCTGGGCAATGTTGTTCATCCCACATACTGAGCGCATCAGCCCGTTGAGTACTGGCGCCTTGGTTCCCTGGACGAAAAGGTCGTACTGCGGAGCGCCTTTCATGATGGACGCAATCTGGCTCCGATCATTCGTCAAGCTCGCTGTCTGGAGCAAGGCAGACGTGGCATCGCTGTCCATCCATAACAGCTGCCCGGCCTGCGAGCTGTACTGGTAATAGTAGGCGTCAACCGATGCCGCAATCTCAAAGTTATAGATACCCTGGAACTTGTCCGTGACATTGGGGGCTTGAACGGTCACGTATACGTCTCCCGTCGCGTTTAGGCCGTACATGACGGCGCCTTGTTCAAAGGCCTTGGATTGGACTCCGGCCGCAGGCTTGGTCGGGTCCGGACATCCATCCTTGCTCGAAGTCGAGATGTAGATGCGCAGCTGCGGAGGCACTTCTGAAGCTCCTTGCGAAGACAACGGTTGAAGGCAGGTATTTGCAGACAGGTAGAGCGTCTTTGTCGGACTGCCGCCTCCCTCGTTCTTGTCGTCGCTTGACGGTTTGTCATCGTCGGCCCGCCTCTCCATGTCTTCGTCCCTCTTTAGTTCTCGACTGGAGCTCGAAGACCCGGCGCTCCCACTACCGCCGAAGATGACGCTCTTCTGCACGACATAGCAGGCAGAGGCGCCCGGCGCCAGATTCAAGGGTATCGGGACATTGTTCTGCAGTGGTGTGGCATCCAGGGGAGCCCGCCCGACTATGCTTCGGTCAAACAAGGCAAAGCCGGGGTCGTAGACCGGATGCGATCGGGCGCCCAACTGCAGAGGTGTAACGGGGCTTGTCCAGTCGAGCAGAGATGGCGATTCGAGCTCGAGTGCGAGCGCTGCGGCCGGTGCGAAGAGGAGGATGGAGAGCATCCAGACAACAGGCAGCCCTGCGAGAGAGGCTACCAGTCGCGACTGCAATGGCGTTGTTGGCATCACATGCGCATGCCGTGCGGGCATCCGCTGTCTTTGGCTCAGGTATGGGTTTGTCGTCGGCGGTTTGCGAATAGTTGCAGCATGTTCTAGCTTTGGATCGTGGTTGCGCCGTGGCCACGAGATGTCATGGCGGATCTCGCACGGTCAATGTCGATGGGCCGAGTGTATGCTATACTAAATGCGACCACAAAAAGAAGGATGGGGAGGATGAAGGAGGAGAATGAGGAGAGAAGAAGATCAAGCAATGCAGTTGGTGATCGCAGCTGTCGGATTGGATACGGTTTGTCAGGGAATCTAGGCGTTTCACGATAATACGGAGCGCCGTCTGCCGGTTATCTGGCGGGCCGCTATCGAAGGGCGCAGGGGCCGCTTTCAGGGAGAGGGAGAGAGGCGCAGCTCGGATCAGCACAGCCACGTAATGCGTAATCCGGTAGGCTCGAACCTCGTACCCCGGGCTCTTGTCTGCACCGTATGATGGTGATGCGCGACACAGAGATGCGACGGATTCAAGCATTACTTCTGCTTCTTTTGAAAACATTGAAGTGGATGACCGGGCTTCATTGGCGAGATTCATTGAGCAGCCGCCACAATCGAGCACAGCATGTAAGAGTTCCAGACGGTGGCGCGAGGTCATGCGATCCCCACGTGCACTTCATTGACGCGGGAGCTTCAGAGCTCATGAATGAAACCGTCCATCTTTCCATTGTCATTCTGTTCTCATGCCCAATATCTCATTTGCGTCCAACATCCTCCCAGTCATGACACCTTCTAGACAAACGTACGTTATTCGAAATTCCGGTTCCCACGCTGGTCCTCCCTCCAATAGTCCTGTTCACCGGAAATCCAGCACGTGCCGGCGATTCCGTATTACCCCATTTTATTCCAACAATCGGTTTGTTTCAATGTTTGCTGTATCTTCCATGAAGGTCTACAGCTCCTGGTCCGGGACTTGGTAATCAAGTGGTTCAGCGTTTGCGACCAGGAAGCTGCTCGGCCAGCTCCATTTACTGAGTCTTGTCAAAGGCATCAGTCTTGGAGCGGAGACCAGCGGAAGTGCCGGGGCCCTGGAAGTATCGGCCGAGAGTGGGAGCAAGGAAGGATCGGAAAACGACCTCAGCGCCACTGCGCGAAATGGAAAATTAGATGCCTCATTCTTGATAAAACCTGTCCTCTGGGGTAGGAAGCTTACCGGAAAGTGGGAAGAGCCAGCCAGAGCAGGAAGATGAACTTGAAGACAAAGTAGAAGGGGAACCAGTAAACAATGCTGAAGAAGCCCTCAACAACGGTGAAGAAGGCAAAAACAACCCAGTACTAAAGGGGGGGTTAGCTGTCACGATGTCTCTGGTTTGCGTAGAACGCAATGGGAGGCGAAGCTCACAGTCAGCCACTGGGTGTCATCTTCCTTAGACTGGGAAAACAGGGCGCCCAGAGAGTAGTAGCCAGGAACGACGAAGCCCGCAAAGTTTGTGAGGAGCTGGCCGCCAATGTTGAAAATGATGAGGAAGAAGTAGAGAGCAGCGAAGCCGATGACGGCATAGGCCTTGGGGACGCCGAGCTGCTTCTCGAGGTTGTTCAGGGCGGGGTATTTGGAGAGCTGTGCATTTCCTCAGTCAGCAACGCAGGGCTCAATTCAAGCGGGCGGCGGTGACCGTGGACACGCGACAAGACGAACCTCCTTGTCAAGGACGCTCAAATAGTCCTGAGCCTTTGCCTGGGCGGACGCCATTTTGATCTAGAGCGAGGCTAGAATGCGTAGAGTTGCGCGGCTGTGGTGATTCTTGCGACGGCGGCGAGATTGTCCCCGCGGGTAAAAAGGGCACAAGGTCGGGAAAAGGGCGGGTTGCAGATGAAGATGTACTGAGTAGTAGCGCTAAAGAGATGTCGCAAAGGCGAGCGAAACTGTAGGAGCAAAGATTTTTCTTCTGGTAATAAAATCAGGGCGGATGGAAGAGTGGAAGCGGATGATGGTATCAAGAGATTGAGCCCAGCTTTAAGAAGCTCTGGCAAATAGCGTCAGCGGCTTGGGGCTTGTGGAAGTAACAGGTTGCACTTGGCGAGGGACTTGGCCCGTTATGACGCTGGGCCGCAGCTGTGGTAGCGCCCAGGTCGCGGCAGTCCGGCAAGGTACTCGGTCGGGCGGCAGGGCCGCAGCTAACAAGGAGGTACATGACGTCGCCGAGATACGCAGCCGGGTATACTGCGGCGCTGCTTGCTGTCGGGGCGGAGGGGAAAATGCGACAGCTGGAGAATACGGGCTGGACGGGCATTCCCACTGGCAGCCAAAGGCCAATGGAAGACGGCGAGCCAGCAGATAACGCAGCGAGATGGAGCTCGGCGGAGCAGCCTGCCGAGCGTGCTGAGCTCGAGCGCGTAGACAGGAGGTAGACGACGTGTACACACTACTCGGCGCGGCCCAGCGGAGAAGCGCTCGGCAGCTGCGGCGTTGGATCGAGGCAGTGTCTGCTGTACGTGTGGACTACTCCGCACTACTGCGAGGGACCCGTACCCTGGACTTGGACGTCGACAGCTGGAAGTGATTGAGGTGTTGGCAGCCCAGGTGTTTATGAGCTGCGAGGGAGAATCTGACAGGCTCTCGGGTTAGATGCGGCATGTGAATGTGTGATGCCTTTCTGCGGGTTGTACATGATGTTGCCTACAAGTCATCTTGCGAATACAACCTACTACTAGTATACCTGCCCCGTCTCGAGTTCTCAATGTATGGATAATTCAGTGCTTCTGGAGATTCTCAGCTCTCCAATGACGGAAGTGAGCGGAAGATGGCACCGACTCATGTTGGTGAATTGATTCGATACGCGATTTCTCTCATCGTCTGGAATCACTGTCGCCTCCTCCATCTCATGCGGCGTCAGGGGAGTATAGTAACCATGAGGGATGCCTTTCACCTGGTGTAGTACCCCGGCATCTTATAAGAGTCGGGACTCATTGGATCGGTATTCCGCACCTTGATCAGGGCACAGTAACGACAACAAGACCAAGCACTGTAGCTCAAGTCCACTGTTGTTCCTCACTGTTGTTCTCGCTGTTGTTGCCCCGCCCTTGGCCTCGTCCACCGCTGCCACTGGAATTCCACCTAATTAGTGCGCAAGCCTGCTTACCTAATGCCGGCAAAGTTTGTTATTCTCTGCCTGCCGTTTTTTAGGTTTGTTTGGCTTCCAAGGAAGGCCTTGCCTTGTTTGGGTTCTTGCCCAGTTGGGGTCACCTGCGCCTGCCCGTCTGTCGACCTACTGCCTTATCCGCTCCTCTCCTCTCGTTGGCCTCGCAACAGAAAATCAAATCACAACAACAGCCGCAGCATAAAGACGGCCAGCATCAACCGTCAGCCGCGCGCATCCTGAGGAATTGCCCGTGCAGCTCCTGTGCGAGTCGCCTGCATCGCTGCTTCCTCCAGATCGACTCCACGTCTTTTTTTTCCCACCCTTGCTCGCGTCAGGTCGCGGCGAGATCCGGGGGCCGCCAACTTGACCTGCTCGGTGTCTCCCTCTCACAGCCAATGTTTGTTGTCTAGCCAGCCGCCCTCTGCTGTCAACCTCGCACCCCTTCCAACCCGACCGCGACAACGGCTCTAAGCATGGAGCAGGGTAGGCCCCGATCAGCCTGTGTGCAATTGCCGCCGTGACGGCGTTGGCGACTCAACTGACTAACTGCTCTCCCCTCTCCTGCAGACAATTCAGCGACACGCGCGGCGACCAAGTCCAGGAAGCGGCCAGTCTCCCGCGCTTCCACAACGTCGATTCACAGCGCTGGCACCCAGCCCAACCTGGACCAGGCCGCCTTCGCCGAGGCGTCGACTCTCTACGGCGGCCAATGGATCCCGAGCGAGCACCACGGCCATAGCAAGGACATGAGTGCCGCACCGCAATTGTCCCCTGAGGACATGATACTGCAGGCGGCGACCCACATGCAGTCGTCGAACCAAGACTTCGCCATGGACGGATCCATGGGGCCTTCCATGGCCCATCACATGCAGTACCAGCAGCACCACGCAATGGCGAGGCATCCGCTGCCTGCCGAGCAGTACGGCGGCGCCAATGCGAGCTTTACCGAGGGGGACAGCCAAATGCTGGATCGCGACTCCAACGAGGATGGCGACTCCATGACGGGAGCTGCCGGGGCCGTCAAGTCCACTGCGAGATCTAGTGCAAACAACGAGCTGGAAATGCGGCACCTGTACAGCACCAACCGGCATCGCAGTCTGCAGGACGTGGCACGTGAACTGCATGGAAATGAGCGAGGGCCCAATTCGGAACGCACTCGCCAGGTCTTTGCCATGCTATGGTATGTGCCCGTCTGCCGCTTCGTATATGGAAATTTCTGATTCTAACGTTCTTGTTTAGGATCAATTCAGTCTGCTCCAAGGGCAAAGGCTCCGTTCCCCGGGGCCGGGTATACGCCAACTATGCTTCACGATGCGCCACTGAAAGGATCACAGTCTTGAACCCGGCAAGTTTTGGAAAGCTGGTCAGGGTTCTGTTTCCTGGCCTCAAGACACGCCGTCTTGGTGTCCGAGGCGAATCAAAATACCACTACGTTAACTTCTCTCTCGCTGAGGATCAGCCGGAGGCGAAAGAACCTCAGCCGCAGCCCCCGCGAGCGCTCCCAGAAGCGACAAGCTTTCCTCCCAGCCTCAGGTGAGTCAATGGACACTGGCCATCAAACGTTCTTCCGTCTTGTATCCTGACTCTTATACTGACCTGGGTTCAGTGTCCCGACCCAGCCCGAGAGTAACACTCAGCGGGATGCACAGCCCTCGTCTCAGACAGCCCAACCCAGCAGCGCGACCACCAAGGCATCAGGTAGATCCCACAGCCTGTATAACCATCCCGACCTCAGCAACATCAACGACCTCCACGCCACATCCAGCAAGACGCCGCTTCAGTTGGCATTTCCGCCCCCTGATGAGACAGCGTTCGAACAATCCGAACCGATTGCCTTGCCTCCGATCGAGTCCTACCTTCCCCATGGCACCGACCCGGATGCGGCCAAATCGTTGTCCGCCCTGTACCGATCCCACTGCACGTCCCTGGTAGAGTGCATTCGATACTGCCGCGAAAAGACCTTCTTCCACCTCTACACCTCTTTCCAGGGCACACTCACCATGCCCGTCCAGAAGCTGTTTGGAAATCCCGCCCTTGCCCCGTGGATCGAGGGATGCGACATTGCTCTATATCAACGCATGATGCGCATCGTCTCTGGCTTGACGCTTCAGGTTGTCCCCAAGCCAGTTCTTGACACGCTCCGCAACATTTCCGAGAGGCTGGTGCCTCATATTCGGGAGTCGTTCCAAGGCCAGCCACAGCATGTCATTGCGGCCAAGGAGTCGCCGGCCGCCATCTTCGCAGGCCTGCTGGACCGTGCCCTGCGGGTTAACCTGACGGCACATGCCGCCGCCAACATGCTCTCGAACCCGGCCAATCGCGACCAGATGTATGTGGATTGGATCACCATGATTCGGGCGCGCAAGATTGCGGAGAGCGTCCCAACCCGCGGCATGGACGACGTCGTCAACCTCCTGGTGACGGAAATTAGAGATTTGCTAGACCCGGCAAATGTGCCCTGGGAGGTGGAATGCCTGACAATCTATGGGGATGTAGTCACTCGGAGCGGTCGCCAGTCGGATGGCGATGGTGGTGCTGACACATCGGGCCAGAACGTCCTGGACAGATGGGTCAACTTCCTCCAGAGCCTGCCCGGGAAATTCCCTTACGCATCGCATGCGGATATCGTGTGGTGCGTCGAGAGAGTCGGAACCGCCGTCATGCGGGACCTCACACTGGCCCAAGGTAAAAGCTTTGGCTCTTGGTGGGTGACGAAGACGTGGGTGGACGAAATGACGTGCTTCCTGGCCGAGCAAGGCGGGTTCATGAAAGAAGGTGCCAGGCCACCGCTGCCGGCAGCAGAACGCCCGTCCCAGGTCCCCAGCAAAGCAACGAGCAGACAGGTCTCGCGATACAGCAGCGGCAGCGATGACGTGAACGTATCACACACGCAGCCTGGCCGGGCGCCATTCCCACCGCCGAGCAGCACCAACCCAGCGCCGGTGACTACCGATACTCACGATGATAGCGGCATAGGCATTCGGACACCCGAGGAAGATTTTCCTATGGACAAGTTCACTTTTGCCGGAGCAGAGAGCCAGGGGCTGGAGCTGACAGCTGGCGCAAGTCTGTGAAGATCTTGTGTCGATGATGGCGCTCAACTACAAGATGCGTCAAATCTCTCTTGTGTAGATGCACTGGTCCAGAAGGAGATAGAGGAGAGGAGCGGAGAGGGGAACGGAGAGCGATGCGGATCAAGTGATGGGCTTCTCTGGTCGACGTTAGAGTCAATTCGACCAAAGAGGACTCACTGCTATAGGAGACGGATAATCACTGTGATGATCGGACGAATGGACGACGACACGACATCTGGACTATATCAAAAGACTCCCGCACGGATGGTTTCCGACGGCGAGACTGGGTTTTTTCTACTTTTTTCTTCCTCTTTTCTTTTTCCATTTTGCTCCCCTTACTTTTTGCCCCTCATCCCTTATCTTTTCTTCTTGTTATATATGCATGTTTCAGGGGCCTTGCGGTAGCTCTGTGTTCCGCGGGTTTTATTCCTCTTTTAGTTCGCGTTTCTATCATCAACGGGAGGGGGAAGGACCATGGAACAAGGCGCGTTGGAATAGACGGGTGTTGGCAATCACTGGATAGGGTGTACGACGTATTCAGCACTTTGTTTGTCCGGACGCAGAGAGTTTGGGCACCGTGCCACAGGTGCTTTTTTTGTCAAGCTTGTTCTTTTTTATTTTGATATCACGGCAGCAGTGGCTGGCTTGGGCAAGAGGGGATGCTACATTTTACGTGGGATTATCAAGGTAGTGATAGGAGAGGAAGAGAGAAGTGGGAGAGAGGACGAGCAATATATCCTGCTGACAAGGTAGAGAGATTAATCGAGGAATAAATGCATTGGAAGTTGGTTTTGAAGATCAAGGGCCGCAATCGGGACTTGAGTCTCGATGGTCTTGGAAGCCCGACGTGCCATGGAAATACTGAGACTTGATACTACTACTGCCCTTTTCCGTCCATTAAGGTAGGTCAGCCGCCACGAAGTGTGAAGAGGCTATCCGCTCCCTTGACTTTGAGGCTGCCAGACTAACGATGCCTCCCTACCCTACGCCTCAGCCACGAAGGGAACATTGAGTCTCAGCAACCACCCTTTGGGCGAACGAGTATTACGTTAGCATGTAGTCTAGATAAGAAAGAAGGAAGAGAATAGAAGAGTAAGGCAAATAAGAAATAGAAAAAAATAAAAAACTGGAGAAGGACGGGTTTTCGCCGCCGTTGTTCGGCCTTGCGCCACGATATTACAGTTGGGGCCAATGAATCGGGCGCTGAACCAAATCGGCCCTCCACTTAAATTCTGACTCTTTTCTGGTTCGGTTCATCGGAGACTCAACAGGCCATTGGATCGCCTTATTAAGGTAGCTGAGCCATCCTGTCCTTTTCGTCGCCTTGCCGATTTTCATTGCCCTTGCAGCCTTGTTTCCCTCTCCTTGCTTTTTGGACCAATCCAGCCTCATCCTATCCTTTCTGCTTCTTACTTCCTCCTCCTCTTCTTCTTCCTCTTCGTCATCACTTTCACAGCATCTTTCCCCAAAAGAAGGGATTCCTCACCCACGACTCAATTGGCCGGGACAGAGAGCCTCTGCGTACTTACTCGTGCAACGAACGGCAGCTGAGGCAATTGGACCGGGAACGAAACCGCTCAGCGGCCGGTGGAGCGCATCTCGACCGTCCCCGTTCAATTGAGTAGTCAGACTCCATCTCGAATTCGTCCCTCCCCCGCGATTCCGAGATCGCTCTCCTTTCGCAGCAAAGTCATCGTCATCCTCACAAAAACATCGCCATGGGCAGCTCAGCATGTGACAACTCGTCCGAGAAGGGGTGGTTGGTGCAGAAGTTTGGCGGCACGAGTGTAGGGAAATTTCCAGATAAGGTGAGTGAAGATGTCTTGTATTTTCCATTGTTTATCATTTTCATCTTATTCTATGCGAGAAATTGAGTGCTGATGGCGTGGCATTGGGACAGATTGCTCGTGATATCGTCAGGTTAGTCACTCTGTTGGGGTTGAATCTCAGCTTAAGGAAACGAGGCATATGAGTCATCGTAAAAGCCATGCATGAGCTCACAACTCACCATGAAACTGCGTACAGGGCCAGTCTTGAGAAAAACCGAGTCGTCGTCGTTTGTTCTGCCCGCAGCACGGGCAAGAAAGCCGAGGGCACCACCAGTCGGTAAGCCTCATCCGCTCTAGGTTACATCTCTCGAAGCGGCATGCTCACTTTTTGTCGTCGTCCAGGCTGCTGGCTGTCTTCAACAAGTTAAAAAACATTGCTACGCCCATCAGCTCCGAGGAGAAGCAGCACGAGCTGATTGAGCAGGCCGCGGGACTCATTCAAGATGTCTGCAACGACCACGTCGCCGCCTCCGAGACGTTTGTCAAGGACCAGGCGTTGAGAGCGGCCCTCATTGTCAAGCTCAAGGAACAATGCCAAGAGTTGATTGAGTACATCAGGGCCACCAAGAGATTCAACCTCGAGGTCAACTCAAGATCAAAGGACCGCGTCATCAGCTTTGGCGAGAAGCTCAGCTGCTTGTTTATGACCACGTTGCTGCAGGATTCTGTGCGTTTGCTCCCCATCTTTGAGAACGGCCCGGGAAGGGCACCACTTGTGTGCACTGGTGACAGGTTGCTAACGCCTTGATTTAATCCTCCTTGTTGCTCGTGTTCAGGGAGTCGAAGCAGAATACGTTGACCTGTCCGATGTCTTGCACAGCGACACCCCTTCTCCGTCACTGGATGCCGGCTTCTACAAGCTGGCAGTAAGTAGATTCGCCAAGAAGCTGGCCGCATGCGAGAACCGGGTTCCCGTCGTCACGGGCTTCTTCGGAAACGTCCCCGGCAGCCTGATTGATGGAGACATCGGCCGCGGCTACACGGATCTTTGCGCGGCCTTGTGCGCGGTGGGATTGAGCGCCCTGGAGCTGCAGATCTGGAAAGAGGTCGACGGCATCTTCACGGCCGACCCGTCAAAGGTGCCTACCGCTCGGCTGCTGGGGTCCATCACGCCGTCGGAGGCTGCCGAGCTGACATTTTACGGCTCCGAGGTCATCCACCACCTCACCATGGACCAGGTCATCCGGGCTCACCCGCCGATTCCCATCCGCATCAAGAACGTCAAGAACCCGCGCGGCAATGGCACGCTGGTGGTACCGGACCCGGTGCTGTCGCCGGGAGAGAAAATCCACCGATCGCGGCCCTCGCAAAGGGCCGACGGGAGTCCCAAGAGCCCCAAGCGTCCGACCGCCGTCACGATCAAGGACCAGATCAGCGTCATCAACGTCCACTCCAACAAGAGATCCATCTCGCACGGATTCTTTGCGCGGGTGTTTTCCATCCTCGACAAGCAGTCCATTTCCGTCGACCTCATCTCCACGAGCGAGGTGCACGTCTCCCTGGCCATTCATGCCGACGGCATCCGGTCTGAGGCGTTTGAGACAGCCACGCGGAACTTGGAGGAGTGCGGTGATGTCAGCATCCTGACGGACATGGCCATTCTCAGCCTGGTTGGCGCAGACATGAAGAACATGGTGGGCGTTGCTGGACGCATGTTTTCGACGCTTGGAGAGCACAATATCAATCTTGAGATGATTTCCCAAGGTAAGCCGGAGAGACCTGAAAAGGAAACTGCGTCGATTCTCGTTCTGCCAGGAGACTGACGCTTGTGATTTTCTGCCTTCTAGGAGCGAGCGAGATTAACATATCTTGTGTCATTGACGCCCGCGATGCCACAAGGGCAATGAACGTTTTGCACACCCACCTGTTCACGTTTCTGGATTAGAGGCGTGCCCTTTCATCCGCATGGTGACTGGAGTGTTGGAAAAGTACAGAAGGACTGCAGACGTCTAGATATACCATACTCTCTTACCCTCTTTGTTTCTTCCCTTGTAACCTTTTACCTATCACCTACCCTTCTCATGCCCCTGGCGACCAAGTTCTTCCTCAGTTTAGACTCGCATGTCAAAGGCATCTGATATAGAGGCATCAATAAGTACATAGATTAAATTACACTTATCTTCCTATAGCAACTGACTCCTTGACCACTTCGAACGGTTAATGGTGTAAATACCTAAGTAGTAGCCTCTTGTGCCTAATGCAGAACGTTTCTCAGTTGTGTTGCTCTCAGGTTCGTACCTATTAGCACATCAGGTATCCCCCCTAAGCGCCTTGGTGTTGAGGTACCTGCAGAAAAGCTCGGTGAAATCCAGCCCGCCATTTCCCCCCCACCCGCGATGCTTTAGCTTCCTTGCCGAATACGACACACCTCTTACTTCGTACTACTTCCTTTCCTTACAGCTGCCGCTCTTCAACAACTCCAAAACAACACGATCCTTCTCGCCTCCAAAGCAGAAACATCACGACGATGCGCCTCGTCTCGCCTGAAGACACATAGCCAGAGAAACGCCGATGGTGTCGTGCGTAACCCCGACTTTTGCATGAACAGCTCAGGCAAGCCTCATCGACGGGTGCACCGATAATCGCCAGCCATGTACCGGCCCGGCGGCTCTGGGCCTCGGGCTCGAGGCAGCATCTTGGGAGCCCTCAAGGCCTCCGAGATGCTGGATGCGCGGGCCAGGCTCCCAGCAGGTAAGTCTGTGCCGTGATTGTTGCTTAATGTCCGCTTGGGCTGCATGATCGTTCTTCTTGTTTGGGGGACTCGAATGGTAAGCTGACGAACGGTTGCGTTGTTTGGCAGAAATCATGGTGACGATCCTCAACTACCTGCCCGTGGCCGATCAGATGCGCGCTGCACGCGTGTGCCGTCGCTTCCAGGAGATGGTGTACGACGACACTCGCTGGGTGTCACGGCTGAAGAGCATGGGATGCTGGGACGAGCGGGAGGCGAGGCAGAGGTTCGAGGAGGCGCTCCGGCGCAGGCGAGAAGCTGCTGCTGCAGCGGCGGCGGCCCATCAGTCCAGCGACGGGTCCGGCAAGTCCAACGCAGTCTCATCGGCCACCATATTCGATGCCACGATCGAGCAGCAGCGCCGGCAGCGGCCCATTTCCCAACTGGCGGATGGCTTCGAGACCATGGCGATTGGCACAAGCGATCCTGCAGAGGACCCTGCGGCGTATCTCGACGTATTCAAGCGCGTCAAGAGCATCAGGGGCGGGGCGAGACAGGAATACGGCAAGATATACAAGGCTCTTGCGCCCTTCTACTTCGACCTTGTCAAGGCCAAGTCGCACACGGATCCAATTGTCTTCAAGGCTTTCATTGACCCCGAGCAGCAGGCACAGATGCTGGCCAACTTGCACAGATTTGCCGGCAGCGATTGGGCTGAGGGCTGGGCGGTCAGAGATGCGAAGCTGAATACCATGATGAACATCTTTGAGGCCGCTGTGCTGCGGGAGTTTGAGCAAGGCTACGAATTTTGGGACGTGGATGGGCGGATGCGTCGATATGCCCACGTGTTGCACACGCTCAACGGGGCCAAGACTGGCATCGAGCTCTTTATACAGAAGCATCCCCTCTTCAACGATCGTGAGCTGATGCATAACCCCATGGACTGCCTTAACCAAGCCCCAACAGACGACGTGACGCTGGAGCCATCGCGGCGCTTCTTTGAGCATGTCCTCATCAAGGTCAACGAGCAGGCCAACATCTTGGAACGAATTTTCCCCAAACCAGCCGTTGTATTCTGGGGTCTCGCTGAAAAGGTGGCGGAGGATATAATTGCCGAATACACAACGCCCCTGTTTGACGAGGCACACGAGCGCAGTATTCTCTCCTATCTCAAGGCTGTTTCCGGCATATTCGAGCAGACAATGAGGTTCTTCGAATCGCTCACACCCCCCAAGGGATCGGAGGAAGAAAACATGGCTGAGCGTGCCAAGCAGCTGACCTTGAAAGTCTTTGAGCCCCATCTCGATTTGTACCTGCAGGAAGAGCTGGATTACTTCACCAAACAGGCAGAAATCGAGGTGTCACAATGGGAGAAGAAGCTTTCCGAACAAGACTCGTCACTGGAGTCCTTTTACATGTCCAACATCAATCGTTCTGCCGAAAAGAATGACTTCCTCAGCTCTTTCAAAAAAGTCATCATGATGCCTGTCACGGTTCTCCCAAACTTCCCCATTGGTTCGCCGTTTGCAACCACGAAGCCGACATCGTCTCCTGCGGTCACTGCGAATGGGTCAGCCGCGTTGACTCCCCAGTCTTCTCGGCCGCAGACTCCCGGGCTGGGGGGCAACGAGATCCAGGCACGGGGCAGCAGTCCGATGCCTGGGGCTAAAGCTCCGACTGATGAGCTTGCGGCCAAGGCAGCCATCATTGCCTCGAAGCTGGAGGGCATCAAGTCTCTGTTCAGCATCGAGGTAGCCCTAGATTTGGTGCACAAGGCCAAGGGAAGTCTTGGGCGTGCTGCGGTGCTCATTCCCTTGGGCGGACAGGTTGGTGGAGAAGCTCGAGAGCAATGTGCCAACATATTCATTGCGCTCGTTCGCATTCTTGGACAGAGGCACGTCAAGCTTGGGTTCGACATGGCTGTAGACCATCTATCGCATTACAACCCGAGAGAAGTCAGCGACCACGACCAAAAAGGAGTGGCGCCGCTGGTCATGTTCATCGAGTTGGTCAACGTTGGTGACCTCATATCTCAGATGATTGACGTTTTCTACGAGCAGCAGCTCGTAACGCCCAAGATTTCGGACAAGAACGACTTCCTGGATCCTGCTGGCCTGGCCAAGAAGAAGTTTGAGCAGATGCTGGACGAGAGCGTGGCGGCGGGCCTGAACAAGGGCATCGACGTGCTCATGGACGAGGTTGAGTATCTCCAGGGAACCCTGCAGCAGCCTACGGACTACAACCCCACCCCCCGCACACCTGCGGATGATGCGAATAACCGACTATCCAAACGAACGACAATCGGATCCATGGCGGAACTGGACATTGGGCCGACGCAAACGGCTCGCCGCATCGTTGACCTAGTCAGATCTCATACCAACATGCTGGTGGGCACGACGGAGAAGTCGATGCTCGACGTCTTCAACGGCGAAGTCGGCCAGCGGCTGTTCACGGCGATATGCAAGCACCTCAAGCGGCAGCGCATCAGCACCGACGGCGCCGTCAAGCTGATTGCCGACATGAACCTGTACTCGGACTACGTGCGGTCGCTGCGGAACCAGGACGTGCTGCCGTACTTTGGGGCGCTGCGCGAGCTGAGCCAGATTTACCTCATCGACCCGGGTCACGCCAAGGAAATGGCCACGGTCATTGCGGACGGCGACCGTTTCGGCGGCGTGTTCCGTGCCGAGGAGGTGTACGAGTATGCGCAGCGGAGGGCGGACTGGTATCAGGTGAGGAGGAGCGTCGAGAGGGCCATGTACGGCATGGACTGCATGGTCATGTAAAGGGGGGTTGAGATCTTAGGCCACTTTCAGGGGGGGCCTGTTGAGATTGGATGCGGAATCATGAACGAGTTGATGAATAATGCGAGCCATGAACGACACGAATGTTGTTTTCTACGACGGGATGAATAAGAGGAGGAGTTGAAGAAGGTGTGAACAGAAAATAAAAGGGAAGCGGATGTTTTGGATCGAAAGCGTGTCTAGATGGCACAAATGATATGGATAGAGATTTATATATACATATATACACTGCCTTTGTATGTACAGCAAGATGATGAAGATGTGAAAGCAGATTTTGTTGTCCTTAGTATATAGCAGCTATTTGACCCTGAATCCATGGGCCGCGGATTTCAGTTCAAGAGCTGAACTTTGTGATCGTTGTGGTATGAATGTACATTATCCAGATTAAGATGTGATAATAAACGCCTCTTTTCCTTTAACAGAGAACAAAGATGATAGGCCTCAGATAGTATAGGAAAGGAAGAAACGGAGAGATGCAAAGATGCAATATGCAATACGAAAAACCACCCCATGAAGAGAAGAAATACCTAGGATCTACCGCTGCCCAAAGTCTAGCTTACGAGCCACCTTGGCACCCCTGTCGTCGTCGGCCACGACACCGGGACGGCGCTTGAGGTCGCCGCCCATCTTGTCCTCGCCGGCGCCGCTGTCCTTGCGGGGCAGGTCGTCCTTGCGGGTGGGCTTGGGCTCCGAGTGCCACCAGCGGTGCTGCAGCATCTCGCGGGCGGTGATGCGCTTCTGCGGGTTGAGGGCGAGGGTGCGGATGAGCAGGTCGACGCCGTCGGTGCCGACGACGCCGAAGCGCATCTCGTACCAGTCGCGGCCGCGCGTGGGGTGCTGGCCGGGGACGGTGTACTCGGGCAGGCGGGTGACGCCGGGCCAGTTGTCCTCGGTGGGCGTGCCGATGTTCTCGCAGATGAGCTTGATCTGGTCGAGCTCGTTGTTGCCGGGCATGTAGGGGGCGCGCAGGACGAGCTCGGCGAAGACGGTGCCGACGGACCAGACGTCGACGGCGCCGCTGTAGTAGCGCGCGCCGAAGAGGAGCTCGGGGGGCCGGTACCAGCGCGTGATGACGTTGGACGTCATGTGGCGATGGGGGTCGGCGAAGCTGCGGGCGAGGCCGAAGTCGGCCAGCTTGACCTCGCCGTCGGCGGCGATGAGCAGGTTGTTGGGCTTGATGTCGCGGTGCAGGACAAAGTTCTCGTGGCAGAACCAGACGGCGCGGGTGAGCATGCCCATCCAGGCCTTGATGTCGGCGGCGCCGTAGCGCACGTTGTCCGTGTCGCGGATGAGCATCTCGAGGTCGCCGAGCGGGAGGTACTCGAGCACCAGGTTGAGGTTCTGGTCCTTGGACGAGAAGACGGAGAGCAGCGAGATGATGTTGGGGTGCTGCAGCTCCTGCAGGTGCTTGAGCTCGCGCACCGCGTCGGGCGCCATGCCCTCGGTGTATTCTTTCTGGACCTTGATCTTCTTGATGGCGACGCGCGTCGACGGGCTGGAGCGCAGGTGGCCCAGGAAGACGATGGCGTAGGTGCCCTCGCCGAGCTTCTTACCCTTGACGTACTTGCGCTTCTCCTCCTCGTTCATCTGCTCGGCGAGGTCCAGCGTCGGGGCCAGCGTCGTTTGGTTTGTTGGCGGCGCTGCTGCTGCTGGTGCTGCTGGTGGTGCGAGGCCGGGTTTCGGGGTTCCATTGCTTGAGGTCTGACCGGAGCCGGATGCGAGGTTCTTGAGAGGCGAGGAGACGGTTCGTAATGTCTGGACATTGTCGAGCGTCTGATTTGAAGGAGCGGAGGAGGTGGTTGTCACGACGGGGGAGAGCGCCATGATGGGAGGGAGGAGGGCGGTGGATTGGGCTTTAGCGGGTGGACGATGGCGAATCAGGATGCGTGTCGAGCGGAGGGAAATTGTGATAGTCGTAGGTAAAAGCTCAGATGATGTGGGAGTTGATCAAGGGTTAGGGAAGAATTGGTATGAAGAAGTAGGTATGTAGGAGAGGTGGAGGATGAAGAGGATGAAGCTTGGAATACATGTGATGGGAAGCTTATCGCTACTATCGTTATCTTATCGGAGCCTGAGCTTTGAAGTCTGCATTCATGGCCAATCAAATTGCAGCTGGCGAAGTACTTCACTCACAGTACCTTCAAGGTAAGGCACTTTGTACATTTATAGGACCTCTTCCATCCATCGTCCAGCAACGTCTGAAATACTCGATTCTGATCGTCATCGAACATCATGGCTACTTTGTCGGAACCTATGCATCTACTTATTGAAACTATTGTATTAGCTCCATTCAAACTATTCATCCTCGCCGCCCGTGATCCAGGCTACTCGGGAATCGCCTCTAATAGCGAAGTCAAACAGTGATGAAAGTGGAATGGCTATGGATACTCGTCAGCGGAGCCGTTCCACCTTCACGTTGCCTTCTCGATCAATCGTGAGTCTGATGGTAAGGTACATCTGGAATAGACTCCAGCTTCAAATCACGATTTCGGGAAAGCACTCGGTCTAATGGCGCGACTTGCAACTCTGAAGGATTGGCCCTAGCTGAGCCACCAGGCGGATTGCGGCCACGCATCTCCAGAACAGGGCATGTTATACAGCCGTTATGACATGTAAGCTTCCACGCAGCGCATATTCAGAGTCCTCGAAGGGCGTGTTTCTTGCGTGTTCCTCTGAGCCCACAGAAGTCGAGGAATATCTTGTCTATTGTCGATGTACTGTGGTGTATTTGGCCGCAAGCGTGCAAGAGCAGTCTCTTTCTCGGCGGATCAAGTAGTCATTCGACTCACGGTAGGAAGAGCTTGAGAAGGAATGGGGGAAAGACTGGGTGTATTAAGTCATGTTTTATGTCTGGAAGATGGCTATGACATACGTGTCATATGTAGATGGACACATTATGCAGGCATGTGTGCGCCTTGAGAGTAGCGGAGTTGTTTTGCCTTAAGAGCAATGGCGGTTGGAGATGCTCTGAGGTGCAGTATGTGTAGGTATGTATAGGTAGCGGTGTGCGTTATACCTTCAGCGTATTTCCGTTTGTTTGACGTAGCAACATGCGTGAAAATGAATGTTAAGGGTATTATGTAAATAGATGTAGTATGGAAATGACCGCTGCCGGCGCGCAAGAGCGAAAGCATGGAAAATCATGTATTGAGCTGGATGTACCTTCGCCACAAGAAGTTGGTGAACTTCCGCTTGATTGGGGGCCAAAACGGGTTATGAGGCAGCAAGGGGTCCTGTTAGTGGTGATATCGACATGTGACTGTTATTCCAGAGTCAAGACGTCAAAGAGAGTGAAAGTGACCAATCTACAACCAGATATTGTTTACTATTTCAAGCTCTAGCTCGGCGGCCTTTTGATTGTCGTGAATGTTCTTCTCTCGTTTCCCCAAAGCCCTTGCCATCATTTTCTCCCTCTCCTTCCCCGACTGTGTCTGCTGCCGTTCATCTTTCCGCAGCTCCTCCGTCTGTCATCCTGGCGGCATGTCGAGGATCAGCATTAAGTGAGGGTTAGCAGCCTTGCAATGAACCTCCCGGATCTTGCAGTCCAGCTTATGCTGCTTTGAAGGCGGGGGCACATTGAGGGGCAACAGCGCTATGTGAGAAGCCATGTATAGCAATTGACGGCCTCGGATGCGGGCTGATTCATTGCGTTTCGAGAACCGAAATAGTAACGGTTGACTGCTCTCTATGATTTGCTGTGTCTGGTCTCGAGTGATTGCAGTTGTGCCCACGCCGGCAGCAACATCCATGTGCTGCCATTTCACTACTTATTGTCTGAGCAAGCCTAAGGAAAAGTCATCACGCAGTCTGTAAAATCTCTAAATTAGACAACATGCAAGTGCAGCTACGCTACCTGACATATGCTGTCCTGATGAGTCTCCGAATAAGCTCCGCTGGAAATCGGCGAGCTTCCGAAAGCCCCGTCTGGTTCGGGCCGGCCCGTTCCGCCCCGTGCGGAGCACTTGTCTGAGATGTTGGATAATTCTAAGGGGCAACAGCATTACCTCACTAGCAAATGCTGAGCCGGATGCATCACATGCTCTTCATAAATAGGTACGTATACGCAAGTAACAGCCTCCTATTCATTCTCTGATTCAACCCAGTCATGGCAGGTTGCTAGAAGACATAGTTGAGGTTGAAGTGTGCCTGTGGCCGCAGCCATGTAGAAATCGGGCAGAGGCTTGTTTGAGAATTCACTCAATGCCCTCAACGCGAAGAGAGATTTAGGGGTCAAAAGGATGCAGGTCTGTGATATGAAATGAACCGGCTTTTGAGGCTTGCTCCGAAATTGGACTGGTGCTCTTGTCCCTTCTTGAAGTTTAGAAACGTAGGCTTGCCATCTTTCGATTGGACCGAGAAAGCGAATGGTCCCTCTGCTTCTTCGCGGTGACTAGAGTTAAGAGGGTATCACAAATCGTATCACGCCTCTGCTGATTATCAAACACATGAACAGTATTGAGCTGATGAATGTTTAACCTCGTTAATGTTACATAATATCTTTTTCTGTGTTCTAGATAGAGATTCTGATATTAAACGTGGAAGTTGAGGGGGTCTGTCTTGTTATGGATGGTTTTCCTTATGACTTACCTATATCGATTTAATGACCTTGTATAGCATGATGGTAAATCCGATAGTGAATACATATGAGGCTAGTCTTGAGGCATGGTAAATAAAAGGAGTAAGCCTTTCCAAGTTTTCTCCACGCTTGAACGTAGGGAGACTCGTATGGATTCAGAGTCAGTTCACCGCCAAATTGATAGGAGCGTGGTCTGCACCGGTGGCTTAAGGGGGATGATAGCTGATTCTTGCTAAGAACGTTGAACATAACCCTCTCTAGGTACGGATATCAGCCGGCTTATTCCAATATACCCAGCGCCAAAAGGCCTATTTCGTTTTCGTGTCCGACTTAGGAGGTTTCTTCTCGTCCCTTTTCGCAAATGCATGACTTTTCAGCATCCATAGCCTATCCGAGTATATTGGCGTCTCTCCAACGTTGATCAACCGAGCCGTTACTGTGTTTCTGATCTTCCAAAACCTTGCTTCGTCGTTTATGGCGAACTTGTCGACATGCCTGATACACACTCCAGTGGTATACTCAATAGTAGGATATAACCCATTTAATTCAATCTACTTAATCGATGATTTCAATAAGCTGCTGTACAGCATCTCTGATTGCTATATGTGAGATACTGAAGGGATCGAAACAGACCATTGGAGCACTGGACTCGAGTGCCGTAGAGAACAACAAAGTGCGTATAAAACTGAATGAAAGAGTGTTGAGACGAAGCTAGCTATAGTTTTGGCTGCGAGGATGAAGGAATCTGTATGGTCAACCTCTTACAACCTATGTGTGCTGGGTTGTAACACCAATATCTAACAAATGGCAGCATGAGGTATTTCAAGCTTTTGGGATTGGTTCCAAGGGACGTCCATCATTCCACTGGTCGGGTGGCGTCCACCCAGACGCCCAAGTGATGCCCCTGGCTGGCACCGCAATATCAGTGAGACCAAAGGCAGCAATCATTCCCTTACCAGCGGCAGTCTTCTGTAAGTTTGTATATTCCTGCTGTGACGTCCGGCCAACCCCAGAGCCCCAAAATAGACCATCAAGCATCAGGGCGAAAGCAAAGAGCTTGTTAGAGTCGGGAACCCATAGAGCACGTTTGTTGTTCCTTAGGGCGTGTGCCGCAGCGAAGCCATGTGTTGGAGGGGTACCTGCGAGGAAGAATTTAGTGGAAGCCCCTGGATGGCCTGCAAAGGGTTGACTTACTAAAGATAGAGCCACCAGACCACAAGGCCTCTGTGTAGAGGGCGCCGAGCCAACTCTTGCCCGCTACATCAAGCGTCGTACCACTAGCAAATGTGGTAGGTCCGTTGCTTGTAAATCCCAGTGGCAGATTCATGTTCTTTGTACAGAGGATGATATTTTGAGTCCAATTATTATCATTGTAGGCCGAGTATGACGAGAGGACGTTTGTCGCGCATGTGGTGATGACTTCTCTACGAATAGAGTCGATGCCAAGCTCGAGTTCATCATGATTGTAAGGGTCCGCTGAGGCAGGTGAGCAATGTAACCGATGATTCGAAGACGGATTAAACACTAACTGTAAATGAGTGTGCCGTTGCTGTCCTTGGACAGATACGGGGCATCATCGCAAACCAGGACCATATACGGATCGCCTTCCACATGTCCCCATTGGTATTGGATTCCCCAAAACTGGTCTTGTGGAAAACTGTCAGTTGGTGATCTTTGCCACTTGCCTTACCAGCTGTGTAACTTACTTGCCACAACCCAAATGCCCAGTCTCCCAGCTTCAGTACCTGTATTGTTGCCGAAGAAAGCGTCGAAGGTCGAATTCAGTCGATATCTCTCCCAAGCAAGAACATCGGCAGGGAGTGTTGTCGGCGACTGCTTGCTAGGGTTGTACATGCGATACAAGCCTGAATCGGAGATGTTGACAAGGGTATCAATGGCAGTAGTGAAGAGGCCACCAGGGCCAGCAGCAGCCGGAAAGCCATAAGACTTCGCCCAAGGGTCACATGTTGCCGCATCAACCCACACCGCTGAGCTACCGATGCGTTGGGCAACTGCTGCTTGAAGACCCCCGAGTGTAGCCAGGATGGCGAGTGTCGGAGTTTTCATAATGGTCTATATGAGAAATGAACGTATTGGGTTATAAATGAGCGTAATGAAGGGAGCAAAAAGCAAAAAAAGGAGTGTTGAGTACTAAGTTACAAGAAGAAACGAAAGGAATATTAGCAGGACGAGAGGGCCTTCGAGTATATAAGCAGTAAATCATTTACAGATACAAGCAGTTACCCCTTTTCTACGCTATGTGACGGACTGTAGGCGTTGGTTCTTTCCTTTGTGATGACCAACAGTTTGGTGTTGGTTCTACCCCTCGTGGTGACCAACAGTTCGGCTTTGATGCTACCCTTTGTGGTATTCCAGGGTTCTGCGCTCCTGTAAGGTAGGATTCATAATTTTACTGAAAGTCGGGGCTCTGCGCGGCTGTAGGATTCTTGGTCTAATAGGATGTGAACGTTCCGGTCTTCCCGCAAATTGACCAATATAGTCGTTTTTCTGCATAGGCCAACATATTCAACTTATCTGCTAATCCTGCTGCATAACTGGCTGGCTGATCTACAAACTAACCTGTAGATGCTATGAAGAACGCCGAAAAATGTATCTTCACAGCCACCCATATAGCCACGCCTGTAGAGATCCACCAGATCTGGCGACAGAAACTGAATTGACCTTTGTTGAGTGGCTCAGGAGGAAGGGGGCCAGGGCAAATACGTTGGGTGCCACTCGAGGCGAAGTCCGAACTGTTGGTCACGAAGGGCTGCATGCATATGATTAAATTAAGAAAATGACAACATGAACACTGTAGATACCGCGCTTGATATATCTCCTGATGTAGTTGCCAACCTCTATGAACCTGGGTTCTTGACCATCGTATGATTTCTCGGACTGTTCTCGTCAACTTCTCAAGAGCTCACTATCACAGTGCGGCACCGTATAGTTTATCGCCTTTGCCATGACACTTTCTAGAACTGCAAGGAGAAGTCGTTGAAGTTGAGTTCATTCCAGCGCCGGCGGCCTGGTGAGGTCGTTTTCAGCTCAACGAAGTCGATCGTCGGAAAGCCGTGGCCAAGCAGGCAGATGGCAGCGCGGCACCCTGGGAGCCCAAGCCTTGCAAGCTGAGATTCGAACCCCTTTAAGACACTGTTGTTCATCGGCGATATTGTCTGGCCACTCGTTTACATGGGGGCCGCAGCAATCATAGGCTTCGGCTGGGCTGCCGAGATGCGCGTCTTCATCTCGGCCCCTCTGATCCTTACTGCTTGCTACAATAGCATGAATCTTTTGCTCGTTGACCTCTACCCAAAGCCCCTTCAACTTCCTCTGCCGCAAACAAGCTGACGAGGTGTCTCATGGCGGCAGGAGGATCTGCCGTTATTGAGCGTATGATATGGGGCATGGGGATGATGGTGTCCCTGAAGGTGGTAATCTGAAGCTTCGACGGTGGAATATGGGCAAAGCGTGGCGCCGATGTGTTGAGAAAGTCGTCTACAATTGCCAGCGAGGAGCGTCTGGATAGCCTGGTAATGCTCTGTGTGGTCATGGACGGTAGCATCCTTATTGGGCCTCCTGGGCTAAGAAATAACGTGAAGCAAGTGTAGTATGAAGTCGAGAAGGCGACGTACGTTATGAATGGTACCGTCTCCGATTGTATTGAGCGGCGAACGGCAGCCTGATATACATTATACCAGTGACAATGTCCGACGGATGCCTTTGATTACATACCGGGTAGACTTCTCCATTTTCCATGCCGGAGACCGATATTATATCCACTCCATGGCCTATCGAGATGATTCTCACTTACACGGGTGTGAGAGGCTCATCATTCACACGCTGACATGTCACTTGGCCTATGGCGAAGTCTGATGGAATGCTGTCATACAATATGTGAGCAAAATTGAGAAACTGCAATCGACTGTGTTCTTTTGGTGAAAGAGACATATATCCCGGATGACGGATAGCCGAAACTCCAGCCCGTGCCGGGTCCGATCGGAGGCCCGACAGAGCCTGTATCCTTCTCAAAAACAGGCACAAACGAATCGGGAATATTGTTCAATATCCGAAGGCCTTGATCCAGATTCGAAGCTAACGTCGCAATCTCAGCTCTCGGAACATTGTGCCGGACCTCTGTCGACGGGAGGTTGCTGTGCCAGGAACCTGGAGAGCTAGTGTTCGCGATGAAACAACATCGAGGGCAATGAGAGTAGTAGATCGTCAGTGAGGCTCTGTTCCGTATAGCTAGAATGGCCCATTCCGTACAATATGCAACTGCAGGAGTAGAGCTTGCTCCACCATGTGAACCTTCTCGTCATGTCGACACATTTAGGCTGAACCATGACATGGAGGATGCCGGCCTACTGGACCTGGGGTAAAAGAGCTGTCTGCGGGGACGAATATCCTAGTGAGTGAGCATGCCTGCCCTGTGAAAATGGGAATTTTTCCTATTGGAGGAGGCAATGTCTGATGCTAAGAGCATGTACGTGGATTCTCGGGATGGCTTCTTTCCAGTCCTTAGGTGTATGTATACTACATAACGTATAAACAAATTATAAGCAAGAATCCGAGGAGTTGCTGAGCGTAGCAGGATGACAGAGCCATGAGCGATACAGAGAAGCAAACATACAATTAGCCAAGTCGGGATAAAGAAAATACATACACTTGAACCGCTTGGCCCTTGTGAACAAACGGCCTGTGGTTTTCCCCAAGTTTCCATGATGCAACTGAGCAAACCGAATGCCGGGCCCTTTTTGCCGGAGCCCCTCATCAGAATCCGCTGAGCAACCGGTTCATGGATTTAATATCCGGAATAGCTTCGCCGCAAGTCTGTGGGGTAGCACCCCGGCAGATGCCACTGTGCCTTTGCATGTGGGGAGACGCCAGAGTATGGGGAACCATGTACGCGGCAGCAGTACACCTCTCGGACCTGGAATTGCACGCATGTGAGGTATTCTGCATGTCCTGACTCCATCATGCCAGGAAAGCAGCGAGAGGTATTAGAGCCTCATCAATGGCCTCAATCGATGCCAATGGCTCTACAACAGACGTCAGCATGAAGAGCAGCTCCCGATTACCCAGAGCTTTACCCAGCGGCACTTTCGTGCAACGGCCAAGAAACGCTGCAGATCTCGTCTTCTCCAACCCCTCAGTCTCCAACTGCAGCCAGGATCTCCAGGCCGGATCGTGAATGTCCACACTTTAGGCTAAAGGCCCTGCCCTGGTCGACAATGGGCAGAAACAACCTGCTGCTTGACAGCATGGAAGTGTTGGCACTTGCTGAGCCATCACATAATGCATCAATTGAACAGAAGGGAGCACATACGGTTGGACGGAAGCGGTGTACATGTATTTATGCCATATGATGCTATATAACAGATGGCGGTGCCCATCTTTGGCTCCATGTCAACGCCCCTACCATCCAGCCCCAAGGCACAAGCGGCGCAGTCATGGTGATAATACACAGTCTTCTTCTTCTGCTGCTGGCGGCCATTGTGCCTGTCTTTGCTGAGAGCGGCATTGATGCCTGGTTGCGATACGCTCGTCTTCCATCGTCTGCGACGAAAGGCCATCTCAATTCTTTCCCAGACAGCATCGTCGTCCTCAACGCCACTAAGAACGGACCCCTGGCGAGTGCTTCGTCAGAGCTTCAGAAGGGCATCAAGGGCATTCTAGGTCTTGATCTGGATGTCAGCTCCGGCGGAGGAAAGTATTGCTCTGCGCAGAAGAGCATTGTCATTTCCACTCTCGACACGTACCGGTCCGCCTGTGGCAGCAAGCTCTCACCGAGGCCGAGCCTCAAGGATGACGGATACTGGCTGAGCACCAAGGGAGGGTCAGTCCAGATCCTCGGCCAGAATGAACGGGGCGCTCTCTACGGCGCGTTTCAGTATCTCTCGCTCCTCGGCCAGGGAGACTTTTCGGACAAGGCGTATGCTTCGAACCCAAGCGCGCCTGTTCGATGGTCCAATCAGTGGGACAACCTCAATGCGGCAACGGCAGCCCATGGAAGCATCGAAAGGGGCTATGGAGGACCGTCCATCTTCTTCGAGAACGGGCTCGTCAAGGAGGATCTCTCTCGAGTCCCGCTCTACGGCCGTCTGCTGGCCTCGGTCGGCCTCAACGGCGTCATCATCAACAACGTCAATGCCGACGCCAATCTCCTCAACGAGACGAACCTCCTCGGCCTCAAGAGAATTGCCGACCTGTTCCGGCCGTGGGGGGTCAATGTCGGCATCTCACTCAACTTTGCATCGCCGCAGGTTCTCGGAAACTTGTCCACGTTTGACCCTCTGGATGAAACCGTCATCAAGTGGTGGACGGACAAGACAGACAGAATCTACCAGCTCGTGCCGGATCTGGCCGGCTATCTGGTCAAGGCCAACTCCGAGGGCCAGCCGGGGCCCCTGACGTACAACCGCACTCTGGCAGAGGGTGCCAACCTGTTTGCAAAGGCCGTGCAGCCTCACGGCGGCATCGTCGTCTTCCGGGCCTTTGTCTACGACCAGCTCAACGAGACGGACTGGAAGGCCGACCGAGCCAATGCCGCCGTCGACTTCTTCAAGGATCTGGATGGTCAGTTTGACGACAACGTCCTGGTCCAGATCAAGTACGGCCCCATCGACTTCCAGGTCCGAGAGCCTGCTTCTGCCCTCTTTGCCAACCTGCCCAAGACGGCCGTGTCCATCGAGCTGGAAGTCACTCAGGAGTATCTCGGCCAGCAGTCGCACCTGGTCTATCTGCCGCCTCTATGGCAGACCGTACTAGGCTTCGACATGCGATACAACAACCGCCAGTCGTATGTTCGCGACATTATATCCGGCGAGGTGTTCAACCACAAGCTCGGCGGATATGCTGGCGTCATCAACGTCGGCATGGATGATACATGGATAGGCAGTCACTTGGCCATGTCCAACATGTTTGCGTATGGACGGCTTGCCTGGAACCCGAAAGCAGACTCTCGAGACATTGTCGAGGAATGGACTCGTTTGACGTTTGGCCTGGACCGAGATGTCGTCTCGACCATTGCCGACATGTCCCTCAAGTCGTGGCCCGCGTACGAGGGATACAGCGGCAACCTTGGCATCCAGACGCTGACCGACATCCTTTACACTCACTATGGCGCCAATCCTGCCTCTCAGGACAACAACGGCTGGGGCCAGTGGACGCGTGCCGACGCCAAAACCATTGGAATGGACCGCACTGTTTCCAACGGCACGGGCAACGCCGGGCAGTACCCCAAGGAGGTCGCCGACCGGTTTGAGCACACCCAGACCACCCCTGACGACTTGATGCTCTGGTTCCATCACGTTCCGTACACCTTCAGGCTGCACTCTGGCAAGTCCGTCATCCAGCACTTCTACGACGCTCACTACACCGGCGCTGCGACGGTACAAAAATTCCCAGCGGATTGGAGGTCGCTCAAGAGCAAGATTGACGCCGAGAGGTACAATGCCGTCTTGTACAAGCTGCAGTATCAGGCTGGCCACTCGCTCGTTTGGCGTGACGGCATCAGTGAGTTTTATCGAAACCTGTCGAGCATCCCGGACCAGCTTAACCGCGTCCGTAACCATCCACACCGGATCGAAGCCGAAGACATGGATCTTTCGGGCTTCACGACCGTCAATGTCTCCCCTACCGAGTGCGCGTCCAAGTACAAGGCGATTGCTACCAACGGGACAGGTACGGCCACGACGAGACTAAACGTCCCGAGCGGTAAGTATACAGTTGCCGTCAACTACTACGACGTGATAAACGGAACTGCTAGCTACGATGTGCTGCTGAATGGCAAGTCTGTCGGCACGTGGAAGGGTGACTCGGAGAATCATCTTGGTCATGATTTCAGCACGTTTCTTGACTGCCACTCGGCTATTCGCATTACGTTTGAGGGAGTCAAAATCTCGAGGGGAGACAAGCTGACTATCAAGGGGACCGGGGATGCTCAGGAGCAGGCGGCGATAGACTATGTGGCCATCTTACCTCAGGGGGTGGTGGATTAATTACATGTCAGAAGCGGAATGTTTTTTTTTAATACATGGAACAATCTAATAACTTGCAATTCTGAATCATTTTCTCAAGCCAACTCCATACTTCTTCAGCAGCTCTTGCACTCTGTCAACCGGCAGTGCCGTCGTAGTCCTTCCCTTGAAGCCTACCAACGTCTCAGCCTTGCACATGGCGTTCAAGATGGCTTCTTCCGTCGTCTCTGACACCGCATAGAAAAGACTGTCTATGGTTTCGTTCTTGAGAGTCTCTACGGGCTGGCTTTCCAGTGGTGGCAGATATCCAAAGCCGTCGGATGAAGTCGCGAGTTGGTCCGGCGATGTCCCCGTAGATAGGGCGAGGGATATCTCTCCGGAAAAGTTTCGTCCTGCCGAGTGGCCTCCCACCTGCAAAAGGCAAATGACAGAAGTTAGGAATACTGGCATAAATGGCGAGAGAGCCTTTTCTTCTCACCTGAGTGATGCCCATGCCGGCGTGCTGCGCGAGACGTCGCAGTTGATGAGGCAACAAAGGTGCGTCCGTTCTGGGATGAAGAAGTCAGCAACAGTGCACTTCATGGCAGGGGAGTTGAAAAATACGTACATGATGATCACTATGATACCTACATGAGCTGTCAATCATCTGTCATTGTATATTTTGCTGAACGTCGTTTCAGGGGTTTCAGGGGTAACTGACTGCCTTCAGCCGCCTTGCCCCCAACGGGCAAGCCTTTGTCTGCCTTTGCAGTCTCCCCCCTAGACTCTGCCTCTTCCGCCATCAGCAACTCGCCAACAGGCACGTTACCGATCCTCAGATCCGGCTTCTGGCCATGGTTTGCCTGCACCAAAACACCAAGCGTGTAATCACGCTCCGCACCAGGGACGACGCGCGAGCTGGTGCCGGTCCCGCCCTTGTATCCATGGCAGCGCATCGCCGTGCCGCCGCCGTAATTACCCTCCAAGACCTCCGTCTGCGTCTGGGCGGCGGCAATGGCATCGTAGACGGAGGCCTTGTCCAGCACGGAGGCGCTGATGTCGTTGAGGAGGCCGTCGTAGGTCTCGCCGACGACGGGGATGGAGAAGCGGCGCAGGCTTTCGATGTCGTCCTCGCCGTTTTTGCGGGCCTGCTCCATGTCCCAGAGGAAGAGGCCGTCGTAGACTTTGCCTACGCTGACGGTGTTTGTGATTGCGATTGGCTGGAGTGGTTGTGCTGGTTAGTTGAGACTGCTGGCATTTGATGGGGTTGCATGTATGATGTTGTTGGCGAGGGCGCTTACTATGTTGATGTATCCATATTCAGCAAGAGCATGAGATCCCGTCAACTCGCCCATCCCATTGAGATCGTGGGTTGCCGCATAACAAGGCTTGAGCCGAGTGTCTTTTGCTCCGCGAGGCAAGATGACGGTCAACCCCGTGTGAATGTCGGTGCCTTCATGGACAGTTATCTGGCCGACATGAACGCCTAGATTGACCAAATAAGCATTCTTCATGAGAGTTATCAGTCCTTGAGGAAGCGAAATTACCGGGCACATCGAGGATTGAGTTCTTGGGTCCTGGTGTAAACTTGCCCGGGCTATAACCCAGGTCACGGATTCGTGGTCGATTGCTGATGGGCAAAGACGAGGATGGTATTGGTGCTCTTATTTGGGTCATGGCGAATTATGTAGATGATTGAATCGAATTGACGTGATTATCTCTTGTTTGTAATCAGTGGTTGTGTATACTATCTCGAGTCTTTCCTGGAGGGAGGTGGAGCGGCTGCCAGCATACAGTATATATAGCAGGTCCCACGAACAAGAAGCCCCTCAGACGCGGGTAATACGAGAGTCTTTTGAGCAGCAGAACGTTTTGAATTGAAATTAGTGTATGATAGACAATGCAGAGGACTCTTGTCTGGAAAAGTCAAGCTGCGTCTGATTTGATGCCCTAGTCCCGCACTATCTCAGCCTCATAAGATCCGGTCTTATTCACGCTGCTCTCTTCTTCAACACTTGCGTCGATTGCATCAATTCTTTGAGTTTGTCGGTTTGGCATCTGACACTAACTATTCTCATTTCTTCTACATCATCTGCATCATGACCTCGCTTACAGACGCTGACACCCGGCGAGTACAACCTCCCCCCGGCCGCATGCGAATCCGAGACCTCCTCCCCAACCTGAAGCTCGGCCGTTATCCTCCAGGTCCCTTAAACTCGATCACCGATGTTCCCGGTGTCTTGGTCCACACGCAGTCCATCATCCTGCCAAAGACGGCTCACCACCATGAGGTCAACACCGGCGTCACCTGCATCTTGCCACGCCGAGACTTCATCGACCATGGCTGCTATGCGAGCGTCTTCCGCTTCAACGGATGCGGAGAGATGACGGGCAGCCACTGGATCGACGAAACGGGCCTCTTGAACTCGCCCATTGTTCTTACAAACAGCTACTCTGTGGGTGCCGCGTACTCGGGCATCTACCAATACTGCAGGTCTCGGCTTGCCGTCCAGCAGGGGCCGGAAAGGGGGCTCTGCAGCGGCTTCATCCTGCCCGTAGTGTCAGAAACATTTGACGGCTATTTATCTGACATTGGGGCCATGGCGGTGACTCCCGAGCATGTTGCGCGAGGCATTGAGCTCGCTTCTGCACAGCGGGTCCCAGAGGGAAACACGGGTGGAGGCACGGGGACAATCTGTCAGGGGTTCAAGGGCGGAACTGGATCGTCGAGTCGTGTCATTGATGGATTGATACTGGGAGGAGGAGGCGAGGGGAGCAATCCGACAGCCGTCAAGTACACGGTTGCGGCGCTGGTGCAGACCAACTTTGGCACCAGCCGCGATTTGAGAGTCGGGGGAGTCCCTGTTGGGCAGCTGATGAAGGAGCAAGTCGCATCGGAGGCCACGACTTCGAGACGTGAGGATGAAGGGGTCAAAGACGGCAGCATCATCGTCGTCCTTGCCACCGACGCGCCGCTCCATCCTCTGCAGCTGCAGCGGGTTGCCAAACGTGCTTCTGTTGGGTTCAGCCGGGTCGGGGGCTGGGGGAGCAACAGCTCGGGCGACATCTTCCTCGCCTTCTCCACGGCGCACCACGTCCCGCGGGATCCTGCCTTTAGCTGGAAGCCGACGGTTGGCCAAAGTGTTGAGGTGGTGCAGGATGTCACGAGCAATGCGCTGTTTGAAGCGGCTGCGGACGTGACCGAGGAGGCCATCTATAATGCGCTTTGCTGCGCGGAGGACATGAGAGGCCCGGCTGGGAGGTTTGTCAGGGCTTTGGACCTCCATAAGCTGAAGAGCATCGCCGACAAGTATTTGTAGTATAGACCCTTGTACCACATACAACAATAGGAGGCCTCCTTCTGTCCGTTACCAGCTGAGACTGAGTATATCGTCCAAGGTGGTGACATCCTCGGCGGACCCCCAGTGCTCGGCATATTGGTAGTTCAGGGAATCTCCGACGTCCTCTCGCTGAGGAACAGCTTCTCTTTGCACTTCTGCATGTCCCGAGATTGACTGGATGCCACCCTCTGAGTCCACCAGCATTGTATGGTCTTCTGGGGCAACATGTAGAGCATCTCCAGCCCCATTCGCCAAGGGTGTCCCCCTGAGCTCGTGTGGTTCTTGGCTTGTGATGGAGCTCGCCAATATTGGCAGTCCATCAATGATGTGCTCTGCATTAGATGTTGACTCTGTGTTCAGCAATCTCTCAACTGTATCTGGATGCTCTTCCAGACCGCATAGATCAGTTGACCGAAGAACAAGAGACATGCGCGTAGGTACTTACTAGTTGTTGACTGACGCTTTCTGTGTGATTGATCGTCAACTGAGAGGGACGGCCTTCGCTTCTGTGTCGAAATAGGGGCATGGCCATCCTCTGAATTCTTTGTCGTAAACTTTGCAAATACATTTTGTGCGCTCCGGGCAGTTGAGGCGTCCATCGTAAAATACAAGGTATTCTCCAGCCGTCGAATGTCTGTGTCATGCGCATGCAGCTGGCTCTGCAGCTGTTCAAACAGCATCTCGCGACTCTCTGCTGTGTTCATCGACGCATACTTCTCGCAACGCCAACGATAGCCAATGTGGATGCTCAGAATACGTTTAATAGTGACCACGGCGTCGTCTAGATGACTTGCGCGGATCAAAACCATGCGACCCTCCTCGGTTTGCTTCAAGAGTTGATGCAATGCTTCGACCTTCTTACGAGAGAAGCGTTTCTCCCAGCTATTTCTCACTGTCAGGACATGAACAGCAACTCTCCAATGAGGTCAGGGATAGAAGGGAGCATCGAGCCCAACTCACACGTCCTGTGATCGTGAACCCAAGAGGAGATTAATCCCAGGGGAAATAATGTCCTCTGCAAAGCTGTACGCAATAGCCGCTCGAATCTCCTCAACTACCTCCTTGTGCGACTTCCCCCATTCTCCGGCAAGCATCTTGTTGCCCACAATCGCCGTCCGAAAGCCCCTTTCTCGCAGTCCGTCGTATGACTCCCCCAGGTCGTTCCGCATGTCGACCAGCAGCACGGCGGCGATTCTGTCTAGCGCAATGGCCATGTGCTGCTCGTTGCGGAGCTTGGAGCGCAAGGCGGAGAGCCTCGCTCCGGGGCTGTCGAGATGGTTCTCCTCTGATAGGGCGAGCAGTGGTGCCTGGCGTTGAAGGCCTGTCATACTCCAGCGGAGGTTTGTGACGTTTATGATGGCCTTGTATGCGCGGATCACGATACCGTCTGCTTCACTTGGGCGAGGGCTTGTTGTTGAGAGATGAGCAGAAGACGATGGAGCGCTGAACTTTTGAACGTCACCACCAGAGTCATGGCCGTTACTGATGGTTTCCAAGGAAGTAGTTCTTCTAGGTCCGTCCAAGTCTTGCATTCCGGGCTTCATCTCCAACCTCGGCGCACGCGCGGCATCGCTAGATAGAGAAACCTCTTCATAGCTGTCACCAATGCCTGAATCATCGCAGTCCGTGTCCGCAGAGCAAGCACCGCTGGGCGTCGGCGGACATAGTAGCCTTAATTGCTCGCGAGTGCATCGTCCGAGGAAGACTTTGAGAGTGTGTACGAGCCGCTTCAATACACGCAGGTATATAGATGATCATGAGTGAGATACTTCCGTAAGAGCTTGTGGCATCTATTGCTCGATAATGAGATTGAAACTTCATACCTCGTCTTTGAATACGTCTGCCGGCTTTGCCAGAGTCAAGCAACTGAGCTGACACCGATGGGTATGTGACGACTGTCCATCCTCCATGACATTTTCGTACTGGAGATTGTAAACAGATGGATCAAAGGATGGAAGCCTATCACTGCAACAGGCTCGCAGCCCAGTTATCTACTGAGAGGCATGGACACACAGACAGAGGAGAGTAGAAGTGAGGCAAATGCCGAGTCGGCATTTGGCAATCCGCCAATGAGATGCTAGGGCTGACCAGCAGATTGAATCTGTTCATCTCGGGTTGCTTGTTCTGGCTAGTATCGGGAGCAGTAGCCGGCTCCGAATGGCGTCGCGATAGGAACTCGAGCATCATGCTGGGGTTTGAGAGCTTGAGGGCTGGACTGGTTGGTGACGGTAAAAGCAGAATCATCATGTATCTGTACAGAAAGGCTGAAGACAATCATCCTGACTTAGTATGCCGAGGGCAGTACATGTACGTTGTCGTGCATAATCTAGCATCGTCCCCCTTATGAGCTGTATGAGAAGCCCATTCTATGTAACATGGATGTCTTGTAGCTGGGCTCGGCTGTCTCCTCACCGGAATGCATAAAACTACCCACTCATCAGAACGCAGTCGTTCTGTCACTATCTTACATATTGAGCCTCGTACAGTATTCCATCATGCTGAGCGAGACAATCACAGCCGCTGTTGATACAGTCCTGCATCGAGACTTGAAGCACGCTCCCTTCCGCGTCGTCTCGTCTTCCGGGCTCTACATCTATTTTGACAATGGCAGAAAGATCCTCGACGCCACCGGAGGAGCGGCCGTATCCTGCATCGGCCACGGCGACGAGCGAGTGATTGCGGCCATTGTAGCACAAGCCATGACGCTGGACTACTGCCACACCATGTTCTATTCGTGCCCGAGTGCAGAAGACTTGTGCAAGCAGCTGATTCAAAGCACGGGTGGCCAGATGGCGAGGGCGTTTATTGTCTGCTCCGGTACGGTCGAGACCATATGCATACCCCCTATCACTACAATGTAACTCAGCCAGACGAACTTAACACATGAGAGGACAGGTTCAGAAGCAATGGAAGCGGCAATGAAGCTCTGCCGCCAATATTTCCTGGAACTGCCCACACCAGAGCCTACACGGACGCACTTCATAGCTCGCAGGGAGTCCTATCACGGAACCACATTGGGTGCTTTGTCCGTGGGCGGCCACGTCGGTCGAAGGGCAGCATATGAGCCGATTCTCATGCAAAACGTCTCCCATGTCTCGCCATGCAACCCCTATAGAAACAAGCTGGACTCTGAAAGCACAGCGGAATACGTGGAGAGACTCGCGCAAGAGCTGGATGCCGAGTTTCAGCGCGTGGGAGCTCACAATGTCTGCGCCTTTATCGCGGAGCCGGTTGTTGGCGCGGTTCGTAACCAATTCAGTTCCTCCTTTTATCTAAACTCTACCCCTGAAACCCCTGGACGATTCTACTAATACGATGCAGGCACTGGGGTGTGTCCCGGCAGTGGAGGGATACTTCAAAGCCATGAAGGCCGTGTGTGACAAGCATGGAGCGCTCTTGGTGCTTGACGAGGTCATGTGCGGAATGGGCCGAACGGGCACGATGCACGCCTGGGAGCAAGAGGGCGTTGTTCCCGACATCCAGACCGTGGGCAAGGGCCTCGGAGGCGGTTATGCGCCCATCGCCGGTGTGCTTGTTGGCCACCGCGTTATCAGGACCTTGGAAGAGGGATCTGGGTAAGCCAATGAGAGACACTATCGGCTGGATGATTCTGCTGCTTCAATGCTGATATATAAACATGTTAGACGCTTTTCGCATGGGCATACGTATCAGGCACACCCCATCTCATGTGCCGCGGCGGCAGAAGTCCATCGGATTATACTTAAAGAAGGACTCGTTGATAACGTGCGTCACATGGGAGAATACCTGGGAAGCTTGCTCAAGAAGAGGCTTGGCCATCACCGCCATGTTGGTGATGTTCGGGGCCGTGGGCTCTTCTGGGGTGTAAGTGGTGGCCCGCATTCCATAAAGTTTCTCCCGTACATTGTTGAGGCTATGGTTCACAGGGTACTGATATGTATGCTTAGATTGAATTCGTGAAGGACAAGGCCTCCAAGGCGCCGTTTGGTCGCGAGCTCGACGTTGGCATGCTGGTTCACCAGAAGGGCCTGAGCTTGACGGAGGAGGGCGGCATTCTGCTGTACCCAGGTAGCGGAACAGTCGATGGCACACTTGGTGATCACATTCTGATTGCGCCGCCGTATAATGTGAGGAAGAGCCATATTGATCTGATTGTCGATCTTACGGTCATGGCGATTGAGGCGGCGTTTGGAGAACTGGAGTGTCGCCTCCAGAACAACTTATAAATCCATGTATCTGGTCTCTCCTTAAGCTATTCAGATTGTAGGCAAACTTCTACGGCTCAACTTAAAGACAGGCAATTAGACGAGGATAAAGTCTTCCCAGTCACCATCACCACTCCAGGCACTCTTCAACATCCTGCCAACTCCGATTCTCTCCACAACACTCTTTCCATCCAGCCAACTCCCCGTCGACCCCTGTTCACATATCCCCGCAAGTTGAGCCCGATACAGCGCCAGTTCCTCGCCGACAACCCGTCGAATCATCATTACATCGTAGATCTCAAACGGCTTCATCTGCTCAGCCGTCGCAGCCACCTCGTTGCGATGAAACCCATAGCTCTCCGACAAGATGATGAACTCGTGATCCTGCGCCATCTTGGCATGATACTGCACCGGCAGAAGAATGGTCCCCAGCCAAGGCCGGTCTCCTTCCGACGGCGACGGCAGGGAGAGGCCAAATCGGCCTCGTTGCTCGATGGGATAGTCGTCCGTCTTAAAGTACGGGCTTAGAATCAGGTTGGTCAGTCGGAAGCTTGCCTTGCGCGTCCGCAGACTGAGACAAGGCGGCTGGCCGGGTGTATTGACCGGCTCAAGCATTGCAGACGATGACCTGGAAGGGACTGAATGGTATTTGTGAGTATCTTCGCCAAAGACATAACAGATCCCGTCATTGGGAGTAGCAATCTTTGACCAACCGGGGGATGCTTCGACTTCTGTTGGTGGAGTCAAGTACTCGAGCCCCTTTGGTCCCAACTTGAACAACTTCGCAAAGGGCATCACCCGCTTCGCTCGATCCTCCAACTCAGGCATGCTATTGAATGCATTCCAGTCCTCGTAGCCCACCGGTCCAGTCCAGCCAGTCCACGACCAACTTGGGTACAGCGGCAGACCAGTGCTGTCATCTTTCGGAACGCGCTTCAGCTTGTTCCGCGGCTGCCAGAGAAGAGCCATGTGTATGAGGACCTCTGGCAGTCCATGAAGGAAATAGAGGCCAAACTCTCGCTGGAGGACATCCAGAACGCCGCTGATGCCTGCCAGCCGGTCACTCGCATATGACATGTTTCGTCCGGTGTACGCCTCGACGAGGCGACTGTATTCATGTAGATACGGCGTATCCTTGACGTGAACGGTTGGAGCACCTCTCTCCCTGACACTTCCGAGGTGGCTCCAGCTTCGATTCAGCGAGATATCGAGCATCGGCGCGCACCGCTTCAAGTGCGGCGTCTCGGCATAGTAATCCTCTCCCCAGACGGCTCTCGAACACTGAAAGCTCACCGAGCCGTCAGGAAACGAGTAAAGGCACCGTTTCGAAAGAAGAAGCTCTTGATATGTCCAGCCCCTGGTGTACCACGTGGTTGCCGCTGCGCTTCGCTGAGTATCCGGATGAAGTGCGACAAGAGCTAGATCGTCAGAGACCTGGACTATGTGCTGTTTCCGAGACCTCGTGCCTGGTTGTAGGCCGAGGATCCCCGCGTTGGCATGGGAGCCGGCTGCGGCAACAATGGTGAGGCTTGCACGGCTGTATATGCTGTCCATCATGCGCAGCTGCTGCACTTTGTCGTCTCCGGAGTCTTGTATGATGCAAAGGGAGTCGATCCAGATGTACTCAAAGCCGAGCTCCTGCGCTAGAGTCATGGCATCGCGGATGGATTTGGGAAGAGACGACACTGGCAAGCCTTGATGCTGCATCAGGTCGCTGATATTGCTCTGCGTCGTCTTGAATACGGGAGCAGAGCCCCAGACATAGCTGAGGGCTACATAGGGCGGGGGACAGGAAGTTTCGATCAACTTGCAATCATTCAGGGAGACCATTCGGATGAAGGACACGCCATAATCCAGAGTCTGCCACGGTGTCGTGTCCAAGCACTCGTGGCCATGCCATTCAGCGCAGTGGTTGACCCAGCCTTTGACCAGCTCCAAGTCGAACCGAGTCTCGCCGATCCTACGCCCCATGAACAATTTGTTCTCTGCCTCTTCATCCGCTAAGGGAACGAGATCGAAAGGTTCAAAGGAATCTTCCCAGCCTATCATTTCCGGGGCGATCCGTAGACGAAGCGTTCCCATGTCTGTGCTGCTGTCGTCGAGCACTCCGTCCCATATCCAACAAGCAATGAGATCGGCATTTTTGCTGTCCAAGAGGGAGTTTGCGGGATCTTCAAGAACAACATTGGCAATAAGACCGCACACTCGACACCAGTCCCGGCGGGATAGGACATAGTCCAAGTTGCCAAAGTGCCTATCACGATGGGGAGGAGTTGAGGATGTTTTGTGAGGCCCAAAGGAGTTCTTATTTAGATGAGCAATGGTGACCGCATGACGGGGGCAGAAGGGCTGGGTGACATCTTCATCGGGCAGCGGAGGATCAGAGGGGCTCGCATAACTCCATCGTGTTAGTTGAGTCGGATCACTGGAGGGGTCGTCGACTAAAGGTTCTCCAAAGACGGGCATTTTCTCCAGTTAAGCAGATGGAATAGTGTTCCTTCATCTAGTTCTAGAGAGTTGCAAATGTTCTTAAGTAATATCTGCCTCAATATATCGTTCCTAGGACACCACTTAGACAGAGACATAGACTGACCCCTGCTACTCTGCTGACAGGCTGGGTCGCATTCAAGACATGTATTGGGTCACGCACAATCAGAGTAAGAATCCATGGAGTGATTATTACCCCGCTCGAGTTCTTTTTTTGACTCTTTTTTCTATTTGCACATGTTATGTGCGTGTCAATCAACTATCAGGTTCATAAATCGTGGCTGTGTATATGTATATACTAAGAAACGCTCGTAGAATCGGCCCTGCCCTTGTTCATCACTCGTAAATCACTCCACTCTTCCACTGCACATATCTTTACTCATACACCACTGAGTCGGCGTCGGGAAGACTTGTCACGGCCTGCTTCGCGGCCTGCAGGACCACCTGGGCGTGTTCTTCAGACCGAGGCGTAATGGAGATCTTGAACGGCTTGGGCTTCTTGACAATTCCGTCTATTGCGTTACAATGTTAGCCTTGCGTAAACATTAAAAGACACAATCAGGAGGGCAACTTACGAAGCTTGTCATCCAAGCGCAGAGGCTCGCCAGGCAGAGGCGCAAGGTTGTACGCCCACAGAAGCCGAGAAACCTGCATGAAGATGGAGTTCTCCGCGACCTGGATGCCCTGGCACAGCCGTCGTCCCCAGCCGTAGTTGACGTGGTCACGCTTGCGGAAGTCGCCCTGCTTGGCGCTGGCATAGGAGTCGAGGTCATCGCCGAGGAACCTCTCGGGCGCAAAGGCATCGGGATCTTCGTAGACGTCGGGATCTCTCGATAGGCGGTAGACGTGAGGCATTATCAGAGTCTTTTGGGGCAGCGTGAAGCCCCTGTAGACGACCTCCTCGGTGGAAGCGTGGGGCACTCCGAGGATGAAGAGAGGCATCCATCTGTGAAGTTCCTTGATGAGAGCGCGGATGTACGGCAGGTTGGGGGCATCGTCCCAGTGTGGCAGGCGTGAAGGCCCAACCACTCGATCCAACTCTGTAGAGATCAAATAAGTCAACTTTCGTTCAAGATGGGGAAGCGTTGCGTTGCCCAGCAGCGGCCGACTCACCTTCCTGTGCTTTCCTCTGAGCCTCGGGGTTCATTGCCATGGCCTTGAAGATGGATTGCAGCATGCTGCTGGTCGTTTCAGAGCCAGCAGCAATGACGCCCTTGAGGATGTCGAGCGTAAACTCGTCGCTGAGGTCATTCTTCTTTTGGAGCTCCAAGACATCGATACCAAAGCAGTAGGACGCCGTTCCGGCCTCGATCTGTTCCTTGAGGACGTTCAAAAAGCCGTTGTGGAACCTTGACTCGCGCTCGTGCATCGAATCCGCAAACTTGAGCCACGGCTGGAAGCACTCGGGCAGTTTCTGGAGAAAGGGGAGATAGTCGATGAGCAGGCTTCCCGGGAGAATGTCTGTGAGCCTCATCGTTAGCATCATTGACATGGCTCGTCTTACCGGTTGAGAAGCAGAGGGGATTGCTCAGCTCTGGGAACTTACAGTTCGCCATCGTGTCCGTTACAGTGAAAAGCTCCTTAATAACGGGATAGTCAAGGCGGCCAATGCGCACGCCGTAGACGGCACTGAAGATGACGCTCATGGAATATCGCTGCGTGATGACCTGGAACTTCTCCGGATTGTGGTACAAATCTCGCATCAACATTCTAGATTCGTAGTCTTGGTACTTTCTGACTCCTTGGGACTGCTTGGGGCCGAGCAGGTCGTTGTAGATTCGCCTCACAATTCGATACTCTTCACCGAGCGGCTTAATCGGCAGCAAGCAAGGCCAGACGCGTTCAACAAAGTTGCTCGGCTTCGGTCTGTCGGAGAAGATGGCACCTCGCTGATGGACGACGCGTCTTAGACACTCCGGTCCCGTTATGTGGAAGACTCTATGAAGAACGTACCTTGTCCATCAATTCTTTGGCATCTTCCAGCTTGTCCACGATCAGAAACGGCTTCGAAAAGAGCCAGAGCATGACCTTGTCGCCGAAATTCTTAGCCAGCCAGGCGAGTGTTGCCTCCGTGTCGTAGACGAGGCCCTTGAAGATAAACATGTTGCCAATAATAGGCCATGGCTTGGGTCCTGCTGGGTACTTCTTGGCCTTTCCTCCGCGAAGGAAGCGGTTCAGCAACGCCGTCGTGATGCATAGTATCAGTCCCAGAATGGAGGCCCGGGAGATGGCCCCCTGGGGTAGTATGACGGGAGACAGCATGACGGGAGACGACATGGCGGAACGAGTTGTCCGCACGCAGAGTGCAGATCTGAACAAGAGCAGAGCTGATACACCTGAACCCCAATGACACACAGACTTTCAAGCAGCGAGACTCGCAATATATAGGTGGATGATGGACGAGGAGCCCCGCTTGCAACCATGCATAAGAGCTTGCTTGAGAGCAAGCAGAAGATAAGCGCCTTCACCGGTTTGCGAATACTCTGAGAGAGGCCATAGCACCTATTCTCCGTAGTCTCAAAGTTGTGATCCGTGTGCTGCATTAGTCCAATGGAGCAGTCGAAGGGTAGCATCTGTCCGGATGAGGCAAACTGCGTCGAACCCCCTGTACACGCCAATCACATCACCTGTATATACAAGGGAGCAGCGGCATCCTGTGCGATGCGCAAGCGAGCACGTACAAGGACACATGAGCGCTCGGTTGGTGTGGGTTTCATTGTCAGTTGAGAGGATCCTTGTTGGATGCTTGCCGGGTGGGTGAAACGTCTGAGTGCAAGAGAAAACAAGCAAAAGGCCTTGCTCAGCAGGATTCACGCACAAGCATGCCAAGGCATGCACATGCGAGGACTTCAGTACGATACGAGGAGCGTTCTATGGAGGAGCTGTGTGAAAACCATGCGAGAACTACATCTTTTGGCATACGATAAGTTACGGTTCTTGTTCTCCTGATAGCTCAAGACACTTCGCTGTGGCTTTGCAAGTTCTACAAGTACTCGTATATGTGGTATCTTTGCTTGTGGAGCAAAGGATGTCATCTCACATCGGCTGCTACTGTACGGCTACAAGTCTGGGAGTCGTACCGGGAGGACCAGGACTCCGACGGCTGTACGCAAGTCTGTTAATACCGAGCCATTACAGGGAATGATACCTGTTACTAGCAAGATATAGCAAGTCTACGTAGTAGTCGCTGCTCGGTCCCAAAGCTGCAAGATAAAGTCGAGCCTGCATGGTCCACCCCCGGAGCAGATTCGCAGATTCAACCATGGCCTCTCTCTGGCCCTTGCGCCGAGTCCAATCGGTCCAGGGCGGATATCTGTGATAGTTTAGCATCACTTAGACCCGGCAGTGGCTTGTAGATCAGATGAAAGATTGTAGCATAGCGCAGTAGTTCTCGGCAAAGACGGACAAGCGCCAGGCGCATCACCCGTGGAAGACGCCCGTGGGAGACAACACTCACCAAGTGGCCGCAAGCTCCATGTACCCAACACAAGCGTCTCTTGCCAGACTTTTGGCTCTTTTTTATTGTTATTATTGTTGCTTTTCTGCTATTATTCTCTTACTATTCGCCGGCAGTACTACATCTTCGGCATCTCTAGTTGTCAGCAGTAACCCAGAACCGACAAACCCCCCTGTTCCCCCAAGCAAAGTGATAATCAATCTCCACCTCTCCCATCTCGGGCCAATTACCTATAGGAAGCTCGGCGGCTGCACGGGCCTGCAAATCGCTGTTTGACACGTTGACCCGAGGCCTACAGTACTGCTGAAGCTGAACTTTCTGTCAAGGACTCCGTACATGAGGCCATACCGATATGGCCGGATGCATATCTGGACTGTACTTTATGTACTCTGTATCCCTGTATGAGAGTTTTGCCACTTATTTACAGGCAGTAGTTCGTCAGTAGGGCCTGGATTTGAAACCGGTGAGAGTTGCCCATGGTAATCCCCTCTTCAGCTGTGTTCTAGTTGTCGCTTAGCCTCCGGAGGCTGCATATTGTACCCGCCTGGTGAGTAGCAACGGCGGCTACCTTGTGTGATTGTTAGTCCTGTCTACAGGTGTTTACACCAGGGATGAAGGGCCAGTGCGCTTTGCATCTACCTCAATCAAGTATTAGCAGTCACGTATAGTGTGAAAGAAGTCAAAAGGCATGCATATAAGATGGCATACCGTTTCGCGCAGTATCCAAGGACTCTCTTGCCGCGAATTAAAGCCATCAGGGTAGACAAAGGATCTAGACATGTCTCTCACATGTCTCTCGGAACCCTGCCTTTTTGATCTGGGAGGAGGGTGCGCACAGCAGAAGCACAGACTCGATGGATGCGAGCGGCAAGAGGCGAGGCGCGGCACGGCAGCATTGCGTCCGTTGTTGGAGGCGTCGATGCATTGGTGGGATCCAGACGGAGACTGCTGCTCCTTTTGGAGAATGCTACAGGAAATCTCTGTTCTCCAAAGCCTGCGGGTTACTTCATAGCCGAGGGATGATTTTGTCGGAATTCCAAAAGGAGCATGAATGCAACATACCGACTAGATACCTCGTACTTCGTGCTCGTACTATACTTCAACCATGGGTCATTGAGTGTCTGTTGCCAGTAATGGCTAGGAATATCATATGTCAATCTCAAAGAGGCCATCACGAACAGCTCAGTGGACTATCGTATCTCGTCGCAACTACCGCTGAGGCGTTGATCCTTGATACCAGCATGGGGATATGCCGAGTCTATAACATTACATAGTGTTGTAGCGTAAAGCAAGCCCTGGTTGCGTGGGCTGAATCACATACCCTCCAGGCCAGCTTCTCTTCTGGCAGTAGTGCTTACGGCCAAGCTTCTGATATCTCTCCAAGCATGACCCGAAGATCGGTCAAGCCTGGTCAACGTTCGCTGATCCCCCGCAGGGATTGCGTTCAATTCGAACAGGATGAGCACGGCCAGGGCTTGATTTGAACTGGATGCAGAAGATGCCTTCACAGCTGCCTTATTAGGATGTCAAGATCCGTGCGTCGGTCGGCCTTCAGTTCTATAGAGATACATCCGTAGTCTAAGATTTGAAGCGCCATCGACGCATTCAGGATGCCATACAAGTATTCATCTGCTAGGTATTACGGAAGCATTACGGATTATCTGATCTAGAGAAGTTTAGACGTATTCGGCAACTTGGTTATCTGCCATATAATTGTGAGTACATAACGTCTGTTACCTGTCCTCCAAACTGAATTACAGGCAATTCCTCCCACTTCCCGCCATCCTCTGCGTCTACGCCGTTCCTCCCACTTCCCTTCCATGACGAAGACAGGACAATACGCGGCATCTACGAAAGTGAACATCCCTGGAGTTATAAAACCACCCTTGACATTGACTATCTTACAATGTCCTGACATTTAAACCTGGATGCCCCAGTAGGGCTAAGAGGGGGATGTCCCGTCGATAATCTATTTTGGGCCTCAACAACTCTGTCAGCTGGTGACATTGGCTCCCTTACCTTAGAGGCCGTAGCCTAGAACGGCCAGTGATGCGTTGGCATCCAGCCTCGCCCATGTTTGTCACAATCAATGGCTTTTTCCAGCCTCAACGATTGGTGCACTCATGTAGGCAGACACGGCGGGGGATGCCTTAATGCCCAACAGGGTGTTGAGCCAGCTGAGCTCTTGGGCATCTTTCTCGTTCTCAAGAACAAAGAAAACTTCAGACAGTTCTTTCCAGTTGAATCTTGTGCAAGAGACTGCCCCAAGAATCGAGTGACTCTATCTTGTGCTGAGCGTCTCATCTTTCGACTGAGTCTATCAAGAGGACACGAGACACCATGTCGAACCCTGAAGACTACGCCGTCGGCTGGATCTGTGCCATCAGCACGGAATACGTCGCCGCACAGAGCCTCCTTGATGAGAAACACGGTACGCCGAGAAGCGTCGCTAGACACGACAACAACGACTATACTCTAGGCAGAATCGGCGAGCACAACGTTGTGATTGCCGTTCTGCCTGACGGCGAATATGGAATCGCTTCTGCAGCCAGCGTTGCCCGAGACATGCTGCATAGCTTTCCAAATGTCAGAATCGGGCTGATGGTTGGTATCGGCGGAGGAGCCCCGAGTGAAAAGCATGATATTCGCTTGGGCGATGTCGTTGTTAGCGCTCCCCGTGATGGAAAGGGCGGCGTCTTCCAGTACGACTTTGGCAAAACGATACAGAACCAGAGCTTTCAGACAACTGGATTCTTGAACCAGCCACCGGCCGTCTTGCGAGCAGCAATGGCCGGGCTGAGGGCAGAGTATGAAAGCGAGGGGCATCAACTCGAAGCCACAATCTGTGATGTACTTGGTAAGAAGCCACGGCTTCGGAAGAAGTATTCTCGGCCAGAACAGGCCAGCGACATACTGTATCGAAGCAATATCGTTCACCCAATCGATTCACAGGACAGTTGCAAGGTTGGGTGTGGCGACGATATAAAGAAGCTGGTATCACGCCGTGAGCGGGAGGAACACGAAGACAACCCTGCTATTCACTATGGCCTCATTGCGTCTGCCAATCAACTCATGAAGGATGCCATTATGCGTGACACGCTGGCTTCAGAGATGGGGGTCTTGTGTTTCGAGATGGAAGCAGCTGGGCTGATGAACCAATTCCCGTGTCTGGTCATTCGAGGGATATGTGACTATTCGGATTCGCACAAGAACAAGGAATGGCAGGGATATGCTGCCATGACCGCAGCCGCTTATGCAAAGGATCTTCTCTACCGCATCCCACCGAACAACGTCGAGGCTGTACAGAAGATCAGAGACGTCTTGGCTCATGGTCAGTCATCCATCCATTGTCCAGACTAGGTAGTGCATGCAGCCTATGATTGTGTATAGTGACTCATACAGCATTAGTTGCCAGTGCAATTGACGATATGAAGAACGAGTGGGAAAATAACAAAGACCTTGCCATCCTTGACTGGATCACCCCCTTAAACTACGGTCCGCAGCACAGCGATTTCTTCCACAGGAGACAGCCTGGAACCGGTCAATGGCTCTTAGAATCGGAAGAATACAGGACTTGGTTGACCGAGAGTGATAAGACACTCTTCTGTGTCGGGATCCCTGGATCAGGCAAGACCATTCTCACTGCAATCGTCGTCGAAGATCTTCGAAATCGAACATCCAATGAAGCAAGCATCGGACTCGCTTATATATATTGCAACTTCAAACGGCAGGACGAACAAGGCATCGAGGGCTTGATCGCAAGCTTGGTGAAGCAGCTGAGCCGGAAGAGGCCTTGTTTGCCCGATATCATCAGAAATCTACATGAAAAGCACGAGAAAGAGAAAACTAGGCCATCACTCGATGAGCTGATGAAAGCTTTGCGGTCGATAGCCACCATGTACTCAAAGCTTATCATTGTGATCGACGCGCTAGATGAGTGCGTCGCATTCAGTCGCTCGAGATTATTATTATATATCTCCAGTCTCCGTACTCGCGCTTCAGTCAGTCTTTTCACAACTTCCAGGCACATTCCAGATATCGAGAAGGAGTTTGAAGGAAGCCTCAGGAGAGAAGTTCTGGCTAGCGAGGAAGATTTGCACCGATACATTGAGGCTCACATGGAATATCTGCCCGGCTTCTTGTCTGACATGAACGATCTCAAGCAGGAGATTGAGGCGGAGCTTATTAAGGCAGCCCAAGGAATGTATGCGCTGCATTTACAACTGCCCAATTTATACATGAGAGTCTCCCTGCTGATTAAAGGACAGGTTCCTCCTCGTTAATCTGAGCCTTGAGTCCCTGAGAGGGACGACGTCGAGATTGGAAGTGAAGTCCACTCTCAAGAAACTCAGAAGTCAAAAGCATGAAGAGAAAGGACAAGACGGACTGCAGACCGCCTTAGAGCAGGCTTATGATGAAGCCATGGACAGGATAGACCGCCAGAGTCCCGATCAGCAGCGCCTTGGGAGAAATGCCTTAGCATGGATTTGTTGTGCAAAACGGCCTCTTAGCCCACTGGAACTTCGACATGCTCTCGCAGTGAAGCCTGAAGATAATGCTTTCGATGCAGATAGCCTTCGTGAGGCTGGTACCATCATCTCGGTCTGCGCTGGTTTGGTCACAATTGATGAAGAGAGTAACGTCGTTCGACTGGTGCACTACACAACTCAGGAGTATTTTGATCGAAGGCAAAACCACTTGTTCCCGAATGCCGAGACAAAGATTGCAGCATTCTGTTGCAAGTACCTCTCCAACATCCCTTGTATTGGTGACGATGGCCTATACAAAGAGCCTACAGACTTACGGCAGTCAAATCCACTGCTGGACTACGCAGGCAGGAACTGGGGGCGCCATGCTTGTCTGTTGCCAGAGATTCCTCGCGGTGTCCGAGACTTTATGACGTGTTCGACCACAGTTGAAACAGCAGCTCGAGCATATTTTTTGCCTAACTTATGGGCCTGGTATACCAAAGAGCCGTGGCAATGGGATGGCCTTCACTTGGCGGCTCTCTTTGGCATTTGCAAAGCTCTTGAATTCCTTCCCCACGACCAGAAGCACTTGGAATCAAAGGACAAGGAACGAAGGACGCCACTTACATATGCCGTTCTGGAAAGGCATCACGATATGATCCGCCTTCTGATCGGAAAGGGTGCTTCAATCAATATCGAGGACGATCTTCACTATACACCACTAGCATACGCTATCAAAGTTTCTGATGAATCAACGGTTCGCCTTCTTCTCGAATGTGGCGCCGAGGTTAAAACTGTATGTCGTATAGCGGAACCCTATCTATTCTTCGAAGCTGTAAGGGCGGGCGATTCTGTGTGGCGACAGCTCTTCAAAAGAATCGCCAACGATCGTGAATCATCATCTTTACATTATCTCAGCAGCACGCCGCTGTCTATTGCTGTCAGACTCGGAAATGAAAACGTAGTCCGATTACTGCTCGAAAAGGGCGCTGACTTTACACAATTACTGGATGCTCTCCAGGAGTCAGATGAAGATCCGCATCAACATGGCCTCGACGCTCAAGATGGAGGGCAGCAAAAGCAGGCACAAATCGCGCAATTAGCTCTTGAAAAGGGAACCTTGATGCACCTTAAATCGGAGGACAATCAACGGTTGTTATTTCTTGCAGCGAGGCATGGACACATGAACCATCTCCAACTTTTGCTTCAACGGGGCGTTGCGATTCATTCGAGGGATAGATCAGGCAGCACGGCACTTTTCTATGCTGCTCGTGCAGGGAATGCAGATACTGTTCGGCTACTCCTTGAAATGGGCCTCAAGATCAATTCCCAAGATGAAAATGGCCAGACTCCGCTATCACTTGCTGCTACTTCCCTCGATGATGGCAGGGCCGCCATCGAGTTACTCCTTGACAGAGGCGCTGAGGTTGACGCAAGAGACAAGGATGGCGAAACAGCCCTTATGAAAGCATGTGTTGTCCACAATCATCGATTTCAGCTCGAGGCGATTGAGCTCCTCCTTGAAAGAGGTGCTGCGATCGAAGCGAGAGACAATGATGGCGGAACAGCCTTGATGAAAGCATGTGCTGTCCACAATCATGAATATCAGTACGGGGCGATTGAACTCCTCCTAGACAGAGGTGCTGCGATTGAAGCGAGAGACAATGATGGTCAAACAGCATTGATGAAAGTCGGTCACATGTCTTATGTAAGGCTGCTTCTTGAAAGAGGTGCTATGATTGAAGCAGCAGACAATTCAGGAACGACGGCACTGATGCATGCTGTTCGAAACCGCAAGCCGGATATTGTGGAAGAGCTTCTCAACAGAGGCGCGGCGGTTGATGTGCGAAACAATGACGGGAACACGGCGCTTTCATCCATTCTCGAAGAAAGGCCTTCTGTAGAGGAGGTTGATGAGATGATCCAAATCCTCCTCAGAGGTGGCGCATCGATCAATGCAAAAGATTCCTCCGGAAGAACTACACTTATGAAGATCGCAGCATCGTTTTTTTATACGTCGAGTGTAAAGCTGCTGCTGGATAATGGGGCAGCGGTCGAGGCCAGAGATAATCTCGGACGAACAGCTTTACTACATGCTCTACATGCATGGCATCTGGATGACCTTCATAACAATGCCGTTGACGTACTACTTGCCCAAGGTGCCGACGTCAAGGCTAGAGATAACTTGGGACAAACAGCTCTGATACATGCTGCTTATGGCGGGGATCCGAGTTGTATGGAGATGCTGTTCGATAAGGGCGATGTTGACATTGAGGCAAGAGATCATGATGGCAAGACGGCGCTGCATCATGCTGTCATTGAGACTTGGTTTCCTCTGGGTGCTGTTGACATGCTGCTTGCTAGGGGTGCCGCGCATAACGCAAAGGATAAAGAGGGGAAAACGGCCCTTTCATATGCCATCGAGCACAGGAAGAAGTCCGTTATTCTCCGACTATTACGGGCGAAAGGGGAAAGTATATTCCGATAACTGCATTATTTGACATAGGTAGGTATATAGAGCTATTTTGCCTCTTCTCGAGGGGGTTACAGAAGATACAGCCAACGAAAAAGAAGAAGAGAAAGCTAAACCTTTGACCTGTGCAGGACGTCGTCCACAATGCCGAGATAATCTTGGGACCTATAAGGCACAAAGACGTCTTTGACCCCCAAGCCCCCTTTCCTTTTCGCTTTCAATCCCATATCCTTCATCAAAAGATCAATGAAATGCTGAATCCCGCTGCCCGCGCTTGGTTCTTGAGACAAGTTCTTCCGAAGCGAGTACGCATTGACCTTTGCAATTTCATAGTCTATGTCTTCCTTGCTCTTTGGAATCCCCAGTTCGACGAGGTTCTCGAGCCAGCAGATTGCCCATAGAGCTGAGACTTCGCTGAGGATGTGGGTTTGGATGCTGACGAGGTATCCTAGGAAAATGAGAGAGCGATCATTTGCTGCGGCAAGAGACGAGGGCAGCATGTACCGATATAGACGGTATGGCGTCAAGGGGTCCGGGGTCCGGGGTCCAGGTGAATCTTTCAGAATTGGCAGAAGCGACAGGATATCTTGGTCGGCTCTCTCATGAAGCTTTTTCCAATATTGGGTTGAGTTTGCGTCTTCGAGTGCCGTAGGTTTCCGCAAGCCCAAGGAAAGCCCCTGGGCAGGTTCAAAGAGCATATCTTCAGGTGTCCAGCCTGTACCAAAGACCAAGGCCTGGCAGGGGATAGTTTCTCCGTTAGAGAGATGCACAGTCTGATCTTGAGCTGTGGTAATGCGTGCTCGATGAACTGTGATGAGGCCATCCGGCTTGCTCAGCTCTGGAATGAACTTGGGACAGCTATGCAAAGCAGCTCCACCAACTGGCGAGAACAAGGCACTACACGACGTCAGTCATAGGAACGACACGAGAACCTTCAAAGGCAGCTTGACTCACCTATCACCTTCAGGCAGCAACTTCTCCCTATTCTCATCCGTCATGCCCGCATAAACCGCCCCCGACCTCGTCTTCTTCGCCGCAAACGCCCAAAACTTGCCAATGAGCCACGTGCCCAGCCTATTCTTGCCGCTGTAGAAGAACCGCCCAAAGAAGGTGTCGACGCTGAAGATGCTGACGGAAAAGACGTCCTTCCATCGCCCGACGAACTGGCCGACGTGGAAGCCCCATTTCAGCCGCGTGTTGAACAGCATGTTGGGGCCGTTGCCCTTGTCGCTGATGATCCAGTGGACTTTCTTGCCAGCTTCTATGCAGAGATTTACGGCGTCGATGGCTGACTTTCCGCCTCCGTAGATGGCGACTGTCTCGACGTCTTTGCCGAGGAGGGCTTCGTGCTGCTGCCCGATGTCTTTGGTGTGCAGCACCAGTCCGCTGAACTCAGAGCTCTTGACATCAGGGTATTTCGGATTGTTAAAGTTCCCCGTGGCCACAATCAGCTTGTCGCAGTCAAGGGACTCTGAAACTGGTTTCCCATGAGGGCTCGTAGTTTGCGTTTCAACCGTCCACCCCTTTTCCGACGGCGAACGGCGAATATGCGTGACTCGGCATGAAAACTTGCACCGCTCCAGAAGATGAAATTTTCTTGCATACTCATGCAAATACTCGTGCACCTTGATGCCAGGCAGCTCATCCCAGTTCTTGAGCCCAACGACTTCGGACATGGGCAGGTCGCTAAAGTCGAATAATCCCACAGGGCCATCCGCTATGAAACCTGGGTAGCATCTTGCCTTGGACCACACACCACCCACTGTAGCTTCTGCATCAAGAATCGTCAATGATATAGAGGGATTCACTTGAAGATATCTGTACTATATTAGCAGGGCTTGGTAGATACTTGTTGCAGTCTTTCCATAGAGCTTCCGTACGTTTTCGCTGCCGCCAGTCCAGCCCAGCCTGTCTCCGAGTTAGCGATTGTTGATTACTATGATTGTTTATGGGCTCAACAACCTGCTCCAATGATAATCACTCTTTTCGGCTGATTGATGTGTCCGGCCATGGCCCGGTTCAAGCTCAACATTCGGCTTCCAACTGTCGGAGGCGGCTAGGTTTCTGCCAAAGGAGGGAAAAGCTACTACAACTTCATTTCAAGACATGCACAACCTTTAACGGACCCCAGGTTATAAAGACGAAACAATGAGATTGAAGAATCAGCCGATACCAACTCTAGCGGTCCCTAAAGATGGACAAGGAGATTGCAAGAGTAAGATACACGTAAGCATCAACCCTGAGCTATCTCTTGGATATTCCGCGTATGAATGGTTGACAACATATCCCTAGGTATATTGAGTCTGACGCACAATCTAACCTGTCATGATTCCACACTCATTTGTGGAACCGTACTTTCGTCTAGGAGTTTGATATAGTCTCCTTGTTCGCTTCTACATATGCAACCTGTCGATAAATAGGTAGTTGGTTCAAAGGCTTTCGGATTAGCTCCGGGTATGGTGCGATATGTGAGGCTTAGAACGTTGCCAATTTGGACTATTGTCTTTGACAAACAAAAGAGGGGGGTTGGTAACTGCGTGGAGGAATTTTCTAGGACTCAAAGCCTAAAGGACGACCTGATGCTGACGGAGGGACTATCAAGTTTGGCTATCCGGCATCCTAGCAAGTCTTCATACTAGGCTCAAATTCTATCGTCTGATGCTGCTAAGAAGCTCATTTCCTGCTACTATTAGCGCTGACTATCCAACATAGGTGCTGGATAGGCCCTCTATAATACGAAGACGGAAGATACATGTACATATAAAGCAGTGTCCGAGTATGAGAGAGGATTCAGAGAAGAGCCAGGATAAAAGTCAATTGATGTCAACCTGCCAACTACTCAAAACACAGTCTGGGTCAAAATCAGCATGATCTTCTGGCCAAAAGGTAACATCATCAAGGTCGGCTACAGTCCACACAACAAAAGTATCCAGTCATGCCGACTTGAGCCCCAGCCTCCAGCAAGCGCCTGTTCTCTACGGTATCCGTTTCAAATCACAACCGTCTCTCAGCTTGAATCCAGCAGATATGGGTTCAATCTTGTCAATCAACATCCAGTAGCCCGACCGTGGCTGAAATGTGTCGTGCGGGCCTCCCTCTTCGCTCGCCGTTGGCTTCACTCCGATCAGTCCTGCTATTGCTGTTGTATGGTAGCAGATGTCGGCTTCGTGATCCAAGACCGTTACTGGTACTTCGGTCGCAGCTCGTGGAACATCCTTGGCGCGAATGATGGGAAATGGAACATCGTCAATGACAAATCGCTTCCTGTCGACATGTTTTCCATCCCAGGTCTTTCCAGCCTCGTCGACCTGCTTTATCATCCTGCCCTCCTCGTCCCAACGACAAAAGGCCGTGATCCAACCTGAAAGAGTCTCGATTGAGCCAGAGCCTTCTGCACCGGCATGATGAACCGCCCTCATCCAAAAGTCTTTGGTTGTCTGCAGATCTGGCTGATCAAACGTCTTAATCATCTTCTCTACCACTTTGGTGAGAAGCCTGCTCCAGACTGCAAGGTCTCCGCCGTAGATCGCGATCTTTGCCACCTTTTCGAGAAGTTTGACCCAATCTGCTCTCACGCCAAGCAGCGTGACACTGGGAAAACCGCATCCGCCCCTCGCAATAAATTCAAAGTATGCCTTTGTAGTTGCCATCATGACTAGAGTGGTTGTCGTAATATCCTCGCTGGTTGTGGTGGAGAAATTTGGCAGTATCCAAGACGTGAGTTCAGCATCGACAACGTTCGCTTGAATCAAGTCCTTGAACGCTTGGGCAATCTCGCTGAAGTCAACAGATAAAGGGCTGCTCGCGCCGGTATCTACAACCAGCTGCTTCTTGCCTTCGTGATTGACGAAGAATCGCCTCATTTCTTCAGCATGGCCGTTGACGTAGAAGCTGAACTGAACCATGGTAGCAAGCCATACATCATCAGGGCGCAGCACGAGGTGAAGGTCCTGCTGAAAGGCACGGATAATCCCATCAACAAAACCGTTGTTGTACGACACCAAAGAACCGTCTTTCTCATCTATGTCACTGAAAGACTGAAGAAGCACCTTGCGAGACTCCGGTCCGGGTGCCTTGTTGCTGCTTGAGAAAGGGTCCAGTCTGAGTGTAGTCCAAGCTTTGGAAGCATACTGAAGCAGTTGAGCAGACGAGGTCGACAGCTGGTCCTTGTTGGCACCGACGATGTCTGGATTCGGCCTGGTCACGATGTGTGCGCCGAACTGACTCTTCAAGGCATCAAAAGCCTCCATAATATCCGGACGTTAACTGACAGAAGAAGACTGAAGATGAGGTGTTGGTCGGATGAATGACTTGTAAACTCAAGATCACAACAGGGTTGGATATAAAGGTGAAATGATGGAAGCAAACATATGTCGGGGAGGCGGTATATATAAGGTTTAGTCATGTAACACATGTTGATGAATGCCCAACTATCCCAACCCTGCCTTACACTTCTCATTGGTATATCCACGGCAAGTCACCCCAACCAAACTTAATTGGCTAGCTGGAGGTGACTTCATGATTGGTGAGAGATACGGCAGCTTCCTTTGGCTCTGCAAGATTCATGTCTCTTCGCCGACCACCCAACATCACGGCAACTATTTAATGACCTGTCTCTACCCGGCAGCTCGCAGCCCTCTCCCGTGTTATCGAAGCGGTGAGGCATTCACATCACACGGGTGCTCGAAGCATCTAAGCTCTTGATTCCCTTGTGCTCAAGGAATAAGGTAGTGAGGGGTAAACGAAGAGAAGGGAAACCTACAGATAATGGTTACTACCTTGCGGTGTGGGAGAGAAGATATCCAGAGTTGCATCAAATGTAATGAGTGCCAACAGCATCTCACCATTTCTCCTATTTTACGATGGTTAGGTATCTCTGTTACTCTTATCAGAGCTACTTCTTCTACGCAACTATCTCGTAAACCCAGAATATAGCTTCTTATCGTGTTCAAGTCTGTATACAACGTGAAACTACATTTCATATCTCATAAACTAACCCAAGAGTTGGATCAACGCTTCCATTGCAGAGCGAGTCCCAGCCCTGCGTATACTCTTCCATTCCCTTGCCCCAACGCAGCTTGAACCCCTTGACAGCCCCCGTTTCCTTGAAACGCCTCCATTCACGCTGGAAATTCTCAAAGTAGGGCGCCGTCTTATCAATCTCCATGGCAGCATCCCGCAGGCCGGAAGCATTGCACAAAACGACGTTGCTCCCTGGTACTTCTGTCAGAGCGCCCAGCTTGGATCCTCCCCCCTGAGGATCGCCGCCAACAAGAAGAACATTGACGCGCTTACACACACGCACGAAGATGTTATGCAAGTCCTCGTCAATCGTGCCTCTCCCTGCGAAATTGACAAGCACAACCTTGGTGTCGGCATCCAGACCAAGCCTGGCCGCGATGTGCCCATCCGTAATACTGGGGGCGTCTGCATACAGCATCACTTCGTCAAACAGGCCGGTGCCCTCGGTGAAGCTGCGGGATGCGGCCGAACCAACCGCCGCAACCTTGCGAGGCTGTTGTTCGACGGGCCTTGATTGACGCAGCTGATATGCGAATGAGAGTGCGGTCTTGCCCGATGCGCCGAGCATCACCACCACGGCATTTGCAAGATCGGCATCGTCTGAGCTCCAGGGAAGTGGGAGGCCCAGAGGATGCGTCCGCTTTTCTGGTTCCCAGGCAAAGGTGTATCGGTTCAACAAGTAGCTCGTCTCAAAGAAAGGCAGCATGACCGAGTCCAAGCCTCGGGAGGGCTTGTCTGCCATTAAGTCTGTCTCTGGAGGAGACGGCAGATATCGGTTGTATATCTTCATTTGCTTGGCTCTCCGCTCACTCGTCTCCAGAACATGGCCGGTTTCATCCTCAACGGCTACCTGGAGCGTCTCGGGATAGTCTCCGATGGGGAGGTAGCCATACAGCTTGGTCCCAACGGGCACCTTGTCGTTTTGGCTCTCTGTCACTTCGCAGTAGCCCCAGGCCGAGACGCGGCCGTATTTGGAAGCGTCATTGTAGGGTGCGGGCAGAGACGGAACCGCAGCCCAGACATCCCACCAGCCAAGGAGGTGGCCAAGTCGAGCGTAGGTGAAATTGTTGGTCGTGCTGGAGATGATGCGGCTGCGGATGCGGATTTGGCCAGCTGCTAGCCGAGGTAGAGGGTATGCATCATGGAGAGTGACCAGATGTTGCTTCGTATAGTCTGCCTTTTCCAAGATCTGGATTTGAGGAGCTGGAGAAGTCATGTTGAATGTCAGGGTAACTGGACAAGGGAATTGCGAGCTTCTCTGTACTGAGCAATGGGATGATCACGGTGAGGGGAGGCCGTTCTTATGAATGCGCACATCATCTCCGCTTACTGGGCGCACACTGTCGGGCCGCGGCGGCTAATAGGCGATGCGTGAGATCTCGGTGTGACTCAATAGTAAGCAGAAGGATGAGGGACGTTTGGATGGCAATCGGTTGGTCATATCGTTAGATGGAGCACCATATTGGTTCGATGTGGTTACATCTTCATTCAGATAATGCTACGCAGTCAGGATCCTAAGCTCAATATAATCGAAGCTCATCGACTTGATAGTTTTTTATTATCTTAAACACTGCTTCAAGCTTGACTACAGCTATGCTGAAGAGCCACTTTCTACTTTAGAAGCCATGTCTCGCATTAAAAACCACAAGGTAGTTGTCAATCAGTTTCAATGAGCGGCTTGGAACATCGCAGTATACTTCATTTCTCACTTGCAGTAGGCTTCTGCAAATAGGTACTGCTAGCCGACATGTCGCCCAGTCACGACAACGGCGGCATGTATCAGTCCTTTACATGTTATATAAGGTAGTCCTAATATGGATCTCGATCATCCTCGGTCTGGGAACAGAAAGCTTACTCGATCAGTCAATATTACACATACCTCTCATATCAGCTCTTCCGACCGTGAACGTTTCCGATACGGTCATCTGGTACAGAATTTCGAGAAAGTTTACACACAAACAACTTGCCCGCCAAGCTGTTGCTGCAGCTACCATGCGTAAGGCCTACAATCAGCAGGGCGGGGTTGTCGCTTCATAATTGGTTCACCTTCCTTCGGGCTTCAATCCTCCGCGTGGTATGGCGGCGAGATTTGCTATACCAACCTGAAGATACACTCATCGACTTCGCCCGGCCATCGTAATCAAGTTTATGTGCTGCCAGAGCCGTGGTGAGAGAGCTGCTCATCAGCTAAGTCGACGGGCCTCAACCAACAAGCAAGCCCATCAGATACAACGACCGGCCGGGATCCTTGATGCCCAAGCAGAAAGAAACAGAATCAAATCTTCATCATGTCATCACGACCTTCGTGCCGCGAAGACTTTGAAGTCGCCATCATCTGTGCGTTGCCGCTCGAGTACGACGCCGTTGCTCTCCTCTTCGACGAGTTCTGGGATGAAGACGGCGATCCATATAAGAGGGCGGCCGGAGACCCTAACGTCTATACGACGGGTCGTATGGGCAAGCATGATGTTGTGCTTGCGCTTTTGCCTCACATGGGCAAGATCAACGCCGCCTCTGCGGCCGCTCACATGCGGACAAGCTATCGAGGTCTGAGGCTCGTGATTCTCGCAGGAATCTGTGGCGGCGTGCCCTACAATGGCCGAGAAGAGATTCTGCTAGGCGATGTTGTGATCAGCAAGTCTCTTGTTCAATACGACTTTGGCAGGAGATATCCCGATAAGTTTTCACGCAAAGACACCGTCCAAGACAATCTCAGAAAAAATGACAGAAACATCAGCAGCCTTTTGGCGATATTCGACACAGTCAACGGCCGAGATAAGCTTCGAGACAAGACCTCCCATTTCCTCAAGCAGCTCCAGGAAAGGGCTCTAGATCATCAAGCCAAGTATGAGTATCCTGGGATATCCGAAGATAGGCAATTCGAATCGAGCTATCGTCACAAGCACCGCGATTCGGCGACTTGCATCTGCAGCAAGTGTCATGGGAGAAACGACCCGGCATGCGATAAGGCGCTTGGCTTGTCGTGCGATGAGCTGGGATGCAATGGGGAATACCTGGTTCCGAGGAAGCGACTCAGGGTGCAAGACGAGCACGACAAGCAAGACAAGGCGACAACGCCGGCCATTCACATTGGGACCGTTGCGTCAGGTGATACGGTGATGAAGTCGGGAGAAGACCGCGACAGAATCGCCAGGGAAGAAGGCGTTATTGCGTTTGAGATGGAAGGGGCCGGTGTGTGGGAGGAAATACCATGCATCGTGGTCAAGGGCGTGTGCGACTATGCCGATTGCCACAAGGACAAGAAGTGGCAGGACTTTGCGGCAGCAACGGCGGCATCTGCTTCCAAGGCTATTCTCGAACGATATATCCAAACGGATAGAGGGGAACGGCCCATCCAATTGGAGAGAGACAGTGTCCGGCTTGATGATGAACCACCAGAGTCTCATTTTCTGGTCCCCTTTGGACGTAACCAGGATTTTGTTGGGAGACAGAGCATCCTGTCAGAGCTCGTGGAAAAGATTCGACCAAGCGCAAACAAGGATGACTGCCAAAGAACCGCTCTTGAAGGCCTTGGAGGAGTTGGCAAGACGCAGCTTGCGATAGAGGCTTCATATCTCATCCGTAACGAGCATCCCGACTGCTCCGTCTTCTGGGTGCCGGCCTTGGACGCGGCCAGTTTTGAGTCTGCCTATCGCGATATTGGCAAACATCTCAAGGTCAAGAATATCGATGACAATGGCGCCGACGTCAAGCAGCTCGTCAAGGCTGCTTTATCCGAAGAGAGCAGTGGCAGCTGGCTCTTAGTTGTCGATAACGCGGATGATGTCACGCTGCTTTTTGGCGCTGCTGGACTCTCAGCCCATATGCCATTCAGTCGGAGAGGTTCGATTCTCTTCACGACACGAAATCACGAGGCAGCGGTGCGGCTCGACATTCCGTCAAGGAACATTATCCATGTCGTCGAAATGGGACAAGATGAGGCCTTGAGCCTGCTGCAGCACGGCTTGACAGAGAGCCAGACAAGCAACACAGAGGCTACAAAGAGATTGCTTGACTTGCTCGCAAACTTACCGCTGGCCATTCGACAGGCTTCGGCATACATGGCGGCGAAGTACATCTCCACCGTTGAATACCTGGGGCTCTGTGAGTCGGACGATAAAGACATGATTGACCTACTCAGCCGAGATTTCGAGGATCGACATCGATATAGGGAGGTTCAAAATCCCGTGGCCACAACGTGGCTAATCTCGTTCAACCAAATATTGAAACACAACCCGCTGGCAGCGGAATACCTCAAGTTTATGAGCATGCTGGCGGAGAAGGGTATTCCCAAGTCTTTTCTGCCCCCAGCCAAAGCTATCGACGCCATAGACGCAATTGGCACGCTCAAGGCATATGCGTTTATTGCGCAGCGGGAGGGGTGTGACTCCTTTGATATGCATCGCCTTGTGCGACTAGCCATGCGAAACTGGCTGGAAAAAGAAGGGCAACTGAAGCAGTGCACGAGATCCGCCATCCGTCGGCTTAACCAAGTGTTTCCGTTCCCAACTAGCCTTTATGAAATGGGCACCTGGGTGGGCCTTCTAACGCATGCCCGGGCTGTCCTAAAGCTTGTAGACGAGTCCGCGGGCGACAGAGAAGAAGCATACATGTACCTTTTCAGAAAGGTGATGTTTGGGAATTGTGTGGAAACCCGAGATGAGCCAACAGAGCGGATGAGTTGGCAGGTGATCGACTTCTGGGAGAAGACGTTTGGCAAAACTCATCCATCCACACTGTCCAACAGAGATGTGGTTGCGCTCATACTTGTTTCAGCAGAGAGACTTGAAGAGGCGGAGAAAATACAGCGACAAACACTCGAACTTCGTAAGGAACTTGTGGGCGAACATCATCCTAGTACACTGGTCACGATGAACAGCATCGCAAAATTATTGGCTGATCAACGCAAGCCGAAGGAGGCAGAGAAAATGTTCCGCCAGTTGCACGAGCTTCATGTCAAGGTGCTAGGTGAAGGTCATCCGCGCACACTGATCAACATGGACAACCTCGCGACGATCCTTCGTCTACTCGGTCACGATGAAGAGGCACAAAACGTACAGAGGCAAGTCATTGAGCTTCGTGAGAAGTCGCTCGGCAAGAATTATCCGGATATAAGTTCCAAGGCAGCTTGCCACGCTGTTACAACGAATGCCCTTGGGCAAGACGAGGAGGCGGAGAAGGCACTTCAGGAGCTCCTAGAGTTCCGCGAGGAGGCATGGAGCGGATATATGCGGCTAACGACATCCTTATGGAGGACTTTTAGGCGAGAATTAGAGATATCCTTGCGGCGTGAATACGTGCACAATGAGAAGCTGCTGGACCAATGCCTGCTCCAGGCTGGATGTGCTCGGGAACATTTAAACCGCTTGAAAGCATGGGCAAGCAACGACTCATCGCCCATTCGAAACGTTTTCCAATCTCGACAGCCGTTAGAGACACAGAGCAACGATGAGCGAACACAACTTTAACAGGCCGAAACAGGAAGGTTTAGTTTCGGCGGATATATCAGGAGCTTTGTATGGAGGCTAAGACAAGCAGACACATTGTATCCCTCCCTTCTCTCAGACGAGGTACTAGTAGCAACCACCAGAGAGCAGACACTGTTCAGGAATCGAACCCACCTATTAGTAGCCAGCTAACAACCCTCCCGGGCCTTTCATCTGCTTCCTTTCTTCCTCTTCAGCGAAGCCACCAGAGAACGCATCGAAAAGTCCGCTTCATCCACGCCACAGCCTGCGCCATCTGACAGAAAACCCAAGCCACCACAAGACGAAGTCATCATGACTAATTGGTCCCTTTCTCCCGAGAAAGCACAAACAAGACGGGCAAAAAGAAGAAGAAAAAAAAATGGAAATCCAAGAAGAATAAAATCATAAAATCCCAACCCAATCACACGGCTCCTCGGCCTCCGGATCGGTAACCCCGCCTACCCAAACAAGACAAGCGTCCCCCGGAACACCCGTCAAACCCGCCACTAGCGCAAAGTCGCTTCCGTCATAGCCCTACGTCATACGTCATCGATGGCCAAACTGCGTCAAGGGTCGCGTGTGCCAAGAAAAAGGGATACGCATGTGTGTTGTGCCTTTGCTTGCGCTTCCACGTGTTTTAGTAAGACGGAGGACGGAGGTGCCATGGTACGTTATGTAGCATGATGGGTTAATTGGGGGGAGATGGGATGAGTGAATACTTGCAGAAGCTCGCGGAAGAAGCAGGATTGCACTACAAATCGCAGGTACACACTAGAACCCGGGCACAAGCAGTGGTCCGCTCTCCGTGCTTTTTCGGCTTGGTAGTACTTGTAGCTCGCTCTCCTGATAATCGCGGCTTTTCCTTTCTCTTCATTTTCTTCTTCTTCATTCCCAGGCCCTCGTTTATTGTTTTCCGTCACAGCGCTTATTCACTCTCCAGTAGTTGATATACACCAGAGCAAACTGTCCGCTGTAGCCTCATCCTCCAATCCCTCATAGAAGACGAGAACCAACCCCAACCCAGCCAGCCCAGCCCAGCCCAGCCAGCCACAAACGAAACAACAAGATACCAGCCAAACCGCCATGGCTGCCAGAGGCTTCGTATCCTACTGGGTAAGGCACCCCGAACCCAAGACAACACCGAAAGCCACTTGCTAACCAAACGCGCAAACCCCCCAGATCCTCCCCGTCATCTCCAGCCTCGTCTGGTGCGGCATGCTCCTCGGCCTGCTCCTCTACTGGGTCGTCGACACCAACACAACCCACTACTCGTGGATGGGAAGCGACGACCAGATCGCCTTCATCAGCGACATCGGCGCCAGCAAGCTAAAGCCCCTCTTCATCGCCGGCTCCGCCGTCACCACCGTCTTCCTCGACCTCGCCTTCGCCTCGGAGCGCTGGCTGCGGCACAACGGCCGCCTCGTGCCCAACACCACCGTCAAGGAAAAGGTCCTGGCCGTCGTCAGCATCGTCTTCGCCATCATCGGCACCGCCGGCCTGATCCTCCTGTCCATCTTTGACACGCACCACCACCACAAGGCGCACGACATCTTCCTCCTGCTCTTCATTGCCGGCTACCTCATTTCCGCCGTCTTTATCTGCTGGGAGTACTACGATCTGGGTCTATGTAAGTTTACCAATGAAAATGATATCCTACAAGTCAGCACCAGAATGCTCATACATATGTCCTCCTACAGACAACCGCCAGCACCGCATCCTCAAAATCTCCTTCTACATCAAGCTCACCTTCGTCATCGTCGAGTTCGTCCTCGCCATCGTCTTCGTCGCCACCAACTGGAGCGACAACGAAAACGTCGCCGCCGTCTTCGAGTGGGTCATCGCCTTCATCTTCACATTCTACATCCTCTCCTTCGTCGTCGACCTCCTGCCCGCCATCCGCACCAAGCCCGTCACCGCGCGCTTCACAAAGCACCACGAGCACGAGATGGAGTCGGCAAACAATAGCCAGGACGGCGACTACAACAACGACTACACCGACAACCGGGAGATTAACCGATATGACTTTCGATGAATGAGTTGCATGAGCTGAGTAGAGAACAGCGGAACTCTTTCCTACGTTTACGCTTTTTACGTCTGGTTTGGTTTTTTGTTTATTTTCGCGAGTGTACGAGTGACGAAGAGGGGAAAGAAAACGGAGTTCAGAAGCATCCAACAGGGCGTTCAACGGAGTTTTCTTGTTATTATGGAACATTTTACTTCCATGGGTCGGATGTACAGTGGTTCACAACAAATAATAATGTATTCTTAGATTATGTACCCTATTTTGTTATTGACTTGATAATGAGATACCATCATGCATACACTCTTAAGATTGCCGACAGTCTCACCGTCAGGCGAGCGCACGTCCTCGTTGAACCCCCTTCGCTTGATCTCCTGACTTGATGCACCTCCGTCGACAATCTTCTGTTCACTTATGACTGGTTACTCATGACTAATACAGCTATTTAACCACATAAAAAGTAGCGCTAACTATTGGTATAAGAGAGCAAGAACACGGGAGATGAAAACCCAGGGATATCTGCCAACCACCATCACCGTATATATGTACCAGCCCTCCTCAACTATGTCGTAGTGATTGGCCTCAAAAATGAAAACAGCAGGAAAAATCATTGATCCATCATTTCTCTGAACCGAGAGTCCCGCATGGGGCTGTTCCCTTGTCGCGGAGGTTGATCCATAATGGGCTGAGGCGTCTCGAAGCTCTCGATATCACTGCTTCTGCCGCTTCCCGAACTGACAGGGCTTACGCCGCGAGAGTCCCTGTTCAAAAGATGAGGATGAACATCGGCAGTCCCCGGGACTCCCCCAGTCTCTGGGGCTCCTCTCCCTGCAAGCGTAACCTCCCTGATGCTGGTCGAGCGGTTGTCCAGGCTGGCCGTGCTGCCACCCGGGCCGGGCTCCCTCAGCGCAGCGCCGCCAACGAAGCTCTTCTTCTTCTCGTCTGGCTCGCTGAGGGACTTGCCCCGCGAGAATCGGTTCTTGATCCAGCCCTTGACTCGCGCCGTCGGTGACGTGGGTGTTTCGGGTGACTTCTTTGGTGAGCTGTCGGTGAGGTCTGCGGCAGTCTCCTGCTGCGCGGGAGGAGTAGTAACTTCTGGCACGTGGGAAATTCGCCTGCTCTGCGTATCTGCCTCTCTTCCTGCCGTCTCCCCCTGCAATGTTGGATCAAAGGCACCTGTAGCCGCCTCCGGCTCCGTCTTGGGCTTTCGCCTTTCCTCCTTGGCCAGTTTCTTCTGTTCGGCTTTGGCCATCTTCTCTTCTTCTCTCCTATGTTTCTCCTCTTCCCTTTCTTGCTGCCTTCTGGCCTTTTCTTGTTGCTTGTCCTCTTCTATTGGCAGAGCGTGTCAGAACGATTTCGCAACCACACAAACAGACTGAGACAAGGTTTGGCATCAGTTTCTCCACTTACCTTTGGCCTTCTTTTGAAGATCTTTCAGCTCACGTTCGCGGGCCTTCTCCCTCTCGGCCTCGGCTTTGTTTGCTTCTTCTTCCATTCGAGCCGACGCCACACGCTCCCGTTCGGCCTCGGCCTTTTCGTGGATGTCATCTAGCACGGGCCGTACTCTCCTGGCGGCGATGGCATCGATTTCATCCGCGTCCATGAACACTCCGCCTCCAATATCCACCCTGCCATCGCCTTCTGTTCTTGTGTCGTGCCGAAGCTGGGCAGCCTGCTGGGCTCTGAACTGCCAGTCACCCAAAACCGCGGGGTTCATCTTTCCAGTATCGAAATAGACCTTTTCATCCATTCCCTGCAGGCTGGCCTTGACGTTGCGCTGCGCAGCTGTGTAGAGAGCTTCTCGATCTCTTTGGCGCTTCTCCTCGTCCACCTGGTCAAGCCTGGAGGAGAACAGGGTCATTTGCTGGCGTATCAAATCGGAGCGAGCGCGACCTTCCATGTCGCTGTCACTGGCTGATCGACGGCGCAGCTTGTTGACAATGGTAAACCGGCGGCGCAGGGGCTTATCTGCGCCGTAGTATTCATGGTATCGTCGATTTCTCTCGTGCTCATCCTGGAGCTTGGCGAGACGTTCCTGCGCTTGCCTGTATGCCGCTTCCTGTAAGTCGACGTAGCCATTCGCCGAAGTCTCTCCAGCTCCGGAGTCCCGGCCATCGCTCTCGCGCCGGCTCTGCTGCTGCCTGTACATCTTCTTTGCCATCTCGACTGCTGACTGGTGAATCCTCTCATTGTTGGTCTGCTCATCAGCTTCAGGTCCAATAAGGGGGTGTGATGTGAACATGTTGCGGGTCATGGTGGTGACTGGAATGGCGCCAGTATCCTCGACTTCTGCGGGCTTGTTCATCGCAGCACGATGAGCTATGGATGCCCCATTCAGAGCACTCGCCGAAGCCTTGGTTGCGTTGGGGTAGTACGATTCCTGAGGATTGGAGTATGACCGGAGTCTCGAGCGAGGTGTGCCGAGCTTCGAGGGAGACATGGCTCCTCTAGCAGCCACCAGAGACTTCTCCCTGGGAGAGCCGGGCGGTGAGCTGGCCGCTTTGGCCGATTGCAGTCGGCTCGCATGGAACGCCTGCGTGGCGGCAGAGCTCCCGTGAGATGTGGTCAGCGTGACCGGCTCCGGCTCCGGGTCTGGCCGCCTCGCGTTGGCGCTGAAAGCCTGCGTCGCGGCCGAATTGCCCCATGAGTCGTACGACGGCTTCTTGACGCTCGATTGTCTGTACGCGGTGTTGGCAGAGCCGACAGCCAGCACGGCCGCCTTGGTGCCCGTTCCGTCCATGGTGGGCTCCCACAGCGGCGACATCTTATAGTCCTTGGCCAAAACTGCGGCGGCCGATGCCGATGACGCCTTGTCCGGCTTCCACGTCTCAACGGGCTTGTGGGTGAACCAGCCAAGAGATGCTGCCGCGCTGGCTGCTGCGCCGCCTGGGCTCAGACCGGAGGACGGAAAGCTTGGGAGGCTGCGCGGATCGGCGTATTTGAGCCTACCGGCGGTCGAAACTGCGATACGAAGTCAGCAAGAAGGGCCGGAAACATATGCGAACGACGAGATGACGGCGAACATTTGGAGCCGACGTGCCGCTTAGACACGGGACAACGAGGGCCAACACGAGAAGCAAGTCCTACGGCGGGATAAAGCACCCAGACGGAAGCATATGACGGAGCTCGCCAACATACTATGAAGAAGCGAAAAAAGAATGACAGAAAGAAACAAAAGCGGGAAGTGAAGAGGGGAGGGAGCGGAATGGTGCTTCATTCGCTCCTTTGCTCTTCCTCTGGTCCCTCTCCCTTCCTCTCACCACCGCCGGGTTAACACATACATTGACTGTGGGATTCCGACCCATGAGGACGCGAGGGTGACTTTGCCACTGCCACGGATGGCGATGGCCGCCCTTCTTCCCCAGCTTCTGCAGCTGTTTGCATCATCCAGGCCCCGTCGGGGTGGGGTGACTCCAGATCAGATACGAGGCCAGACGAGGGAAAAGGCGGTTAGTGAGCTGCCGCCAATCCGAAAGAAGGATGTCGCGGTGCTGGTCAAGTGACGCTGCACTGACAAGGACGGGCGCGATACGACGTGAGTACGAGAAGGTACGAGGATGCAGGAGAATTTCTGCTGTATGAATAACAAGGTACCGTAGGTAGATCGTGTGTCAAAAAGAATGGACGGGTCGCAATGGATGGATGGCTAATATCGTAGGTAGGTAGGTGAGAAGAGGTTGTTGCCGCTTTGAGCCTATGGAGTCGATCGTCGTGGTCGTGTCGAGAGAGTCGTCGTTCGTCGCCTGTTTTGGCAGGTCTTTGTTTCTTCCTTATGTACTTGCACAGGCGCAGCGAGGCGAGGCGAGGCAAAAGCGAGAAGTCAGGCCAGGCACTGTAGTACTATCTGACTGTCTCGGATCAGCCAGCGTCAGCAGGTTTCGTCGCTTCTCGATGTCGTTTCGCGAGGCGGATTGGCGGGTTGTACGGATGGCAGCGTCCTGCAGGGCGCAACAGGCAGGCGGCGGCAGCCACGGAGAGACGCGAGGCGTGGATGAATGAATTAATGAATGAATGGCCGTGGCGACGATAAAATGAATTAATAAATACAGCGTCAATAGCAGTCGCGATGCCTGAACAAGGCAGAGATATTATGGCAGAGCACGTCTACTGCCCAGGTACTAAAGCAGAGATGGACGGAATAGATGGGCTTAAGTACTCCTAAAGGAATAAAAGCAAGGCGCTGGCAAAGTGGAAGGCACCACCTGAGGATGGCCGTGTTCATTCCATCATCGAAATAGAATGATGATGGGACTTCATTCTCGCACTTGGCGGTACTTGGTCCTTTGTACCTCCAACTCTTGCTCTTCCGCAGCTTCACCAGGTAAAGGCACTACCAACCGACTTATAGCTGAACGAGGAGCTTCGACTAATCGCTTCCCGTGCAGGGATAGTACTGACTATCCAAGTACATACAGATCAAAAACAACGGCAAAACAGCCAAGACACATGCCAGAAACAAGCAGAGAGACGCTCCAGCGCCAGGCCTGACGTCATGGGGCTCGAGCTAGATGCTGGTGCATGACGCTATTCCAGCTCCAGCGCCCTTCTTGCAGGCATTTCCAAGCTGCCATCTCGCAAGTCCCGGCCAGCTCCTGTTCGTTAGGGCCCGGCTAGTCCGCAGCTTCAGGCGGAGACGGATGCTTATAATCATCTCTCTCTGCTTCTCGCTGCATCATTCAAGCCGAGTCTCGACTCTACCTGTACAGTACATCAGTACGTGTATATACGATACGTACTCGTACGTGCAATACGATCAAGATCCCTTCCCATCCCTGCCAGCAGCTCGTGTCGATCGGCCCCCCTTGCCCTCTTGGGGAACACAGCTGAGACGGGTAGGCACATTAGCATTCCGTGGACGGCAAACCTGGTGTTGTCGTTCTCGAGGAGGGTTACCGAATAAGGCACTGCTTGATTCCACTGAGTAAGTACTGCACATGTGGGATCTAATTGACAGCCTGTTCCGACTAATTCGTATCCAGTACGCCATGTGCTATTACTAGGTACTAGTACCTTGGAAATGGCATGTAACAAAACCCAAAGGTTTGTATTGGATCATGATTACACATTATATCGCTTGAGGCTTATGCTTCGCCAAGCGAGCATCTGACGAGTCTACCTTACCTAGAGTAAGACCAGACGCTCTCTCTACCATTCATTATACGACGGAAGTAAGGAGTCGTTCTGAGCTCGACCCCAACACAGCCGGCTGACATGGGGGCGATGGGCAAGTTCTATCATCTTCAGTCACCTTTCCTCCGTGAGCAGTAAACCGACCAAGCTCCAGGAGTGAGGCCCAATCGACAGCATAGGTACTACAATAAGATATGCTAAAGCCCTCAATGGCCTCGATCTCGTCTGGCTTCCTTTGGGGGCTGAGCACAATGACGTAACGTCGAACCCTCAGGCTTAGCCTACCTTATGTGCGACTCGAAATCCTTCAGACTGGATGGATGGGTGAAGTACTTTCTCCGTGAGCCAAAGTCATGGCTTTTCACTGGCGCAGCCTCTTTTTCAGCCATTTCAGCCTCCAAGCATTTAAGCATTTCCATACAGGCAACTGTTGCTCCAGCAGATGTGACTATACCTGTAGCCGCCTGAGGATTTAGAAGCCCTACGGAGTAGCCGTAGGTTACTACGGAGGAAAGGGAAGAAGAGGCATCAGACACACTCTTATGTTTACGGAATCTTTCCAGAGATCCTCACTTAAAGTCTATATCTACAAAAGATGATGGTCGTTGTGATGATGATGCTTGGTTAATACAACCGTCGATACGCTCTCGCTTAGTATCGAACTGCAGCCGCAGATTGACAGCTGGAAGATGATCCGAACAAATGAAACACAACCCTTTTATTCCCACAATTACTTCAATACGTGAGACCACCTGGACTCTGAAGAGTTGCTTTCAGAACAGAGAAGAAAGGGAGAGGAGTGGGAAAAAAAAAGCCATGTATCCAGGGTAGGTCATCACGGTAGTCGAACAGTAATATTAGCGTTGCTGACAACCAAGCAAACAAACAGGCAAACACCACGGCAACAAAGAAAACCCTGCACTCTCTCACCCGTTTGTCAATGTTTTCCAGTATCTGTGTGCAACAGCGAGCCCTTAGTTTTTATATCAAGCAAACCACAGCAGTAAACAGCAACAGCATATAAAGAAGGGGAAAGGAACAGCTTCATCCACGCCTCAACTCAAGTTCAACCATGGAGCCCGAATCCCAGCTGCAAAACGTCCCCAATTTCAGGGACGTCGGCAAAACTATCAACCAATTTTTGAAGAAGAGGTCCGAGCCACACACGATACCCTCGCCTCGCATCCCTATGTACTGATGGCCATATGAACTGATTGATAATCGTGCAGAACCATCCGAGAGGGCCTCTTCTTTCGATCTGGAAGACTAGGTACGAGTTGTGATGCCACTCTGAGAACAGGGTGGAAAAAAGGAAGAAAGTTTTTCAAAAGAGTTCATGAAGCTTACTTTTCCTCGTCCATCGATAACCAGACGATGCCACGACTGCAGACAAGGAGCTCATCCACGACCAGCTAGGCATCAAAACAATCGTCGATTTGCGCACAAAGTAAGTAATTCTCTACTTCTAGATGACGAAAGCGAAAAAGCAACCCCCAGCAAGCCCAAGCTCATCTCTCAACTCATTAGGACCGAGATCCTGAAGCAAATCAGAAAGCACCGGCGTTCTGCAGCAGACGATGAAATCCCAGGAGTCGAGTACCACGGCATCAAGATCAATGGCAGAGCCTTCGAGAGGCATCTGCTGAGCCTGCTATCGTGGTGGGACTTTTTGTACGAGTTCTTCTCTCCCCCCTTTTCGCCGGCTTCAGGCCCGTAGACTAATCATAACCACTCCGCGGCTGTTCACCCCTTTCAAAGCAAAGTCATCTTCTTCTTCGTCTTCCAATACCGCATAGAGGCCATCAGGGTTCTCAGCCGTCAGGTAATGCTGCCTCGTGGCCTCGTCCGCCTCGGCCTCGACACGCTCGATCACTGTGGCCCAGAGCTCCGAGAAGCCCTCTCGTTCTATACATCGCCACAGACGCTGCCCTGCATCATACACTGTACCCAGGGCAAGGATCGCACGGGTAAGATGCGCTCTCTCTCCTTTCTCATGACAGCTCCCCCCTGTCTATCTAGGTGTATCACGGCCATGACGATGAGCTTACCAACGCCTGGCAGGTCTCATATGCGCCTTGGTGTTGATGATTCTCGACATCCCCATAGCCGCCATCGAGCACGACTACTTCCTCACTGACGACGCGCTCATGCCCAGCCGCCCCCAGATGCTCGTAGAGATCCACGAGATCGGGCTGACGGACCAGTGGGCCGGCACTGCAAAGGACATGATCTCTTCCATCGAGCGCCATATCAAGGAGAACCATGGAGGCTTGGACAGCTACCTCGATTCCATCGGCTTTGACCAGCACCAGCGCGACAAAGTCCGGGAGACGCTCCTCTACTGAGCAAAAGGAACAAGTCAGTTGACGCTGATCGGATATCAATGACACAACGTTTCTCTTCCACTCTTTGGTCCTGATCACTGTTCATTTTTGTATCTTATTTTCTTCATTTTGTATGTTTCTCTTTGTTGTCTAATAAATCGTTCTATTTCTTTCTAAATTGCCCCTGAAGCCAGCAGCGATACATCTTAATCTTCTCAGCTCTATTCACGAGCAAACGCCGGTCAACGCCAAGCTTCTCAATCGCAAATCGTGGCACGTCCGTCTCTTCGGCGTCTTCCGGGCCTGACCAGATGCCGGCAAGTTCATCTTGATCGAAAAAGTACACGCGGGTGCCGTCTCCGCGGATGTAGAAGTTCTCTTCCATGTAACGTCCCTTTCGAAAGCGGACTTGAGCTAGATCACCTCTTCCATAGTCTCGGAAGCAGACCACTCCTCCGGGCTTCAGGGCTCTATAAACGTTCCGCACTGCCTGCGTCCATTCTCGGGGCGACAATGCGGAAAATACGAAAATCATAATGGCCAGGTCTACTGTACCCTCCTCGACGTCGGGCGGGAGGCTGTCTGAAGCGACGTCCCAGACATCGGCTTGCATGTGCTTGGTATCATAGTTTTCGCTATTGCGCATGACTTCTACGGCTTGCTTGGAAAAGTCGCACGCATAAATCTTCAGCAGAGGATTCTTGTTGTTGGCGAGGACCGGGAAGGCGGTGTTACCCGCCCCTGCGCCAATCTCCAGGATGAGTTGTGGTCCGGCATCTTCCTTGGTTACTTCGGCCAAGATGGGAAACTCTTGCTGGAGCCACTTGCGGTCCTTGAAGAAGTTGGCCGTGTTGTTCTTGTAGAACTTGTTCCACCACATGGCCGGGTTTGAGTTGAACCTGTCTTGATGCCCATGTTAGCAACACCGTATACAGAAGATGTCGATGTAAAGGACAAAGGTAGAAGAATGGTCGGCATGTCAGATGGGAGCGAAAGAATTGAAGGTAAGGTTTTTCATCAGATTACTCAGATGAACTATGCATTTGGTATGTGTATCATCACACGACCGAGTGGAGGACCAGAAAACCAGTCTAGGGGACAAAAACTTACTCTTGTCAAAGTCGGACACGGGAGACTGACGCTGCTTCTCCAGCTGCCCCTCCGCATACTGCTTGTAAGCATCGTCAGTCTCGACGTGGTCCCAGGCATTGAACTCGAAGACATCGTCTCCGGCTTCCAGGTAACGGCTGCCAAACTGGAAGGGATCGCTTCGCTTCAGATTGTTCGCGGGATCATGCGATCGGTGAGGCGGCACATTGTTTTGAGCCTCTGACTTTTCAGCCTCGGACTCAACGTTGGAAGCCTCAGCTTCGGCAGTCTGGGCTTCGGCAGTCTCAACAGCCTCAACGGCCTCAGCCGCCGCTTTGAGAGCAGCCATATCGTCCAGCCCCGAGCCAGCTGCACTGCCCGCTTCCACGTCGATCATCGCTGCAGCTGATCCGACAACGCATAGAGCTTTACAGAGAAAGACTCGCGAGTGCCTTGTCGGCTGCTGAAGGTGAAAATATCACCTTGAAAAGCGATCTTTCTTTGCGACGAGAAGAAAAAGATGGACAGAGAAGAAGAACCGAAAGAAAAAAGAGAGGAGTGGGAAAAAAAGAAAAACTTATACTATCGATTGTCGAGTGGACAAGGTGGGGTGGGAGAAGCTCTAAGTTGATTGGTAGTCAGGATCGGCCCGGAATCTTGATATTCCGGACAAGCCACGCTGTGGGAAGCAAAGAAGGTGGGCAAGTGGGGAATAGCGAATAAAGTGGAGCATAGGTAGCTTAACAGTTGCGATAGCATCATGTGTTAAGAGCTGACCTGCACCTTTCCTACCTACTGTATCTACTGGAACTCTCTTCGCGACACCAAAGATCCCGTCACCGCCCGCTACTGCCACCATTTCCAGGATTCTGTGAAGAATAGCGATTGGCACCTCTCGCCTCTTATTGCTCCAACAGCCGCCGACATGCCACCTCTATTGCTCCGACCTCATGCCAGTCTCTCCCACGCCGAAGCTTTGCAGGTAGCTCAACAAGCCCCCGAGTTCCTGCGGAAAAACCCTGCGTCATACTCAGCATCTCCATTGTTCTCGCTATTCTCTCCTCCAGAAAGCTCCAAGACGTGGACAATATACGAAAACCTCTTGCTCGCCTGTCTACGAACTGGTGACTATACAACGGCGCACCAATGCCTTGAGAGATTGGTGGTTAGGTTCGGAGGGAGCGACGACCGCATTGAAGCGCTCAAGGGCCTGGTGAAGGAGGCCGAGGCGACCGACAACAGCGAGCTTGAAAAGGTGTTGAAAGAATACGAGGCTATCTTGGCCAATGACAACACGAACGTCGTGAGTACCCCTCAAGCAGTCGGCGAGGCCCAGACCAAGGACCCAGACTAATCGTACGCAGCCAATCTCGAAGAGGAGAATAGCGCTGCTTCGTGCAATGGGAAGGACAGCCCAAGCGACCGAAGCGCTGGTGCAATTCCTCGATTTCGCAACTACCGACGCCGAGGCCTGGGTAGAGCTCTCAGACCTGTACCTGTCTCAGGGTCTGTACCCGCAAGCCATCTATGCTCAGGAGGAGGCACTTGTCATAGCGCCAAACGCGTGGAATGTAAGCTACCCTCAACCGAGTTACTTACGTGCTGTTTCGAGGAGCGATTGCTGATGATGACTGACCTCTAATCTTTTAGCTCCATGCCCGCCTAGGCGAAATCCAGTTCATGGCTGCCGAGTCTGCCAGCGAGGGTAACCCTCAAGCGTACCTCGCAGAAAGCTTGAAGCGCTTTTGCCGGAGCATTGAGCTGTGCGACGATTACTTACGTGGTTACTACGGACTGAAACGGGTATGAAGGTCACAGATCGTCGTTCCAGAGTAGGTTCGCTAACCCTTGGATCAGGTCACCGATAAACTCCTCGACCCGAGCTCGAAGCCAAAGAAGTCATCAGATTCGGATGAGGTGTCCCTGCCCGAAACCTCGACAATCGAACAGCTCAACCTGGCTGCGACGAAGAAACTCGGCGATATTGTGCGAAAGAACGATGCCAAGGACCCTCTTTGGCAGGGGTACGACGCTGCAGAAGTGGCAGCTGCCCGTGCCTGTCTTTCTCAATCTTCACAGGACATTGTGCGATGAAGACGCGGAGCGAAGTTGGGTCCTGCTATTCATGTCGAAAATGGATTTGTTTTAGGTGGTCAGGTTGCAAAACTGAACATGACAATCGTGTTGCGATTCCTCTCTAGGTGGAAACATCTCGGCTAGCGGCACGGAAGTGCGCAAGAGATGAGCTACGCAAAGCCTTCATATGTCGTACAGAGAGTACGTAATAACTTGAAGTTAGATGGACGCCATGCAGACGGACAAGCGGGATGGAGGCACGATACGTAACACGAGGAGTGACCATCACGGGGCGTTTGAAGCTTGTTGAGACAAACAATGAGCAGGACGGGTACGTATTATCCGACTTTGTGGCGAAAAGCGAAATACTCGAGGGAGTATGTAATATGCATTTTGGTTCTCTTAGCCATGTCAAGAATTGGTGAATATAGGTCTTCATCTTCGATAAACATTGAACCCTTCTGAGCTGGTGATGCAGCCTCGAAGTTCATGGAGGCTCGGTACGCAATAATATGGCCTTTATTCTCCCCGCTTTGAATCCCCTTCTCTTGGTGTTAACTCCTGCATGTATCTGACCTACAAGCTGCTACTACTGTCAACATGTATGTCTCCCGTCTCTCGTCCTCCGTACACCAAGGTGAAATATCCTACCGAGATACTTGTACAGACATTATGGCCCTGTTGCTGCCTGTCGTACGGCATCACGCACGCATAATGAACGTATACACGGGCACCAAACAGTCCCGTGTCGGCCTGCGAGTGGCTCGGGCTCGCCCGCAATGATGCTGCCGCCTCATCTGACTTCGGGGAACTGGGAGAGCTCAGACGGAGGCATGCGTGTGCTACTACTATGGTATGTAGGTGGCGATATGCCAGGACGTACGGGATACGTGGACGGCGTTGTACTCTCTCCATGATATATATGCTGCCAAGTGAACGAATCAGAGTATCTTGGAGAGAAAGGGACGACAGAATACTGTCAAGAGGCAGCTTGACCGATGCAGCACCGCAGACGACGAGAACCATCAGGGAACAAGCACACGATACGCCATATCCAGCCGCGTATGAGACCCAACAATCGCATCTCTAAAACGTAGACTTAGTCCCAGCGTACAATGCATCGCTTGACATAAGACGCAATGGGCGAGGCTGTGAGCGAAACCCTGTGCGAATTTACTGCCTTGAAAGCCAGGGTTGAAGGTTCTCCAACATATCCGTGTGCTTATTCCTCTTCCTTGTCGCCAGACGGCCGGGATATTCTAGGCTGCCTGTTGCTGCCTATCAGGTTCATGCATTCGGGCGGCGCCGTATGGAGACCATGAGTCAATCGATAGAGTCCGGTTGGGCGTCAATGCAGGTTATTTTTCTTGGGCTCCGCAGCTTGAAGACTTGGTTGCTTGGGCCCCTGCGACAGATATGGGTAATAGTATGTGTAAAAAGGGAAAGAAAAAAAAGAGGATGATGAAGAAGATGATAATGAGAGATTCCACACCGAGACCGCGGCTTGATATCGAACGCACTCACCTCACAACTCCTTGGATGTAGATGTCACAGTTGTGATGATGCCACGGCTGTGATGAGGTAGCTAGGACGCTTCAGGTACTATCAGAAAGTCCATTTCAGAAAACCATCTTGGATCTCACCTCTATTGCTTCGCCGTACCGCCCAGCACGGCAGCGTCAACTCCTTCTGGCTTATCCCGGACGGGAACATGGCGGCCCGGGCAGCGCTGCTGTCACCTCTCGGATCACGGATGCTTCACCACCGCCAGGAACACGTATCATGTTACATTGCGCTCGGCTCAGCACATCTGCAGCATCCATCGGCTCTGGGGAGCTCCAGTTATTAATCGATGGAGTGAGGGTGGTGGTCGATATGTGCATGATATGATAGAGTACTACTCGTCGACTGCATGGGCTCTGCTCCGTACATGCAGAGGACTGCACCAATGAGCTCGGTCAAGTCAGGCAATACTCCGAGCTGTCCGCTGTCGTATGTAGGCATTCGGCGTGTGAGCATCTGCAAGACCAGGGCAGAGAAGCGGCAGAGAAGCAGCTGAGAGTTGAGTATTCTGCAATAGAAACCCGGCTGGGTAATCCTCAGGTGAGTCGCTGTCTGTGGTTGACACCCTATTCGACTGCAACCAGCCGTGAATCGATGCGCCTCCATATATAATATACTATACCTTGACCTTATAGGATGATCTTGGGAGCTCGCTTCCTCGTCCATCATTGCCAGCAGGCGGTCAGCAGTCCAGAAGACCTATCAAAGGCAACCCTGGGGTAACAGTAAGGATGTGTGGCTGAATGGAGGCAAACACGCAGACCTGGTGGATGTGATTTGAGAAGAAGAGAGAACGTGAATGAAAGAAACAAGTCATACGCACGCACGCACGCAAGAGCCAGCCAGCTCATACATGAGGTATCAACGTGCTATGTATACAGGTAAGGTAGGCGGGCGCACAGCAGTGCGGGTTACACCAAGGCTTCCACATGCTGTCCGCGGTAGAAAGAAAAATAGAAGGGGAATGAAAAGGCCAAAAGAGAGAGTAAAAAAAAGAACGCAACCGGAATAAGCAAGGCAGTCAAGATGTGTGCACCGCCCTGCTTTGGAAGACACTTTTGAGTCTTTAGGCGGTGATGGCCTTGATGTACCTCGAGGGCCTTTCGCACAGCCCTCGCCTTACAGGTTAAGGTAAGGTAGTATTACTACTACCGGGTGCGTGGGCGATACCACACACACACACACACAAACAACCCTAAGACCACGATCTTGATTCTCTCAGCTTCCATCATACCTTAAGCGTACAGTACTCGTACAATAACTACTAGTATGAGCATCTCGGTGAAAAGAAAAGAACAGCAAAGACAACCAACGGCAGTTTCGATTTCGAGGCACCTGTACTTGATGTTCAGAGGCACTTTCGTAAGGCCTGTAATACGGAGCACCTCGCCTGGAATCTCATCCACTGCCCTTGATCCATCCAATCTTGATCTCCACGATTGGCCCGCTAGGGCGTTAGTGAGAGCTCCGCGCCGTCCCGCCGAGGGCCAGAAGCCACTAACCTTACAGCAACACCACAGAGAAGGACAAGATGGAGAATACAAGGGCACAGAGAACCGATTGATTCTATGCGCTCGCCCGCAGTGTGCGCTGTTCATCTGCAAACATCTCCCCACTCGGCCGTCTGGCCACTCTCGCTCACTCGCTCACTCCCATTCTTCCGTCGTCTTCCACCAGGTTATTGTTGGTGGTCCTGTCGTTGCTCTGCGTCTGTTACTTTGGGTTGTATTGCGGCTGGCAGCGCCACACCCAGCTGGTTGCTCTACTTGAGAGTACCTGCAGATGCGCCCAGGCTGCCAGCAAGCATCGCAGTGCCGCCTTGGTACACTTCGGGCACAGCCGTGGGCTGCACAGCCGCTCGACCTTGCGCACTAATAGCAGCTGTCGAAGCCTGCACGGACACACAATCACACCCAGTCTCATCGTGTCCTCACCTCATCATCCTCTTTTCCCTTCGATCTCTCTGTCTCTCATCCTGCTTCGCGTCTTTCTCTCTCTCTTCCTCTCGATACCTACTTAGCAAATAAAGCCTGCAGCTACATATTTCTCCAACCGAGATCCCAGCACCCCTCACCGCCGATCGCCCACACAACCCCGTCGAGGCTGGCTTGCCGTTGGTCTGCCTGTCACTGCATTTGACAATCGCCTTGTGTATCACTCCAACTTGCATGAGGATTTTTTTCCTCTCTTGTTTTTTTCTCATTGGTCTCTGCCCTTCAACTGGTCTTACGTACCGACTGCGTACTCAGACTTCATAAGACCTCGGAACCCCCCCCCCGCCCTCGCCCGCTGAGCGCCTTTCCGCCCTGCTCATTTTCTCACCCATCTACCAACCGACTTCGTACCCGCCTAAGACACGAGGGAGCATCCAAGATAATACCACCTACTCACTCTGTATACCGTCGCCTCTTTGCTATTTTGTTATTTTTCTTTTCTTTTCCCACTTTCTCTTCTTTAGCTCTTGGCTGGTTGCCCTGCATATGTGCACACCGTTCCGCTTTGCGAAGTAATTCGTACCATCCCTCGCCATCCAAGAACTTCTCACCGGTATTTTCTCTCTCCCACCCATTCAAGACTCATCGCATTAACTTCAACGAGGTAATAGTGACTTCTGCTGCCTTAGTCACTCTGCGATTCAGCCCTTGATTCGCCTGCGTGCCCTCTGTCTTCTCTCGATTTCTTCCCTTGGACCTAATTTTCGCCTCCCTTTGCCTCCCCTCCTCATCTTTGTACGGATTCGCAGAGGCTCGCAATATTGCCTGTTCGCCCTCGACGGTACCATTGCAGTTTCAGGCTGCTGACCGAAGCGGCTTGGGCTCGTTGCTATTTTTTTTTCTCTCCCTCCCCCCGTTGCCGCCCGCCCTAAAGCCACCCAACTTTGGTCCCCCGCCACAAACAATCGTCCCATCGTCGGGCGGTCTTGTGCGGCTTGTGGTGAGTAGAACGAAGGCAATCCTGCCACAAGTTCGCCTGTGATGTGGTTAGTACTGCGCCCCCGAGTTTGCCACGCAGCCTGCCAGAAGCTGCCTCCTGCAACTGAAGCCCATCGATAGATGCGATACTGACCATCGTCGCCCGACAGCGCCTACAGATACGCAGACCGACGACCCCAGCCTCGGACGGCCTCTTACGACAGGACCGCCGGCTACGATAGACGCCGCAGCCCGCCGTCGGCCTACTCGAGCGAGGAAGACTCCCAGCAGGGCGAGTACTCGGACGCCTACTCGGACAACTACGACGACGACTACGACGACGACCTCCAGCCGTCGGATTCCGCCTCGACGAACCACGGCAGGCCCCAGCTGCGCACCCGCGCCTCCGAGCAGCCCGCCACGAGGCGCCAACGGCCCGCGCCTAGACAGGACGCCTCCTACCATCAGCAGGTGCAGTCTTACGCACCCGCCGCACCGCCCAGCGTGGATCCCTCCGAGGAGTACGGCCACTATGGCCACTATGCCCAGCACCCGCACGCGCACCAGCAGCATCCCGCTGGGCGCAACAGCTACTATGGCCGCGGCCACCCGGCTTATCCCGGGCAGCAGCAAAACCACGTAGGCCCATACATGGGATACAACGGCGGCGGCCAAATGGCGCCCTACGGCAACTACGGCGCCAGCCCGTTCTCGCCCACCGGCTCCAACGCCGGCAGCTACTATGGCGGCGACCAGAGGCACATGTACGACATGATGCCATACGGCGCTCCGCCTCCAGGGCCCTACTACAGCCCACAGCACGGGGCCCACTACCCCGGCATGCCCCCTCCCATGATGCAGCGCCACCTGCCGCAGCCTCCACAGCCGCCGCCCACTGAAGCTCCCGCTCCCGCCACGCCTCCCGCCCCGAAGGAACCCACTCCAGCTCCACCCCCACCGCCCGATCCTGAGAAGGAGCGTTTGCAAAAGGAGCTCGCTGACTTCAAGGCCGAGCAGGAGAGGGCCGAGAAGGCAGCAAGGCAGCGGGAGCTGGAGGAGAAAATCCGCAAGGACGCCGAGGAGGCCCTGGCCAAGAAGATGGAGGAAATGAGGCTGCAGCAAGAGGAGGCCAAGAGGGAGATTGAGCGCGCCAGGGCGGAGGCTGAGCGCGCTGCCCGCGAGAGGATCGAAGCCGAGAAGAAGGCGGAAGAAGACAGGAGGCGGGCGCATGCTGAGGCCATGGCCCGCGCGGAGGAAACTGCGCGATTCCGATTTGAAGCTGAAATCAAGGCCGCCGAGGAGCGGAGAAGGAGGGAGGATGAAGAGCGTGCTCGCGCTGAGGAAGCGGCTCGTCTCCGCCTAGAGGCGGCCATCCGGGCAGAGAGCGCCGCCAAGGCCGCTGCTGAAAAGAAGGCCGCCGAGGAAGCAGCCAGAATCGAAGAGGCTACCCGCCTCCGCATCGAAGCGGCCATGAAGGCCGAGGCCGAGGCCAAGGCAGCTCAAGCTAAAAAGGAAGCTGAAGAAGCAGCCAGAATCGAAGAAGCAGCCAGACTCCGTGTCGAGGCGGCTCTCAAGGCGGAGGCGGACGCCAAGGCCGCAGCTGCCCAGAAGGCGGCCGAGGAGGCCGAGAGGCTCAGGCTGATCCAGGAAGAGGCCAAGGCCAAGGCAGAGGCTGAACACCGGGCCCGGCTCGAGGCAGAGAGAGAGGCGGCGCAAAAAGCCGCCGAGGCCGCTGCCGCTGCGAAGAAGGAGGCCGAGGAACTGAAGAAGAAGATCCAGGAGGAGACTCGGGCCGCTCTCGAAGAATCCGCGCGGAAACAAGAGGAGGCGGCCAAAAAGGCAGAGCTGGCTCCCATTAAGTTCAAGGACGCCGTTGGCCGAAAGTTCAGCTTCCCCTTCCACCTGTGCAACACCTGGCAGGGAATGGAAGAGTTGATTAAGCAAGCCTTTCTGCAGGTCGACGTCCTGGGGCCTCACGTCCAAGAGGGCCACTATGACTTGATTGGCCCGAACGGCGACATTATTCTGCCCTCTGTCTGGGAAAAGGTGATTGAGCCGGACTGGGCTATTACCATGACAATGTGGCCGCTCGACAAAGCACCACCGGTAGGCGGACCCAAGCTTCCTCCTGGGATGCCTCCGATGCCGAAGCACGATCAGATGCCGCCAGGAATGCCACCGCTCAACCGACCGAGACCCGGTGCGGCGATGCCTCCGATGCCCCCGCCTCCTCCTGGTTGGCACGGGCCGGTCCCTCCCGCGCCTCGAGGACCGCCAGGAGTGCCTCCCGGCATCAAGATTGTCAACGCGGCACCGCCCAAGAAGAAGAGCACTTCCAGCAGCAGCAAGCAGAACACCACCATGCTAAACTTCCTCTCCGGGAAGCCTGTGAAGAAGAAGTGAGTGGAAAGAACCCAAGAAGCGCCCGTCCAGTGAGAAGCCTAACTAACATGAGCCGTAGGTCAACGAAGAAATGATTCCGCTTCCATCCGCTCCTGCATGAGAGATGATTCAAGAAGAGATGCCCCGATTGCGATTGCGTTATATATCCGAGCGACTGACTTAATGATTCCCTCCTTTTGCTATTATTCATCGTCTCTCCTGTCCCTTTTCTTTCTCTTATCCCTTCCCTTTGTTTCTTCTGTGCCTTCTGTTTTCTCTTTCTTTTCACCATCTCGCTATTTGATTCTCATGATTTCATGCCCTTATTTTGTTCTGGCTTTTGAGCGAAAGATTCCCCTCTTGTTTCGCCGTCCGTGGTGGTTCAGCGCTCGACCTTTCATTGTGTTGGTTGGGCTTCTTCACATCCGGTTGCATTTGTCCTGGAGTATGCGGCATTCGCCTGTGCGAGGGAGAAGGGCTGCAATGCGTCGAGTCTCGGATCATCATGATGTCTGGCCTGACACCCTGCGCGGCGGCTTGACATGAGAGACGGGGACGTATGGCGTATTTGGAAGATGACATTTTGGATATTAGGGAGCAATATGGAGCGGGTTAGACAAAGGGGGATGGCTACGTCTGATGAGGATATGATCTATTTGCTTGCTTTGTAATTTTGCTGTTCTTCTTCCTCTTCTTGGTGTGTGTTTACGGCTACAACGGGGGAAGCTGTTGAGCTATGTGAGCGGAGATGTTAGTTGTCGCGAGTCTAGGGGTCCTAACTATCTATCAATGTATCGAATGAGTATTAACCGTCCAGCGCCTTTCCGTCTTTGATACTCCCGGTTCTCTTTTTCTTCACTAGTATCGTCATTCATGAGTTGCTCAGCGACGCCTCCAAGGCAGCTCTACGCTACAGGCGCTGCTGAGCGCTTAGTTTGTGGTGCACTCGCTTTTCAAAGGCTTCGATCATGAGGCCCGCGATCTTGTCAGACACAGCAGCGCTGACCGCGGCATAGAGAGGGTTGACGAATTCGAACTGGATCGTGAGCCGGACCTCGGTGGAGGGCGTTGCTGCAGACTGGCGGGCAACTGGCGTCAAGTACCACAGCGTCTCGAGGGTCTTGAAGACAGACGAAGCGTCCTTGGCAGGGCCGTCCCCAGCGGAGCCGCCACTACGGGCCTCGACGGAGACGCCAGGGACGCAGCGGAGGCGGCTCGTGAAGACCTCGTCGAAGCCGCCCCAGCCCACGTGCAGGTCGGCGAGCGCGGGCCAGCGGCGGCCGGAGGCGTCTGGCGGAGACCATTGGGTGACGCGGGAGTGCGAGCAGTAGGGGACAAAGGCCGAGTAGGAGTCGACGTCTGCGATGAGCTCGTAGAGGGGCTCGCGGGCGTAGGGGAGGGTCCGGGTCGCGACGAGGCTCTGGGGGGAGGAGCCGGGGAGGGAGATGAAGGCGCGGCGGGAGAGGGCGGGGGTGGGGAGCTGAGTGTGTGTGTGGCGGAGGAGGAGGAGTCGTTGGGAGGCGGTTCGGACGGCCATGGTGTGATTTCTGGCGTGTGGTTGCGATGCGAGGAGGCGGGATGGTGAGCGAGTGAGCGACTGTGATGCGGATGCGGATGCGGATGCGGATGCGCCGTTGGAGGGGTTGCGACGAGGAGAATTAGACGGAGGAGGTCAATGCCATGATCAAAGGACAGCGATTGACGACATTTAGAGAGCGTAAATCAAGACAGAAAAGTCATACAAGGCATAGAGAAAGAAGAAGAAGAGAGCGAAAGCCCGTAGCAGTTCAAGAAGAAAGAAGCCTCTCGCGAACCGAGTGAGCGCCAATTGCACTGCAGAGGACGTCACAGCGGGTTTTCACCGGCCCGTGCGTGGGACAAGGCGCGCCTACCTGATGCGAGGACACCAAAGCAAAGCTCCGAAGTTTCGGCGTCAATTCCGTCATGGCCCTTCTTGTTAATGTTAGTAAGGTACCTCTGATCATTAGGTGGGCGACGCAACCTTGGCCTCTCATTAGCGGTCACCTACCTACCTTACCTAACGCCTAAATCCACGGCTTGAAGCTATCTCAAGCTCTCTCTCTCTTCTCTCATTCTCTCCAACTCTTTGTCTCTCTCTCTCTCCTGTCCGCTCGCCTTCTCCCAAGAGACCAACGACAGCGACCGCAACTCGGCATTTGAGCGCGATAGCAGGATGAACGGGCTGCTACGGGCCTTCATCTCCATCCTTCCCTGACGAGAGTCACGCCGCTCGCTCGCTTCTCGAACTCTTCCCGACCCGATTCGGTCTCTCGCAAGGCCTTTCGCTTCCGTCCCTTCGCAAGGCCCCGCGCGGGGCAGTTCGTTCCAACATGTAAACACCAATCACCAATGACGGGCATCAGACGTACACATACGCAGGTGGACGGTCGCTGATGGCGCACAATGCAGGTTCGAGAAGTCGCTCTACGACCTCATCCGGGGTCTGCGCAACCACAAGGGCAATGAGAAGGAGTACATTCAGAAGACCCTCAAGGAGTGCCGCGCCGAGGTCCGCAGCCAGGACATGGGTTCGTCACTCTCTTTGCTCTCTCCTCTCCTCTCTCTCTTCTCTCCTCAAACCAGGTCGACTGCGGCCGTGCTGACTGATCGCCTTCGTCTAGACCTCAAGGCAACGGCCCTCCTCAAGCTCATCTACCTGGAAATGGTCGGCCACGACATGTCATGGGCCTCGTTCCACGTCCTCGAGGTCATGTCGTCGCCCAAGTACCACCAGAAGAGGGTGGGATATCTCGGCGCTGTGCAGAGCTTCCGGCACGACACCGAGGTCCTCATGCTGGCCACTAATCTCTTGAAAAAGGTCAGTCTCTGCAGCCTTGCCTCGCCTCACGCCTGGCTACTGACACTCCCCTCACCAGGACTTGGCTGCTACCGCGCCGACGGTTATATCCCTCCCGATTGCGACTCTCCCTCACGTCATCACTCCGTCCTTGGCTCTCTCCACCCTCGCCGACCTACTGCCGCGGCTGAACCACAGCCATGCAAATATACGCAAGAAGACACTCGTCACGCTCTACCGCCTAGCGCTCGTATATCCCGAAGCCCTGCGTGCGGCATGGCCAAAGATCAAGGATCGCCTGATGGACCCCGACGAAGACCCCAGCGTCACTGCGGCCATTGTCAACGTTGTCTGCGAGCTCGGTTCGCGGCGTCCCAAAGACTTCTTGCCTCTGGCGCCACGGCTCTTCGAGCTGTTGGTAGACAGCGGTAACAACTGGATGGCGATCAAACTCATCAAGCTCGTCCGTTTTCCCCATCTACTTGCGTCCGATTCCCCCATCGAATCAGGCTAACCTCTCTGTCCAGTTTGCGAGCTTGACACCCCTTGAGCCTCGCCTTGTCCGAAAGCTGCTGCCTCCCCTGACCAACATCATTCGAACCACACCGGCAATGTCCCTTCTGTACGAGTGCATCAACGGCATCATCCAGGGCGGCATCTTGGACAGTGCCGAGGACGTTGCAGGAGCAGACGAGATCGCAACCCTCTGTGTCAACAAACTGCGAGGAATGATTATGATTAATGGCGATGCAAACCGTGAGCTTCCCCTTCTTTTCCGCCCCAACTTGTAGTGACTAACGCACCGATCAAGTCAAATATGTTGCCTTGTTGGCTTTCAACAAGATTGTTCTCACACACCCGCATCTCGTCTCCCAGCAAGAGGACGTTATCCTGGAATGCATTGATAGCTCCGACATCACCATTCGTGTTCAGGCCCTCAACCTCGTCAAGGGAATGGTTACCAGCGATAACCTGGTCCCCGTCGTGAGCCGTCTCATGAAGCAGCTCAAGTCATCGTCACCGTCCAAGGATCGCCGTGCTCCAGGAAGCTCAGCCAACACTCCGGAAACAGAATCAGACGATGAAGCGCAAACCGCAATTACGGCGCCAACTGTCCGAGACACGCAGGCTCTCCTCCTTCCCGACGACTACCGGATAGACATCATTGAAAGGATCTTGTTCATGTGCTCCAAGGACAACTACTCGAGCGTGCTGGACTTTGATTGGTACATTGATGTGTTAACACAGCTGGTTCGCATGGCCCCTGTTCCTCGAACCTTTGACGCCGACACTGGTGCCTTGCTGCCGACCCGTCAGCAAGTCGACGTGTCCGAAAAAGTAGGAGACGAGCTGCGGAACGTTGCCGTCAAGGTCAGGGCAATGAGGGCTACTGCCGTCAGGGCGGCGGATCTCATACTCGACCAACTGCTGTCCGATAATCCGGTTGGACATTCGCTCAGCTCGGGAGCGCTAAAGTCGGCCATATGGATCATTGGCGAGTACTCGATACATTTAGCTATGCCGGATGACAGCCTCAATGGGCTTCTCCAGGCCCTTCCGAGAATTGGGAAACCCGACATCTCTGCAGTGGCGCTCCATGCCATTGCGAAAGTCTTCTCATCAATTGCCGGCAGCGAGGTCGAGCCGTGGACCGCAGAGCGGAAGTCGAGGATATCGCTGCTCCTCGCCCGCATCCTCGACGTGCTAGAGCCGCTGGCCCTCCACCCGAGCCTCGAAGTACAAGAGAGAGCGGTCGAGTTCATAGAGCTGCTCAAACTGACAGCAGAGGCGGTTTCGGGTCAACCCCCATCAACAGATGAAAACCAACAAGATCCGCCCTTGCTCCTTACACAGGCTATTCCATCCTTGTTTGCCGGTTGGGAGCTGAATTCCGTCGCCGCGCATGCGCAGAAGAATGTGCCCCTTCCTGAGGGATTGGATCTAGATGAACCAATTCACAGCAACCTCGGCCGGCTCTTGTCTCAAACCGACATCGTCACACTTCAGTCAGACGAGGCTGACGACTTTGAGGCTTACTATCACCAGCGACCACCGCCTTCGAGCCTTTCATCCTCAGGCCCGGCAATCACTAGACTGGCCGACCCAGAAGACGACACGCCAGGCTCCTATCAGCAGCCTAGCGAGGAGAGCTACCTGGATGCTGATATTCTTGCCAGGAGAAAGGCAGAAAGGATGGAGAAGAACAAGGACGATCCCTTTTACATCCCGAGTGATAATATCCTCAGAACATCAACGCCCATTCACAACATCTTGCAGAACAATAATGGGCCCGCCCTGGACATTGACTCCATCCCCGTCATGCAGTTGGACCTCGAGAAGATTGGTCAGACAGCCGCCGCGCCCTCTCGGCCGCGACCGCAGCCACGGCAGAGGGTCGTGGTAGCTACCGATGAAACTCTGGAAGGGAGCGACAGCGGCACGGGGCGGCAATACGACTCGGAGAATAGCTCCCTCACCAAGGCCAGATCTAAGAAATCAAAGCAGCACTCCCTCCTTCACGTCGACTCAAGCACCATTGCCTCGTTTAGCCTGGAAGGCAACGCATCCGAAGCATTCGACTATGAAAGGCAGCAAAGGGAGGACTTGGAGATGCAGCAGGCCATGAAGGAGGTGGAGCGGCTACGGCTCGAGATGCAGCGGGCCAACGAGAGGATACAAATGGCTCAGGGGGCCGAAGTGCAGGGCGTCGTCATCAAGAAGAAGACGAAGAAGAAGGCCACGGCAAAGAAGGCCGCGGAGGGCGATGAGAACGAGGCTATAAAGGTCAAGCCCAAGAAGAAGGTCAAGAAGGCGGCGGCGCAACAGGCCGTGGAAGGCGGCGGCGACGATGCCGGTGGTGCGGCTGCTTCAGCAGACGCGCCGGGAACTCCTCCTGCGAAGGCGGCGCCAAAGAAGAAGAAGAAGAAGAAGGTGGCACCTGTCGAAGAAGCCGAGGGCGCTGATAAGGGGGCTGGAACCTCTTGATGCTGCTGTTTGTTGCCTTGAATATGTGGCATGGTGGAGGAGAGCAGAGAAATGGCTGTTATTACAGGCTTGTACATATGGAGACGACTGATATATAGGGGTGGTGAAGGTGAAGACGGAGGGGAATATGGAAACAACTGCTTTTGTCAGTCGATCTTCTCTTTCCTCTTCTCCGTACACGTAATGCAGCGCGTCACCATAGAGAACATAACCAGGATACGAGACATTGAAGAGAATGGAAGGATAAGAAGATACCTTATAGAAGTATAAGAAGATATATTTCCAAGAGAAGCAGTGTTTGTGTTAGAAAAAAAAAAAAAAGGAACAAGATTTACCTAAGTGCAGCACAATATATATGGCCTCCCCTCCTTTCCTTGCTTTGCCTTCCCCTTCTCGCCTCTCCCATGATTTGCCTGCCCTTTGACTCCAGAAATTTCCAGCCAACACATCTACCGTGGTCTACCCTTCCTACCAAAACACTTTTTTTCTCAAACGTATTCCCCTTTTCTTTCTCTCTCCTATTCCCGCCATTTGCTGTGAGATAAAACATCTACAATGAACGGGTCAAAAGCACACATAAACATTTCAGTCATGGTCCGTAATCCGTAACAAGGCAAAAACGACAAGGAAAGAACATGTCATCGTAGCAAATGGACATCACTAATCGTCCATAGGCCTGTCCTCCAGGGTCACGCCGCGAGGGCTCGACTCCCTCGGCGGCGTGGCGGGGATGCCCGTCGCGAACTTGGCCGCCACTCCTCTACCCAGGCTGTCGCGCTTCTCCAGGACGTGCCCGGCCTCGATCTCCGTCTTGAGCGGAGAGCCGTTGGTGGTGTCCGGGGGGCTGGTGCTGCCGTCCGCCGCGGGAACTTCCAGGCTCGACCGCTTGATGGCGTTCAGGCTGCCGAGGCTGCTCCGGTGGCGGTCCGAGGCCGTCGTCGGGCTGGTTTGGATCGGGAATCGAGTCTCGGGGCCGCCGCTGCTCCGCTCTCGCCGATGGCCTCGGGGACCCGGCGCAGGGCTGGTGGCACGGCTCCGTGGGGCGTGGTGGACCTTCTTCTCGAGCAAGGCCCTGTTCCTCTCCTCCATCAGTGCTTTCCTGTTGCTTTCATCGGTGCTGATCGCTCGAGGACGGCCCGGGGCGGAAATGGAGTGGCTGAGTGTTGACATGCGCTTGAGCTCGCTGAAGATGGCGTCCTTGTGCGCAAAGAGATCGCGAACCAGTCGGCTGGCGTGCTTCTCCTCCATCGTGAGAGAAGTCTCCACTCGTGGGCGCAGAATGCAAGGCGCCAAATTAGAGGCCAAGGCTGCAACGTATTCTTCATCGGCCGAAGTCAGGTCGATGAGGCGCGTGAAATGGTTCATGCACGCATCCAATGTGGCAATGTTAGTCAAACGAAGCTGCGAAAGGGTCTGCTGGAGAACCGCAATTCGAGAAGCCTCTGACGAGTCGGCGGCAGGGGTATTATAGATTGTTCGGACAATTTCGTAAACGTGGGAGGAAACCAGGGAGTCTAGTAAACCAAGATAAAAGGGTCAGTCTTCACAACGCTTCTCAGGTAACAAAGGGATCAGGATTGTGCCGCTGCTTACCGGGAAGTTCGAGGAGATAGAGCTTCAGGAGAGACGCGACGGTGGGGATATCAAACTCATCGAAAACTTCGGGAGCAACCGGCTTGCCGTCATTGACCTTTGAACGGAGCTTGTGCGTTTGGGCAAGGGGCACGTCGAGCAGCCACACTCCCCGCCTTGCCTCGTCGCCTTCCAAGTCAGGGTAGTGGTTGTCCAGATAGGTCAGGATAGTAGTGATGATGATTGGGACACGCTTCTTATCGGCTCTTGCGCGCGCCTCCAGATCAACGCCAAACGTCTGTTCGTCAACCTTGTTGTAGTAGTTCTCGTAGACGACAACCTTTGGAATAAAGCTTCCGGTGCGGTAGTTCTCCAAAAGATATCGCAGATCCCCCCCGGGCTGTACGGTCTCCTGGAAGAGCATCATCTTGTCGACAGTCGACTGCAGGCTGGGGATTATGTTGCCAATGGTTCCCGTGAAGTCGAGGATAACTGTCTTGATCGCCTTCAGCCTGTCGAGCTCGCAGCGCTCGAGGAACTTGAGATGCAGGAAGATGAGCTCCTCCAGTTCACAACGGAGCTCGTCGAGCTTGCGCACACCGGCCTTGTACTTCTCATCGGCCTCCCTTGCCTCGCGCTGCAGCCGCTGGGGAGCGGTCTCGCCAGGATGAGAGTTGCTGAGCACGTTCCAGTTGGACAAGTACTCGCTCACCGTTCCTACCACGGGCGATGAGTCGCCGCCGTCTGAGCCAGTAGTAGGCATAGAAAAGGTCCGGCCGAGAGTCTGCTTCTTCTCGGGGATTCCGGCCAGCTGGAACGCCTTGGGCCTCCACTGGTAGAACATCTTGGAAGAATTGGCAAATGTATTGCCAACATTTCCAATGAGGCGCAGCATGCCATTGGAGATGAGGTCCTGTCCGATCCTCTCAGCATAGCTGACGCTTGTGGTTCCCATGCTTCGCTGGAGATACTCGACAATGTCGGATCCAGAAGAGGTGTTGAGATAGGTTCCGAGGATGGGCACCTTGGTCTCTCCCATCTTGATTGTCGACAGCATCTGGGAGAGAATCTTCTTCATCTGCTCGGGCTGGTAGACATCGTCGCCGATCTCGTACACCTCGTCGTTCTGGGGCTCTTCTTCCTTGTGAGGCTGGACCTTGATCTCGGGAATCGGCGGAGCGTTTGGCTGGTTCTGCTTGGGGCTGGATTCGGGGTCCTGAAAGGCGAGCTTGTTCTCTTCTTCCAGATCTTCCACCAGCCGGCACTTGTTGAAGTAGTTTGAGCGTAGCTTCTTGACCGCCTCAGCTTGCTTATCGTGCGCCTTGATTCTCAGCTGGAGAACGTCTTGGGAGTCCTGGATGCGAGTCTCGTGAGCATCGCACCATCGAGAAAAGGGGTTGACCACCAGGTCGCGGATGTTCTTGGCGATTCGGATGTGGGCTTGCGAAGCCTCCTGCATCTCGGCTCGCATTCCATCGTAGGCCTACAGAGAAATTCGAGAGTCAGCAACTTGACGGCCTGCCGTGGCCCGCGCATCGATGCGAATCGCAGCAGCGCAGCTTGTATTCGGCTTGCTTGACTGACCTTGCGAACGGTGGCGCCATCGTCACGACCGAAGCCGCCCGACAGCTTGTCTGCGGCGGGCGCAATATCAGCGAGACGCTGGCCATACGCTTCCTCGGCCTCGGCGCGCAGCCGAGCTATGGTCAGCACCTGGCGATTTTCAACAACGCCCTGCTGGAGCTTGCTGAAGAGGACGCCGAGTCCTGACGACGGTTAGAGAAAGGCGCCTGCAAGCAACTGCGCGACGACAAGGACTGAAAGGGGGGGCATACCAGCAGCATAGTCATTCGACCAGAAGGAATCGGCGAAACCAGGCATCGTTGTCTATTCGAGCGCGGAACCGTTGGACTGCAGGATCATGCGATGGAGACGTCGGACGGCCGTGGGGCTTCGGTTCAAAGGGGGGCGGGTTTCCCTCTCTCTCTCTCTCTCTCTCTCGTTCACTCGCCAATAGCGAGTATGGAGCAAAAAGTCTCGCCAGAAGCCCGTCTATCGTAAACAGTCAAGGCTCGTGTACGGTGGGCGGTACTCGCGAAAAGAAGGCGAAAAGAATAGAAAGACGTAATCGAGAATAAGGGGCGGTAGCCAAAGAGACGAGGAGGAGAAAAAAAACAGGTACAAATCAGCGCGCCTGGAGGGTATGAAAGAACTGGAGCGGTCGCTGGTCGAAGCTGCGAATAGAAAAGGCAATGAAGAGGAGAATCAAGAGACGCAAGCCGGCGAGAAGCAGAAGGAGGAGGAGGAGGCTGGAGAAGAGCTTCGCAGAAGGCTCGAGAATAAAGAGAGGAAGTGCGCTGTGATCCGCAGTGGGCAGCTGTGAAGAAGTGCAGGTGAGAGGAGGTTCACATGGATTCCAGGATGGAGGGCAGGCCAGGGTTCTTTGGCGGCGAAACACGAAACAGCTGGGACTCGCTAGCAGCAGCCAGGTACCGGTACGAGGGGTCTCCTGTAACCTGCCTGAGGCTGTACAGCAGCAAGCAGCGTCGTCCAGCCTATTCTTTGCTGGCGCTGACTGTGATGGGGCACGACTCTACCTTGGTTATCCACAAGACGATGCCAGGTACTGCTGCTAGTGGTGGACTTGCGCACGCCGTCCTGGGAGGAGGAGAGTGGCCAACGAGCAGTCGGGATATTAATAGCACGCAGTAGTCTCTATCTACCAGTCATCCATAATCGCACAATGGTTCAATGGTTCGCCCTCTCTCTCGTGTCTTAACACATGTACCTACATAGTACTACTAGGTAGGTTTGAGTTACCAACCATACGAAGACGCTCCTGGTTTCATCAAGCGTGCTGACGCAGTGATTGGCATCTTATGAAGGGGACTCGAGGCCATTTCGGCATCTTTGACAGCCCAGCACGGGCCACGCCCCTCTCCGTATCAGCCGTCTCATCAGATCCGGTCACCGCCACAGCTGAGAATTGACTGCAGCCTCGAGTTCGACTTTGGTTTATACATGTAGGTATTGGCCTTGAAATCTTTCATTAGAATAGCTGAATAGCTACCTTCGTAGGAGATGGTCGGCTTTAGCTTGCAAGCCACGCAAGGTGGACGGACTGTTAGGTGCTGCTATTATTAGGCGCCTTATGAGTGCCTGCGTAAGGTAGGTACAAGTAAGGTAGTCTAAATTAGGAGCGGGTTGAAGACGATTATTGCAGACAAAAAGCCGGTCCAGGAGCTGTCGAGTTGCTTCCCGCTGCTTGTACAGCTTGTACTGTTCTCCAGCTTCTCGCGTGCATGCCATCAGGTGGTGTGCCTTGCCTTCAGCCTCGCATGAGGTGACATGTGCCCGGTATCTCAGACAGGTAGAGGTCACGCACCTATCAAGTAGCCGCATCTTCTTCAGCTGCCATTGCAAGCAAAAGACGAGATGGAAACCCTGATGATCCAGCAAGACCATCCATTGTTGAATTTCCTCCCTTATCTCGAGAATGGCGTCATCACGAAATCGCGGCCAAAATTGCCGAGACCTGCCAATCTACTATTACCTTACTTAACCTGTGGTGTAGAGACATGGTAGTACCAAAGGGTTAGTAATAGACTCGGTATCAACTCGTGTACCTCGTACATACAATCTTGGACATGGGATAGGGCAAGGGATCAACCTCTCCTCCTCTTCTGTCCGAATCCCAAGTCAAGAGCAGCGTCACGCCGCTCAATCTATTCCGATTCAATGACTGCCAAATCACACGCGATCCTGCCCACGGCTGGCGACCCAGACTATCGCCATCTGAGTGCCGCCAACGGTCACGCGCAGCAACCACCACGCAGGCCAAATTTCAGGAAGCTCGCCCTGTGCGTATCGCTGGCCCTCGCCACGGTTGGCCTGCTGTATAAGCCGGCATTCGGTCACTATCAGCGAATCTACCAGCACTCGTGCTCCAAGACGCTGAGTGTCGAGGAGAGGGCTCACAAGATTCTGTCGGCCACTCCTCTGATTGGTAACATAACCATCAACAACCCGCTGGGCTGAAACAGAAACTGACAAGAAACGACTCCTCGCTAGACGGTCACGTCGACTTCCCGCTTGTTATCCGTGGCCCGTACGGGAACCATATCGACGGAGATGACTTCACCGGCCCCTTTGAGAACGGAACGCTCAAGGGCCACGTCGACCTCGCGCGGCTGAGGGCTGGTCGCGCCGGAGGTGCCTTTTGGAGCGTGTTCGCGCCGTGTCCTGCAAACGGCACCGACTTTTCAGACGACAACTATGCTGACAGTGAGTGAGACCCTGACCATTCTTGCCTCGCGTTGTATTGACACTCAGTGTTTTCCTCATCACAACAGGTCTGCAGTTCACGCTGCAGGAGATCGACATCATGAAGAGGCTGTTTGCCGCATATCCGGATGACTTCGCTCATGACATCGACAGCTCCGAGGCCATTGACGCGTTCCGAGCCGGAAAGCTGATAAGCCCTCTGGGTGTTGAAGGCCTCCACCAGATTGCTAACCTGGCTGGCAACCTGCGCATGTTCCGCGACCTCGGCGTGCGGTATGCGACGCTAACTCACAACTGCCACAACAAGTTTGCAGATGCCGCTCTGCTGGAGCACCCCTTTCGAAAAGCAACCCCCGTTTGGGGCGGCATCAGCCCCCTCGGCCGGCAGCTGGTTCACGAGATGAACCGCATCGGCATGATTGTCGACCTTGCTCACGTCAGGTATGTCACTAGTAACTACATGTGTATGTGCGGGCGCAACCATATGCTTACTCTTCTCTTCTTCATCCACTCATAGCGAAGATACAATGATTGATGCCCTCGGCGGGAGAGAGGACTGGGAAGGCTCCAAAGCACCCGTCATCTTCTCCCACAGCTCGGCATACGGCATCTGCCCTCACCCGCGCAATGTCAAGGACAACGTGCTGCAGCTGGTCAAGAAGACCAATTCCCTGGTCATGGTCAACATTGCCCCGCAGTTCATCTCCTGCGTCGACAACGGCGATGACAATGACGTTCCAGGCGTTCCAGACGAAGACCCTGACAATGCAACCCTGGAGAAGGTCGCCGACCATATCACGTACATTGGAAGCCGTATCGGCTACGATCACGTCGGCATCGGCACTGACTTCGATGGCATTGGCTCGGTCCCCAAGGGCCTCGAGGACGTATCCAAGTATCCTGACCTGATTGCCGAGCTCTTGCGACGAGGAGTCAGCGACGCCGACGCCGCGAAAGTGGTGGGTGATAACCTGATCAGGGTCTGGAAGGCGGTGGATGCCGTATCCGCCGAGTTGAAGGCCAACGGCGCGCCCGTCATGGAGGACAAGCTGTAGAGCACCAGAAAGCGCAGACTATTAGTATGTGGCATCTCCATGAGCGGCAGAATATGCAGTATGATGTGTAGTGTTTCCGCGGTATGTCTTGAATTTTTGGCCCCCCTTTCGTTGTCGTATATACAGGTATCATACAAGGCCCAGTACTTGCAGGCCGGTTTTTTTTTTCCCCTCCCTTCTCCTCGACACATTTCCATGCTGTAAATTGCAAAGCGCATTTGCGTTTGTATCCCAAAACTCCGTGCCTCCGCCGTAACATCAGCTTGAATCCAAGACCTACGCCCTGCGATCCACCCTGTTGAGCTTGTTGGCCGTGGCCGTCTGTGTCCTCGTCCGCTGGCCACGGACGGGCAGACCCATGGCATGCCGCCTACCGCGGTACGACCCAATGTCCTTGAGCCTCCGGATGTTCTCCTGCACCTGCCTCCTTGCGTCGGACTCTATGGACATTTGCGATAGTTCGGCCGTGAGCGAAGTGACCGTCTTGGGCGTTAATGAGCCGATCTTGGCGAGGTTGTGAATCGAGTATTTGGCCATGATGCGGGCCGAGGTGGTTGGGCCGAGGGCGTAGAAGGACTCGAGGGCTTTCTATATAAGTTTTCAGGGTCAGACTATGGCCATCAAAGCGCATGGCAGCAGCATTGGTCGGGTCGCGAGTTGATGGGTACCTTGACGAGCTGTCCCTCGTGGAAGCTGACTCCCAAGATGAACACCTGAGGAAGAATGGGTTAGCTCTGCAACGGTTCTTGGGGCAGTGTCGATAATGAGGGCCATGTACCATTTTGTTTGTTTGTGCTAGCAATCAAAGTCAAACTCTATCGTACAGCACCCACGATGCGTCGTCGTCGTCGCCAAATATTCTCTGCTCCCGTATCGATCCGGGGAGTCTTTCTGCAAGGCGTCGTGCCGAAAAGGTTCGCTGCCGGGCGGCTAAAGGGTGGTTAAACTCACCAGGCACATGTACCTGTACTGAATGCCGAGTTGGCCTAAAGTGGCAGTTAAGGCGGCTAGGGGACTTGTGTGGATCTCGACAATGGCGACGCAGCCATTGATTGACCGAAACTCAATGGTTGGAAGCGGGCAGGTGGGAGGTGGGCAAGCGGGGAAGGCGCAGATGCGACGCAGACCACTAAGCAGGGGACGGGCATATGTGTCCATAAATTGTCCTGTTAGTATCGCTCTTATAAGTTCATACCTTACCTATCTACTACTATTACCTACTCCCCAAGCTCCAGCACTCGCCTGGCCACTTCTTTTGCTTCTGGACAGCAAAAACATCCTCCCAGAACAACCGACGCGAAATTCACATCACCATGCTGACCTTCAGGCGGCTCTTCACCACCGCCATCGTCCTGGTGGTGGGCCTGCTCTTCTTCGTCAAGAGCGCCGAGGCGGCCAAGGGCCCCAAGATCACCCACAAGGTCTACTTCGACATTGAGCACGGCGACGAGAAGCTGGGCCGCATCGTCCTGGGCCTGTACGGCAAGACGGTCCCCGAGACGGCCGAGAACTTCCGCGCCCTGGCCACTGGCGAGAAGGGCTTCGGCTACGAGGGCTCTACCTTCCACCGCGTCATCAAGCAGTTTATGATCCAGGGCGGTGACTTTACCAAGGGCGACGGCACCGGTGGCAAGTCGAGTAAGTTTCCCCCCTGTCCGTCAGTCATTCAATTGGGCAAAATCGGTGGTGGTACGGCGTTCTTGTCTGTCACTGCAATCTGGCTAACCTTGCCGGCTCCGTCTAGTCTACGGCAACAAGTTCAAGGACGAGAACTTCAAGCTGAAGCACACCAAGAAGGGTCTGCTGTCCATGGCCAACGCTGGACCTGACACCAACGGCTCCCAGTTCTTCATCACCACTGTTGTTACCTCGTACGATTTTCCCCCCTGCCCTCGAGAATCCTGACAAGAAGTAGAACAGGCCCTCTAACGCAACATGCAACAGATGGCTCGACGGCCGACACGTCGTCTTTGGCGAGGTTCTCGAGGGCTACGACATTGTTGAGAAGATCGAAAACGTCCAGACCGGCCCCGGCGACCGCCCCGTGAAGCCGGTCAAGATCGCCAAGAGCGGCGAACTGGAGGTTCCCCCCGAAGGTATTCACGTCGAGCTCTAAACTGTCTCACTGCCTGCACACACGCACACGCACACAGCGCATGGCCTCTCTCCAACTCTTCCATCCTTGTCACTTGGAATGCTGATGAGTTTGGTCTTTGAATCCAGAGCTCCTCGAGACGGCTGGCTTGGCTGACGCAGCGGGACCCTCGGACGTTGGCGGCGGATCTGGAGCGCTGCGTGTGCTGGCCTTTGGCGCCGTTGCTGCGGGCCTTGTCGGCCTCTATGTGCGAATGAGGAAGTCTGGCAGCGCTGCGCATGAAAAGTCGCTGGCCTGATTGTAGTGAAGAATGCGAAAGATGTTGAATCAAGAGTCCAGTTTTGGATACCAAGATTTGTGATTTGCTGAATGTAGTCTTGGATCCCTATCAATTGAGCGTGCAGTCTTGTGTTGATGTCTACCTTATGCAGTATAATTCCGTCTGTTGCGCGCTGGTGGAGCGTGTTGAAAGCAGACTCTCTGTGTCACGTGGGTCGTGCAACTTTGGGTGGAAAAATCGGTCTAGAGCTGGGACAAGCAAAAAATGTTGTATTGCGGGCCAGTAATAAATTCTGCCAAGTACCCACGCCGACTTCACTTACAGCCTCGGAAACAACTCTTTAAATAACGAAGAATCAGTGAAACATATAAAGGAACACGAAAAAAAAAAGGGAACAGCCGAGAAGAACAGAAGATGAAGGTCCTCAGCCTCAACTTTCTGACCTGCGCCGTCAAGGCCTGCAAGTCGTCGTCGAGCTCGTATCCGCTGCATCCCCGGGACGCAGAGCTGGTGCAGGACGAGATCGAGGTGAACCCGGACATGCTCATCAATGTGCTGCCGCGGCTGGACTGGGCGGCTCTGCGGACGACTTCTTCAGAGGTATGTTTCCATTTTTTCCCTGGATTATTTTGATTTGTTGAATAGGGTGGTGTTGCGTCTCATGCGGTGGATATCATGTCATGTATATCTCTTGTGATGAGAGAGAGGGGAGGGAGATGAGTCAAAGAAACAAAGAAAGGAACAGAGAGAAGGGAAGGAGTTTGAAATGAAGTTGAAACAAAAGGGGGGGAACACACAGACGAAGCAGAAGAAGAAGGAAGCAGAAGAAGAAGAAGAAGCTAATCCTTGAGGAAAAAACAGCTGGGCTTCCCGCCCCTGCCCGAGCAGCCGCCCACGCAGGAGGAGCTGCAGGCCGACGAGAAGCTGGTGCGCGACCTGCACCACCTGCTGCTGGAGACGCAGATCTCCGAGGGCAAGCTGGTGTGCGCCAACTGCGGGCACGAGTACGCCGTCAAGGAGGGCATTGCGAATTTCCTGCTGCCGAGTCATTTGGTCTGAAAAGGGGTCTGAAAGGTGAGTTCAGGCTTTTTTTCCTTCTTCTTTCATGGGAGTTTAGTTTGGTTTGGCTTGTATTGATATTGACTGATTTTGGCTAGATTACGGGTGGTTTCATGGGGAAAGGGAGGTTATCATTGTTGGGACTCGATGGAATTCTTGGGGTGAAGGGAGTACAGGCGTTTGTTTGGTCAATCAGAAAAAAGTCGTCACGGAGACTGGATATAGAAGAGAGCAAGGAAAGAAACAAGAAGAAAAAGCGACATGTATGATTTAACGCAATCTAATCCTTGACACAACTCTCAAGAAAAAGCAAACAGCAAGACGTAGCCACGTTGGAAACTTTAAAGAGAATTATTGTTACAGCAGACTCAAGCATACCCTCCCCGCTACACAACACTCTTTCCCATCAAAAGCACACAATGCAGATCCAGCAGCTACTGGTTCTTCTTCTGGGCGGCGGGACCCATGTCCTTCTCAAAGGCACCGTACGACACCTCCAGACTCCCGAGTGCTCGGAGTCCAACGCTGAGGATAGAAAGCAAAACAACCGCCGTGATGAGCGCCATGAAAATGCCTACGTCTCACATTAGCCCAGCCCCGTCACAGCCTCATTTTGTAGGCCGGGGGAGTATCATCGCTGCTTACCAGGGGTGAAGAATTGGTACTTTTCGAATATGGGGAGCTTATCCCATTCAGTCTCGTTTTTCGACTGCGGCTTCTGTGTGTTGTCGACATCCCTCTTCAACTCCATGCGGACGGCTTCCTCAAACTCGGCTTCGTAGGTTGGCTCGCCCGCAGTCGAGAAGAAGATGAACGTGTAGCTGTCGCCCGCCGTGGCCTTGTCGAGGCTGTGCGCGAGTATGTCGTCTACCGCTGTATTAGCTAACCGTTCAAGACCAAATCGGTGCACGCTCCCGTAATGACGAACCGTTGGCAGCCCATGCGCCAGCTCTGTCTTCCAAAGACAGGGGAGGCAGCTGGACTTGGTCCACAGTAACCGCCTTGTTCTCCTTGGCGCAGACCGACTTGATGTAGTCCGACAGGTCTGCATCTGCGAGGTCCCCGACGACTTCGGACACAACGGCCTTGCCCTTGATTCGCCCATCGTCGACGGCCTGGCACAGGTGCGGCAGTGCACAGCCATTGGATCTCCGGATGTCCTCCGTGTTCAAGCCAGGCTGGGACACAATGAGGTAGCGATCGGTTGGGCACGTCGACAGGGCGTCTCGGGTAAAGCCCAGTACTGAGGAGCTGGTCTGGATCTGGTCTGCGCTGGGCGCTTTGGCAAAGCTGGGAGGAGTGGTCAGCGCCTCGGCCTCGCATCAGAGAACAAGCATCATCGCAATCGAGAGGTGTCAACCATCAGTGACAAGCTTACGGGGACGTGGACAGCAGGATCCATGGCGACGAATCGTAAAAGGCGTTTGCTGCGCCGGACAGCGCCAAAAGGCTCGCAACCGTCTGGAAATGCATGGCCGCGATTGTTGGTTTGTGATGTCCTGGCCAGCAGACGGTTCTGGGCTGCAGATTATGAGGCCGAGACTTGGGAGAGCTCCGGAGGGTTGCGACAAACGCGTTGCATCATCCGCCCGAGTTATGCATCTACCGATGGTATTGCTTAATCCAAAGGGGCTTGAAGCGGGATCCCTTGCGTCTAAAGCGCTCTAGTACCGATCAGGCAGTGCCTGGAACAGCTAAGCAATCGGTATGATAATTTTCAGATAAGGTAACGCCGGAAATCTTCGAGGTACCAAAGTATTACTTGATCGCAGACAGCAACATTGAAATTTTGCAACCACGACAGGGAACAATTTGGACAAAGTACAGCCAATTCTCGAGCAAAATACCTACCCAAGCAAGCAGAAGAAAGGCATTGATTACAAAAAGAATCATGTTCGTCAAGCCGAGACCCAAAAAGAGCCCCCTGCCGCCACCGAGCAAGAAGCGCAAGTACGGCGTGGAAGAAGTCTCCTTCGACTTTGACGCCCGCCATGAATATCTCACCGGCTTCCACAAGCGGAAACAACAGCGCATCAAGCACGCACAGGAAGAGGCCGCCAAAAGGGCCCGGGAAGAGAGGCTCAGGACTAGGAAACAGGTAAAGAAAAACAACATGACTCCCCCAACCCGGCCCGCTCGTTGTTGGTCTAACGCGCAGCTTCTCGGGGGGCTTCATTAGATTCGAGAGGAGCGCAAGCGAGAAGTCGAGCAGCACGTCGAGCACGTCAACAGGCTTCTTAGAGAATCCGGCGCGATCGAGGTGGACGACACAGAGGAGCAATCAGGCGACGAGGGCGAGGCAAACGACGGAGAGTGGGATGGGTTTCCGGATCGGCCGAACCTTGACATTGTGGATCACGAAGAGGAGTACATAGACGAAGATCGATATACGACAGTCACGGTCGAGTCGGTCTCAATATCACGAGACGGCCTAGAACGCCCGGAGAAGCCCCAGGAGAAGGCCGAGGAAGAGGACCAGAACGGAGAACCGGAGAAGGCGCCCGAGGACAAATCAAAAGCCCCCGCGAGGCCCAAGAAGAAGAAGCAAAAGTTCCGTTACGAATCCAAGATTGAGCGGCAGCTTACGGAGAGGAGGCACAAGGCGAAAAGCAAAGCAAAGAGCAGGGCGCGGAAATCCGAGTGAAGAGCTTTGTTGGAGCATGGGAATAGTTTGGCAGCGTCAGTAGCGGATCTATAGATACCCCTAAAGAGGAACACACAAGGGGACAGACAAAGGGCAAAAGAACAAACAAGACAACACAAAGACAGAAAGGCAGGAAACCTTGACATGGCGACGAAACACGTAATGGTTGTAATGCTGCTGCTGCTGCTAAACATGGCGCTTCCCTGTGACACTTGAATCTTCTCTATCAAACACGGCCCCCGCAACATCCTACATTATTCCTGTCGAGGTGCCTAGGAGGGATGGAGCCGCACAAACGGTTGGTGTTAGGCGACCTCCAAAAAAAAAGTGTGCTGGCCAGCGATCCCCATCTAAATGTTTCCGATCTCGTTCTGGAGCTCCTCCAGCTCCTTCTGCAGGTCGGCGTGCTTCTTTGCCATCTCCTCGTACTTCTGCTCCCACTGGTCGCGTTCATTCTCGAGGGCCTGGACCTTGCGTTCAAAGTGTCCGGCCTTGACGTCAGTCTGTCGGAGCCTGTCATCGACACGTTAGCACAAGACCTTGATGCAGGGGCGGGCATTGATGAGCTATGGGAAAGCAGGCCTGGGTGCAGTGGCACGGCTCGGGCGTCAAAACGTACTTCTCGTTGGCCTCGCGCAGGGTCTTGTCGGCCTCCTCGGCCTCCTCCTCGAGCAGCTGCAGTCGTCGCTGCAGGGTCTCGTTCTGGGTTCCGTGCTCCTGCCCCTCGTCGGCCACCTTCTTGAAGTCCTTGATGGCCGTCTCCAGCTTCTCGACCTCGCCCTCGAGGAGGCCGTTCTTGTGCTGCAGGGAAGTAATCTCCTGCTCCTTGGCAAGGTTCTCCTGCTCGAGCGACTTGACCTTGGCCTGAAGCTCCTCGACCTTGGCGATCGCCTCGTCGGCCTCCAGGCGGAGCGAGTTCATTTTCTAGCTCATGCCGTTAGCCCCGACGTGGTCGCGAGACGCAAGAGCATCATCTGTCTTTCTTCCCGGGGGTTCTTTACCTCCTTGATGCGGTCCATGTTTGCAGCGGCGAGAGAGTCGGGTTGTGTCTTTAGGTGGTTTGTTGTCTGGAGTTGAAGTCGGGAGAGAGAGCTCGAGCGAGGATTCGGAGTTGTAATATGTAAAGGTCGAGTTGTCGAAACGGGCCTGGAAAGGGGGTGGGGTAAAGGAGAGTTGTCTTTGATGCCCCTCTACGGATACCTACAGGTACCTCGACGGTGATAGTAACGCTTGGGTACCTGATCAATACACCTGATGCCTGCTGCCTCCTCTTGTGGCCCGCGCCCCGCAGAGCCTCGGGCAGCCGGTACTGCAATAACACCCACCCGACCTCTGCCAGCCTACAGCAGCGCACTCCGTACGGTGGCAGGTACCTGCCGGGTACTCAGAAAGGCCCAGCCCAGTGCTATTAAGGTGGTAGTGTCAACTACGAGGTACCCCATACTTTACTGTTTCCTCTACCTTACGGCATTTACAAGGAGCAGAGGCAGGAAGGAACATTACTATCCATGCAAGGCGCCCAGTGCTATATCCTTTGGAGAGCATGACACCAAAAGAACTTGCATAAATTCAACGGTGTCTTAGCCGGGGCGAAGCAGGTCAAGTGATGCTGCAAGTGCCGCCAAAATGGGACGATGACGGCCTCAAGGCCACTTGCCGCAAGCAATTGGAAGTGGACGCAATTCAGCGATACCATACTTCAAGCTGTGCATACAACTCCTAAGATAGGTATACCCCGATACAAGCGATTTAAGTGGTTTGCCAAATCAAGTGCCAGGTACTGTATCTTGTGCTACAGAAAAACAAAGGAGATGCACTATGAGTGCAGTGCAGACAAAGGCAGATGAACTGCAATATATCATGCGAGATTTGGTCATTTTTCCTATAATTTCACTGCCACCCTCTGGGGAGTAATAAAAGCCAGACTGACGAAATGCTGCCCTCTTTCGGCCTTTTCCTTTTCCCTGCTTCTTTTCTATTTGCTCGTTTTATTCTGCGCTTATCGATTGGCCCGAACAAGCTTGGATACCCACCCGCAGCACCACTAGCGCCAGAAAGTGTCGTCGCCTAGCACCAATGCGGTATCATTCTGGCAAACTCTCTGCCGTTGTCCTGGGCAACGTCAAGAGCGGCATCTCAATAAACGCGCCAATCCCACCTGCATCCAGGCAAGACCTCTCAACTCTACCTATCAAGCATGCTCCATACCCATCATCAGCGCTATCGAGCAGCGACCCTCACTTTTTGAATTCTCCTACGCAGGCACATATTCTTTCAAACGGTCCAATATCTGACAGAGAGAGCATTAACCCGGTGGACCACTCACCATGCTTGCTGCACATCGCGAGCAAGAGAACCGGGTGCTCAGTCACCAGGCTTCCGCCAAGCCGCAGCCAAAGACGCCAGGCATGCGGTATCCAAAAACGCCAATGAACCTGGGGCGAGGGAACGAGAATGCCCTGGCCGGATTTGCAGCCAAGAATACTATCCAGGGGGGTATCAACCTTGGGGAGAACCAAAAATTCATTTCCAAGAAACCCGTCATTACCCCGGCAGGTGTGTAGCCCTGCTCAGGGCGTTGATCGATATATCTGGGGAGACAATCTAATCAGGGCAAGTAGGGTCTCGGATGCGAGCTCCCCTGGGAAACAAGACCACAAACGCCAAAGCGATAAGCAACCTGGGGCTTGGACTCGGCGGCAAGAGTGCCGTCAGAGAGATCGAGAGAACGCAATCCAGGAACGTCACGGGTCAACGGCGGAAGCAGAAACAGCGGCATAGGAGAGCTGAACTGGCGCCGAGGAGTCTTCTTTTCAAGCTCAAAGATGGCCACGATCGGGATCAGGACGAACCCGAATACGCACCTCCCAACCCCGAGCCTCTACCCTACGAGTCCGATGTCTTTCCGCGCGACGCCCTCACTTTGAAGGGCCTAAAAAAAGAAAACATGCTCAAAGGCTACTATGAGCACTTTTACAACCCTATCAATGACGCCGGTGTGTCGCGCGCGGAGCAGCGGCTCCAGGAGGAAACGAAGGCGGCGCTTCAGAAGGCCATGGAGCATAACGAGCAGGACACCGAAGAGTTTGACTGGAACAGTGCCGATATCTCGGCTGAATTAGAGCGAGACGCACCAGACGAATCAGAAGTACCAGAGCGGACAACTAGGACAAGAGAGAAGCCCGTCTCTGCGAATGAGCGGACGCAGGATTCCTCCTCAACCCAGTCTGCGATGGCAACCAGAGCGTCCAGATCTGGTTCGTCCGGGAAGCCTATGCCCCAAGCGAGGCAAGACGATGTTCCAGGCCGCATCGTCACTCGGTCGTCAAGGCATCGGACTGAGCCGGCGGCTGTGGAACATTCATCACCGTTGGTCCTTCGCAGTCGTAGAGATAGTGTCTCTTCGCAAGTGGCACCGAAAGACGCCGAGGATGATGAGTCTGAGCCAGCTTACATGATGGGCTCGCCCCGTCCCAAGCCATCTGATGATGCGGCATCAGACGACCTAGCTCACCTACAATTCCCCATCGACTCTGATGATGAAGATGCCGGGATCGATCTTTCAGTGCTCCGCACGAGCCGCAGGGACTCGTTTGAGGGGTCGGTGTATGAGTTGAGATTCGACGTTTAGACCCTCCTTGCTTCTGCTGTAACGAAGAGTGGAAATCGGAGGCAGGTCTTATGAGTCTGGAACGGCAAAGTCCTTTGCGGTATAGAACCGACGCGTGCCTTTAGTGTATCATTATTGTTGTCTACGAATAATTTGATTTTGAGCAGTGCGGACATTGATTCGCGAAAGATGACTATGCTTTTCTTCTCGTCGGGTCAGGTCACGCCTTGGTCGTTTGACGGTTGGTGAGTCGCAACGGTCCATTCTTTGAAGGACATAGCGGGAGCTTGTAGGTATATCTGCGCTCATACACTCACGGTACCTGGTAACAACGGACGCACATTCACCTGCTGCATCGCAACAAAGAGCGTGGCGACGCTTGTTGGTCCAAGGCCCTTTGCTCGGACAAGGCCGCAGGCGCAGGCTACGGGAAACGGCGCTTTGTTGCCCAGCTTGTCTATTAGTACCTTAGTTATCTAGAGGGCAACAGAGCCGTTGTGTACTTTCCTACATATATATACATTTGTATACTACCAGGGTCTTGAAGGCTGCCTTGCTTTGTTTGTCTCATTTGTTCTGTTGTTTTCAACACCCATCTGAGACGGCAACTCGCCCTTTGAGGCTCGTGTGAATGGACGCCGCTTCAAGTTTGGTGGGCAATGTGGGATGTGGTTGGTACCTTAGTATTTACCTGTACATGAGGAGTCTTTCACCGAGAGAGCAAGACAAACAAAAGGCCAGCTTGAGTTCGTCCAAACAACACATGCAACTAGTATAAATGGCAAATTCGAATCCCGCGCAAGTTTTGTTTGCATTTGCAGCAAACTCACGTACTTTTGTATATACAATCGAGAATCCGGGGAGATGTACTGCAAGGTACCTGAGTACTTGACTCGGAGGTACAAGGCTTGAAGTACTACTAGCGCGCGGATCATCGTAGCTCCTCGCCCCGCGAAGCCCAGACAACCCACCTTGCTGACTACGCCGAAAACGAGCATCCCCAGTGCAATCCCGTCCCTTTTCAACGCCAGAAACGCTCAACTTCGCTCGTGGCCACGGCATTTCTCTCGCCCCAGCACCAGCTCAGCCTCGGGTCCTCGCACTCGCCAACCATTGCGCCGCGGTCGCGAACGGCCCTCCTCCCCGCAGCCCGGCTTTTCTCAGCGCTTGCCTGCCCTGCGACTCTGCGCACGCTCGCCCATCTGGAGCCTCAATTTTGCAGCGCTCTCTTGCTTCCTCAGGTCGCGTGGGCGCCCTAGCGCGTACCACAGAAGCCCGCCTGCCCAGCCTCGGCGGAAGGGATGCACGGCAAGCCTTACCAGACCCTGAGCGAGGTATCATGAGCACGCCGCGGCTCTCGAGATAGCAGGAGCTCGTCGACACGATGACTCGCCCGCCGCCCGGCGTGAGCTTCGCGCAGTTCTTCCCCAACGCCCCCAAGCTCAAAACAGAGGCCCAGGGACGTGCCGACCGAGACCGGCTGAGGCGGGCGCAGGATCCAACCGTCGCAACGGATGCCGATGCCAATGCGAACGATCCCGCTCGCCGCTGCCAAAACTCTGCCTCTTCCTTGTTCACGTCCTCATCAGCAGCAGCTTCAGATCCCACCCAGCCGCCCGCCGACGACAACGGCTCGTCGCCGGGCGATATGCCGAGCGTGGGCTCAACGAGCTCCCATGCCAGCTCTGCATCGTCCGTCTTCAGCGGCTCTGCCTTGCCAGCTGCGACGGCCACCTCCTCCGGGCCATCCATGAGCGCGACTCCCTTCGCCTCCACAGACTCGCCCTCCTCCCTCCACGCGCCTGCGAAATCAAGCATGCCTACGCCCGCCATCGTCGACCGGGCCCTGGGCCAGCATTCGACAGAGAATGCCGCGTCCGCCGGCCACCCCCCGTCGCAGGACAGGACCCCGTCGTCGACTGAACGCATCCCTGCTCGAGACCCTTTGCCTTCGATCAAAGGCATCAAATGCATCCATGACCCGCTCCTCGATCGACTCCGCAAAAAGGTCGTCAACAAGTCCGCGAAACCAGTCTACAAGGAGTTTGGCTTGGTACGTATACGTATAAACACACACACATATATATGTGATCAACACATTTCCTCTGCTACCAGGGGGGGCGTCATTGTTTTGGAGCGCTGATGGCTAATCGTTGGAACAGGAAGATGACGCCCCCCCTGCGGATCCGCGCCTGGCAAAGGCGGGAGATAGGCTGGGTTATATCAACACCGATTACTACCTGCCCAAGGCTCGTCTGCGCCATGCTCCCGAGAACCTCAAGCCGTATCCCTATGATCCAAAAACGTCCATTGGCCCTGGGCCCCCCACGCAGGTCCTCGTGACCAAGTACAACCCGCTGGTGTCGTTCAACAAGGTGATTGCAATCTTCGCCGCCTTTGGGGAGATTGCAGAGAGCAGCAACAAGATGCACCCTGATACGGGCAGCTATCTCGGCTTTGCAACCATTCGATACCGCGACTCGAAGCGCCCGGACCGTCCGCGGGTGTCCGCCATCGATGCCGCGCGACGCGCCGTTCGCACTCGGGGCATCAAGGTCGACGCCGACATTGTCAAGGTGGAATATGATCCCGAAGGTCGAAAGAGCCGGCGCATGATGGAAGAAGTCCTCAAGAGGGAGAGGGAGAAGCTGGCCAACGAGTCGGCACGGACAAAGGCCCCTCCCACAGGGCCCAGATCCGTCACCGTCCCCGGCTTCTTCAGGCCGCCGCCAACCGCACCCAAGGGCCTCGCGCCTCAAAGACCACATCCGCCAAACGCGATTCACTCTTCGGCGCTGTCGCAGACGCAAGCACAAGCGCCGCCGCCGCCTCCACCACCGGTGGCACACCAATCGCGCCCTCAGGGCACCGTCGAGTCCCAGCTCATCAGCTCTCAATTGACCAATGAGCCGTACATCTTCGTCGGCTGTGAGAGCGTACCACCCCTCCCAAGCATCATACCCCACATGAAGAAGCGACTGAAGAATTATGGATTTGACGACATCCGCCTCGACAAGACTGGGTTCTACATCGTCTTTCGAAACTCGTATACCGGGCGAAGCGAAGCCGAACGATGCTTTCGGGCTGTTAATCACACCGAATTCTTCAACTACAATATGGCTATGCAGCTCTGCCTCCCACGCTCATCCCAAGTCGAGCCGACATCCAAGCGCAGCCCCAGCCCCGAGCGAGCACCCAGGAAAGACTATCGGGCGGAGAAGGCGGAACTGGAGAGGAAGCGCCGCGAAGATGAGGCCGACCTCGAGGAGGAAAAGAGGCAAAGGGCGAAAAACTTTGACCCTGTCATTGAAGCCGTGGAGGTGGTCCGCCGCGAAATGACGGAGCATCTCATCAGGCACATCCACACCCACGTCGCAGTACCCGCGCTGGTCGAGTTTCTCAATCCAGCCAACCATGTCGCCAAGCGACGGAAGCTCAACATTGACCCTGTAGAAACCGAAGAAGACGGCTTCGAAAGCGGTAGTACCAGCCCCAGGCTGGGGACGCCCAACTCCCGAGCAGACCCGATCGAGCGCCGGACCGGCCGTCTAGAGCCCAAGGCTCTTCCGAGGATTCGTAAAAGCAAAACGAAAGGCCTCGCTCCTCGGAGCACCTTTGTCGATCCCTTTGCGCGGAAGCGTGCTTCCGCAACGCGCACGGCATTCCGATCCTTGCATCACCGTCTCAAGAGCCTCGACAGCGATTTCGAGTCCGATGACGAGACCGACGCAAGATTGGCATCCAGAGCTGCTCGCCGGCCGGAGTCGCGTCCTCTTAGCCGCATGAGCACCGATGACGAGGCGTCCAAGGATGATGTTGCCTCGTGGGGTCCGGGCGAAGACGACTCCATGACAGAGGCCAGCCTCGCCATTGACAGCTCGCTAGCAAAGAAACGAAAGCTCGAGGCTTCGATCGAGAAGGCCTTCAAAAGACAGAAGAAGTCCGACGAAGAGCTATTCGGCGTCAAGATTGATCAGATCGATGACGAGTTCAAGGTCGCCGATGAGTCCGACGATGGCGGGATGGAGCTCGACGTGACTGCTGTGGAGCGAGAAGAATCGACCGCCGGCCCCGAAGGACCATTGTTGCAGCCCGAAGACACGTCCAAGTCAAAGCCGGCTAAAGCGAAACGCAAATCTAAGAAGCAGTTGCTCCTGGAACAAGAGGCGTTGAGCAAGCAGTCAGAAGCAGGATCGCAGCTTTCGGAGGCAGACGAGGCGAAACTCACGAGCGAAGCCGTGCCAGAGCCCGAGGTCGTAGTCGACAAATACGACGAAAAGCTCTTCGCGACGAAGCCCATGACGGCGGCGGCAGCACTCCCTGACGGATTCAAGCCCGACATCGCCTCCTTGGCAGCCTTGTCTCTCGGACCCAACGACGTCCCGGATCTCGCTCGCCTGCTCAAGAAGTTTCAGATCGAAGAGATCGGCAACCCAGAGCTGTGGCTGTGGAAGCGCAACCGCGTCCGCGAACTCAACACATCCGACGGTGCTCGTGGCGGCCCGGTTCGCATTGAAGGCTACTACGTGCCCAACGCAAGTGGCTGCGCGCGAACGGAAGGGGCCAAGAAGATACTCAACTCGGAGAAGTCAAAGTATCTGCCGCACCACATCAAGGTCCAGAAGGCCAGAGAGGAGCGGGAGGCCAATTCCAAGAAGACGGGCAAAGATGCTGCGATGGCGGCCAACGAAGCCGCCAGGCTTGCCGCCGAAAAGCTCATCGCCAAGGGCAACTCCCGGGCAAACCGCGCCACCAACCGACGATATGTCGCAGACCTCAACGACCAGAAGAAGACTCTTGGGCAAGACTCGGACGTTTTCAAGTTCAACCAGCTCAAGAAGCGGAAGAAGCCCGTCAAGTTTGCTCGCTCGGCCATCCACAACTGGGGCCTGTACGCCATGGAAAACATCAACAAGGATGACATGATCATCGAGTATGTTGGCGAGGAGGTTCGGCAGCAGATTGCCGAGATCCGGGAGAACCGCTACCTCAAGAGCGGCATCGGCAGCAGTTATCTGTTCCGAATTGATGACAACACGGTCATTGATGCTACAAAGAAGGGAGGCATCGCGCGGTTCATCAACCACAGCTGCATGCCCAACTGCACTGCCAAAATCATCAAGGTCGAAGGCAGCAAGCGAATCGTCATTTATGCTCTGCGCGACATTGCTATGAGTAAGTGTGATCTCTAAGATTTATCGTTCTGTCTACAGTTGTGCTGACTTTCACCTCTCCCTTCGCAGACGAGGAATTGACGTATGATTACAAGTTCGAGCGGGAGATTGGCAGCTTGGATCGTATCCCCTGCCTGTGCGGCACAGCCGCTTGCAAGGGGTTCCTCAACTGATACCCACCCCTTCTTCTCTCGGGACACCGTTCTGTCGGCAGTAATAATAACATCAAGACGACTCGCGACGCTGGCCTTGGCTCTGACCTGGCAGTTGGGCTGAGAGCGAATGATTCAACCAAAAATGTCAGGCTCTTGACTGAACGCTCAGTGCGGATGTATTTTGCTTATTGCCATCGTTTCCTCTCTCTCTCTCTCTCTCTCCTTACATGCCGTACTATCGGTCATCACACTTCAACAACCATGTGATATATAATGCAAATTTCAGTAAAGAACTGGGCTTTTTGTTTTTTGCTTTTCCTTTCTTTTTCATGGGAGAGGGGCGTAAAAGGGAGGATGAAAATTACCTTGGATCAACAGCTAATGGTGGCGTTGAAAGGGACTTGCATTTCAAAAGAGGCACTGCACGAAAAGGACAGGGCGCAAAAAAAAATCAACTGAGAGAGAGAACACCGGGTGAAAGGGAGCAACATGTAAGAAAAGGGACAGGGGGGCGCGGGTTCATTATTGCGCTTTGGCCTTTGGCTGGACAAGGGGTTAGCAAAGATCTGTCTAGCCGTCATGGAGTTTTATAATATGGCTTGGGAAAGGACCAAATGTTCTCTTTGCAGACGAGAGAGGTGACTGCTGGGTAGTAGTGGTAGTAGTAGTAGTAGTAGTAGCGAGGCAGTGATGTGTATGGAGGGAGGGTTGATGAGATGATTGAGGTGTTTCCCAGACTTGGCTTCCTTGCTCCGTTCTCTCTTTTCTCTCTCGTATTTTCGCCTCCTCCTTGGCGATGGGGATGTAGCATCGACTCAGAAAAGGAACAAATATCATGATAACTTGAGATTTTCACTTCACTTCTGAGTAATCTGCAAGGAGGTGGGAGCAGTTGGGGTAACACTAGTATTATTATATTCATCGTACGCTGTTGTATTAGATAAACGCAAAACTGCCGACCCAGCGGGAACTCTTTGCGTCAATCTCCCATCTCTAATGATACCCAAATCCCCCTCTCACACTCCCAAGGCCTTTGGAACAACTGTGGCTCCTAGCGAAAAAGAAACCTCATGCCCACTCTCCCCCCTTCCTGAGGGGTTATCATCAATGGCCCTGCTGCATCTGATGAGAATGGCCGTCAGACGGGGCCCGAGGCCCCAGCATCCAGTCCTGCATGGCCAGCCACTCGCTCCAGCTCGCCTCGGCCGTCTGGATCTCCTTCTCGGTGACGGCCTGCAGCGGGCGCAAAAAGGGCACCGTCTGGCCGTCCTCGAGGTCGTAGCTGGCCTTGACCCGCAGCCAGGTCTCGCTCTTGGCCGCGAAGAGGTAGTTCCTCCGCTCGTTGTCGTGGATGGGGCCGACGCCGGCGTCCCAGCCGTCGCCGAAGAAGCCGTGGAGGATGGCGATGGTGTCGAACCCCGTGGCGACGAGGCGGCGGACGTACGGGACCAGGGACACGGAGACGTCGGTGCTGGCGGCGGCGAGGGGCGGGCCCGAGGTTGCAGTGAAGCCTGAGGTTGCTGCTGCGGGATGCCGGGAGGAGGAGGAGGAGGAGCCTTGGTTCTGCTGCTGCTGGAAGGGGAGGCGGATGTTGATGATGGCGGCGACGGCCTGGACCGCGTTTGTGTGCTGGCCGCGTTCGAGGAAGAAGGAGAGGCAGGATCGGTACTTGGGGTACCAATCGAAGAGATCAAACTGGGCCTCTTGAAAGGGCTGGCCAAGGTTGTATGTATGTATGTCATGAGCTTTCGTGTTTCATTGGAATCACAAGAGATGATGGACGGGCGTCCATCAATGGAGTCGAGAGGGAAGAGAATATTGCCCCGAAGCTCAAGAGACTTACATGATGGAATGCCATGGTGTTCCGCGGAGCGTGTATAATAGAGCGATTGTCGGGAATGCAGAAGTCTGTCACTGGCGTCGAACCTATATGGAGTTGGGTCGATTTGCTCTCAAGGACTGGATGGTGCTTCACACGAGGCAGCTGGGATGAAACTCTCTTGACAGAATTGGATGACTGGATCGCACACTCAGCATTTGTAGGCCTCCAAGATGAACGACAAGAAGCCCCGGGGGCTACTGAAGCTCTCTGATCATCGCTCCGAGGCAGATGATTCTGGTTGAGAGAAGGGGGGAGGGGGTCCAACCACGCACCTTTTTGCACTTTGCAATCCAACTGCAGCACGACAACAGCGAGCAAGAGAGCAAACAACAGCAGGAAAAATCACGTCACCAACGATGCCTTCCTGGAGGGGTACGCGAAAAGAAGGCGCAGGCTTTTTTTCTTGGTCCTTCTGTAGACAAAGGGCTGAGCTGAACAGAACTCGTCTTTGTAGAAACGTTTACTGAATTGCTATATGCCCTTTTCCTTCCTCTTCTTCTTCTTGTGATGTGTGAGGATGAGGACGGTTCGAATGGTCTCTTCCCCGAGCTTTATATCGCCCCGGCCACAGGGAGGCTCTGAGCATGGAGTGAGTTTACTAAGTGAGCGAGCGAGCGAGAGCAGGGTCTCCCCCCAGGAGCAACAGATGGTAGTGCATCATGTGCGCAATACAATACCAACACATGTGACGACGAACGTCTTCTGTGTATCACGACGGTGTTAAACAGATGTGGAGCTCGAGGTCGACGCTGAGAGGGAGAAGACGCAGAGAGATGAGGATGCTTGGGAAACTAGCGAAAGAGCGCACATCGCAGGCGTGAACGGAGCTGGAAGTGGAGAGTTGGTCGTCCATTCGGAGGGCAAGCCCGGCAAGGCTCAGAAACAGGGTCAGGGTCAGGCCAGGCAGAGGAAGGTGTCACCACCAGGGCCGGCGAATGACGGAGCCCAGGCGAGCGTCGATAGCATAATTGTACGTGAATAACACACGACCCGGCCTCTGGAGCAGGCAGCGAGCATGGGATCCTACTCGACCTTTTGGTCCGCGAATGTCTCACTCTGCAGGACGCGGAGGGGGGGGGGGGGGCAGAAGAGGGAGCGAGGTCGGGTCGGGAGAGCTGAAGCCGCAGCGCCGCTCATGATAAATCCAAGACATTTCGATGGTGAGGTCTAGTGGCAAATACCACGATCAGCTCGTCGGGCCCATCAGATGTTGGTGGCTTGATCGTTGTTGGCCATCGGTTTTGTTTTATTTGAAATGCCGGTTCTTGGGCAGGACCCCTGTCGTCCGATTAATGAGATGAGCCAAGCAGAGACAGGGGGGCGTGAACCATCCGAGCTGAAAAGACTCCCCACAAGGCCGACGGCGCTGGGGTGCAGAAGAAGAAGGGCGAGCGACATCTGCCGGGACTCTGCCAGATTGCCGGCCATTGTGCTTTTGCGCCTCCATCCCTGCATTTGGCGTCGCTCAGCCCCATCTCGTCAGAGCCAAGTTGATATGTACTGAACTGGAGAGCTTGTGCGACGAGGTCGACTTAGGACCTTGTACGATGAATACCTAAGGTATAGGTGCTGTAAAGCAGGGGGGAAACACAGGTACCAAGAAGAGAGCAAGTTGGTGCTTTTCCGTAAAAGTCGCGATTGTATAGTATTCAATGTCAACGGCCCTCTCATCTACCTATACCGTGAGACTGCTCATGACGACGTTCCCTGCTGGCTCTCGAACCAAGTCTGAAGCTTCTGGAGGGCGCGAGCACGGTGTGATATCTGGTTCTTCTCGGCGGATTCCATCTCGGCGTAGCTGATGTGAAATGGCGTTAGAGCTGTCATGGATGAATGAGAAATCCAAAGCGGCGCGAAACCTACGTCTTCCCTTCATACTCAAACACCGGATCCCATCCTGGCAAATCGCTCTGTTAGCATCCCATGGCCGATGGGGGGTTATGCCTCTCTGCTCACCAAAGTTTGAAGGCCCTCGTGCAGGCACAATCCGGCCCTGGCAGTAACCCACAAGTATTAATATAAGAATGGCGTCTCCTTACTATGTAGGTAGGTAGATATCGCTGCTGAGATGGGCAGTAACTTACGGGGGTCCGTCCTTGAAAGATGATGGGATCATGTCCAGGGCCCGGTGAGTATGCAAACGTGCACACGGCCTCTGCAGATTTATCCTCGTACGCCGCAAGGAGGTTGTTGAGCCCTTGGTGGCCCGTCTTTTCCAGGAACCACTTGCTGTAACCATGTCAGGATCAAACACTGGGTAACTTTGCTTCTGTACTCCAGGCAGGGAAGGCTTTACATATACGGTCCGGGTAGGCCCTGGAGAGCATTGAAGCAGAGAGCTGTGTCCTCGACAAGCACCGGCCCGTTGACCTCCATTCAAGGTTGGCATGTCAGACACAGTCTGTTGTACTAGCAGAGTTGAAGGGCGGATGGCCGTACCAGGTCAGCAGCTCGGCGGCATTTGAAGTTGGCAATCTCTTCAATGGTTCCCTGGATTTCCTCAATGTCCAGCGACTGGCTCTGGACCTCGATCTTGGGCTCCAGGATGGCCTTGACCTCTCTCAGCTTGTTGGCGTTGCCGGTGATGAAATGGATGGGAGACGCCATCTTGGTCTTGTTGCGTGGTGAATGTGAATGCGGCGGTGGCGCTGCTGCAAATGAGCGAGCTCGAGGACTTCCAAGCAGGGCGGAGGAGGATGTTGTAGCTGGAAGAATGACTCTTTTGATGGAATTTCTTAGCATCTTGAGATCGGCCTGTAAGGTACTGTGATACAGCCAAGGTACCGGTACGCAGGTGCTGAATTGGCCCTATCTGGCAAGCAGCAGCAGCCAGTTCAGGTCAGTGGGCACACGACCACGCAACCCACTCTCCAGGTACCGGTACTTTGCACCATAGCTATTCGCACTCCATTAAACCTCAATTCTCAAGGTATTGACGCTGCTTGGCCTCCAACTCCGGTCGTCACTGCGCCAACCACTCGGAACCTCAGCGCAAAGCCAAACCAGGCCAATTCACTGTGCCATCCTGCCAGGCTGGGCTCTTGCTCGGCTCCGGACAGCGATGAAACCGTCCGTTCCCTTCCGCTGAACCAGCCTGGCGGACGGGGGGCGTCTCATCCTTCTTTGTTCTCCTGGTGCGTCCTACATACCCTGTTCGCGGCTTCAACGGGCCCCTTGACGCTTACGAGTACATACCACTGACCACCATCCCAGCTTTGGTCATGTCACTGCGAGCTCGTCCATCACCATCATGACGCCACAGCCTGCCCACGATCCCGACCGACTCCCCAGCAGGCGCACCTCGATTAGCGAACCGGACGAAATCTCGGCAGCATCAGTATCGGCCGCAACGCATGGACCCCGGGCCAACGGGCCGATCGGCCGCCAGCGGACAGGCTCCTCGACGCGATCCAGGCGGCCTTTTCCGGCATCGCTGATTCCCAGCAGGACCAGCCGCCTCGTTGTCAGCAAGGCATGGAAGCGCCTTCTGCCGGGGCGCGGGCTACAGGCCAACAAGGCGGCGGCTGTACGGAGCAGAGCTAAGGAATCGCTTCAGGATGCCTCCACGCGCCATTCGGGCAGTCACCAGGGCACACAGACGCCGTCAAGGCTCGGTGTTTGTCTCCCTCCCTATACCAAAACCACCTTCGCCATGCAGCATCCCAGCGCGTAGCTAACGAGACCGTCGCGAATCAGACATTGGAGCTTGGCAAGTATGCGCACGAGGATGAGATGCCCGCGTGGCTCGTGAGGCTGCTGGAGACGAAGGGCGAGCTCCGTGCTGGTGGTAAGGGCATCTTGAGCAACCTGCTTTTGCGAACCGAACAAATAACAAGCCTCGCAGGCGTCGTACCAGTCCTACAGCAGCTCCTTGAAATGAGTACGCGGACCGAGTACGCCTACCTCTGCCATCCGGGCGTCCAACATGTGGCAAAGCTACGAAGAGAAGGTGATTCTTGATACCTTTCATGTGAACAAGAAGACTGGGTGAAGAAGTGAACAGGCGCTTAATCTTTGATTCTTTCTTCTCGTCTAGGTGCTTTCTGCGGTTATCGCAACATACAAGTTCTCTGCTCACATATTATCGGGACTCGAGCGACTGGGTGGGAGCAACTGGGAAGCGACATACCGAGCGTCTTCCAGATACAGGACATGATTGAGACTGCCTGGGATCGCGGATTCAACGCTCGAGGTCGCGCAGAGACCGGGGGCGTCAAGGGTACGCGAAAATATATAGGAACTCCTGAGGTAGGGGCGCCCTTACTGCAGTTTACCTCCACCAGGACTGTCGGACATTATCGTACTCATCATCTACACACAGGCACAGGCTTTCTTTGCCAGCATGGGGTTTCCGTGAGTACCGGTCAGCTTGCCATGTTGCTACGTTAGTCTCACGACAAGATAGGTGTTCTGTGCAAGCTTTCAAGGCATCCAGTGAAGGCGACGATGACGCCGCGGGCCGCCTATTGCGTGCAGTCGAACGATACTTCCAACAGGGTGCGGTGGATTGCATGGCCCGCAAAGTTCGACATACTCTGCTCCCGCCTATATATCTGCAGCGACCCAGTAGGCAACCGTCTCCATGCAATGTCATACTGGTCGTCATGTTGGCTAACGGGAAATTCCACAAGATCATTCGCTTACGATTGTCGGACTGGAGAAGCAAAAGGGCGGCCATATCCATCTCCTGGTGTTTGACCCCGAGTTTCAGGGCTCCAACACGGTCGTCCGACTGGCTAGCAAGGCGACTCCCCGCAGGCAGTCCAAGATCACAAGGCTTCTAGAGCCATATCGCCGCAGCGCCACCCACCTAGAGCGCTTCAGGCAGTTTGAGGTTCTCTAGTAAGTCGCAGTATCTTCAGTTGTCGCGATGGGTACAGGCTAACATGTGGGCGGCTAGTTTGACGAGAGACAATGGGGCTTGAGCGAGTGTTCAGTTGGGGAGAGCGTTGGAATATAGCAACAAGGACAACTGTGGATCTGGATTAATAGAGGAGTTGTCATAGAGAGCTTTGATAATGAAATTAGAAACTTATAACTGGACTGGAAGCATGCAGCGATAGTAGCAGTACCTAGGCAACGAGGATACGGATCCGCTAGGATGCTCGAGAGCCCTTCCCCTTACGCCTACCTACAGTACTACCTAGGTATTACATAATACACAGAGTATAAGAGCATCCGTACCATCGTTCGTTTCTTGACATCACCAGCCCATCGTCTCAACATCCCTTCATCCAGCTCTCATAACTACTGGTACTCTCTCCAGAGCATGTAGCTGCTGTCTTTTACATGATTTTTCTCTGTCCTCTCTTGAACACTGCCGGGACGTTAACAGAGTCCATCAGATCTACACTTAGAGCTTGAAAAATGACCATGTCTGATCTCCACCACCCTCTCGAGAATCTCATCAACACCTTCAACGAGCTCAACGCTCCCACTGTGGAGGAACTCTTCTCCGAGCCCAGCCCCCTGGAGTTTATGCGCTATGTGGCTCGCAATACGCCATTCGTGATCCGAGGAGGAGCCTCCGGCTGGAAAGCGACCAAGAAATGGGATTCTGCCTATCTCAGGACGGCTCTCGAGGGCCAATCCGTCAATGTCGCGGTCACTCCGTTTGGGTGAGGATGAAGCAAGCAGGCATCAATCTATCTTGACTCTCCTGGTTCCCTTGTCGCCGTTTTGGCTGCTTTCGCCTACACCATGCACTTTGCCTCTGCTCTATATCCTACGTCTAACGGTTTCCGCCAGCAACGCCGACGCCCCGACCTTTTCTCCCCAGCATAACGCAACTGTCATTGCAAAGCCTCACGAAGAGACGCAGCAGTTTGGCGACTTCTTCACATACATCATCCGGCAAGAGACGGACCCGGCGTTCCCACACGACTCCGAAGTGAGATATGCTCAAACCCGTGAGAACGACCCCATGCCGCCCGCCCATTGCCGTTTGCGACAGAGGAAGCCACAACTGCTAACATGGGGAATCTGCATCGAGAAAACGACAATCTCCGGGATGAGTATCTGCCGCTGTATCCCGATGCCCAACGGGACATACCTTTCGCGCGGATAGCCCTGGGCAAAGAGCCGGACGCCATCAACCTCTGGATCGGAAACTCGCGGTCCACGACGGCCATGCACAAGGACAACTTTGAGAACATTTTTGTGCAGATAGTCGGCCGGAAGCACTTTGTCCTTCTTCCGCCACTGCTCCACGCGTGCGTCAACGAGGACCTTGTCTTGCCGGCGACGTACGTCCGACAGGGCGAGGGCTTCACTCTCGCTGTCGACCCAGATTCTCCGCTGGTGCCGCTGGCGACGTGGGACCCTGATGACCCTGAACGAAATGCCACGCCGTTGTCCGCTTTGGCGAGGCCGCTTCGTGTAACGCTGGATCCTGGAGATATGCTCTACCTGCCTGCTATGTGGTGAGTGTATATGCTCTCGAAGCGTGAAGCGTTGAAGAGTTCTCCTGTTTTGTGGCAGACGAGCGGGAAGCCTGTGTTCTACTATGAGCGGTTGAGCTGTTGAGCTGCTGTACTTTTTGCCTGTTCTTGGCGGCTAATGTCTGATCAAAAGGTATCACAAGGTTAAGCAGTCATGCCCCGATGGCGGCGAAGGGTTTGTTCTCGCGATAAACTATTGGTATGTACGCTTCAGGAGACACCCGTTCGTACGAGCCAAGCATCGCTCTCTAAACGCCATTCTATTAGGTATGATATGGACTTCAGCGGGCCTCTCTATCCCATGACTTCGTTTCTTCGCGAACTGGGAACCTTGAAGCCGCGTAAGTCGCCTGCAGCAAAAAACGCCGCATAGGATCCAACCTCCTTCTGCTGGAATGGAGTCAATATATACAAGGCAAATGCGCTTCCCTCTTATTTCTTCCTCTTTGCAATCCTCTTCTGCGCTCGCAGCTCCTTCTTCATCCTGGCATCGACAATCCTGTACCGTCCCTTGACACCCTTTGGCCGGCCCTGGATACCCTTGTTCAAGCCCCTGGCGACGACGAGCTTGGCTGGCTGTCGCGGCTTTTGGCGTTTGGCCTTGCTCATCAGCTTTTGGATGCTGTCTGCCTTCTCCTTTTCCGTCATGCCTTCGTCGGCGGCGAGCATGTCCGACTTCTTCTTCAACTTCTCCAGCCTCTGGGCCGTCTTGAACTTCTTCCGTGCCTTTGCCTCCCGCACCTTCTTGATCGGTCGGGCATTGAAGGCTCTCAGCTTCTCCTTGATCGCAGCGGCGGCCGCCTTGGTTATGGGCTTCTGCGGCTTGTCGTGCTTTGTTTCGTCATCCAGGAACCATTCAGGCAATCCGTCCCTATCGCGGAAGGCGCGTTTGTTGAAGCCATCGTCGATAGCATCGTGGCTTGTCTTCTGCCCCGTAGCGAGCTGGTGTGCAAGCGTCATTGCTTCCGCCGTGACGATATCAATGTCTTTTTTTACTCTCTGGGTTAGTCATGTTCTCCAGCGCGGTTGTGTCATCGTGAGTGGACTTACCAATTCTTCCATCTGATCGTCGCTTCTCCTTATCCTCCCAATCGTCATCATCATCCTCGGCTCTGACGACCTCGAATCCTTTGTCGTCCTCCGAATCAACTTCATCGTCATTTAAAGACAATTTCTGCATCGTCTTTTGTGTAGACTTCTCTTGTGCGCGCGCTTTCGTACCAGATGCAGGAGCTGTCGCCTCCTTCTCCTCCTCCTCGCCACCAAGAAGAGAGCCGCCAGTTATCTCTTTGAAGATATCTTGGCTGAAGAAGGCCGACGCTTTTCTTGACAAGCCGTCCTGGGACTCTCCCGCCTGGCCATCCAGATCTGTCAGGAATCCATTGGCAGGCAGAACGCCTTCTTCGTCATCTTCGTCGTCGGAAGAGTCGTCGTCCTCCTTCAGTTCGCTCGCGTCGCTGTCTGCGTCTTCACCGCCCGAAAGACCCTCCCACTCATCATCCTTGTGCTCCTTCCTTGCCTTTTTCGCACGGTACTTGGTGTCTGCCTCCAGTTTACGTTCCCTGAACTGCTCGTACATGGCATCAAGCTCCGTCTCCAGCAGGTCCTCTTCGCTGTCGCTGTCCGCTGTCTCCGCGGAAGCGTCCAGCGTCTCTTCGGCGGCTTTCGTCTCCGTGTTTGGTACCACGACCATCTTGCCCCGAGAGAAGCGGTTCATGCCATTTGTCTTGTCGATGGGCTTTAGGGAGAACATGGCCCCTTCTCCCAACGGCCCCGATTCTTCCATGCCAATGTCCATCGGCGCCATCATGTTCAGCTGCATCCTGACAATCTCTCGTCGCTTCTGTTCATTTTCCTTACGCTTCTCGCGCTTTCTCTTGGCGTTCTCGTTGTCCTTCATTGCTTGCAGCTCTTCTTGTATCCGCAACTCCTCGTCCATTGGTTCCACTCCGGCCACCTCCTCAGAGACCTCCGCAGCCGCTGCCTTTTTCTGTGATAAGCCGAATATGTCTCGCACTCTCAGCCTCCACTTCAGAAGCAGTTTGAATTCTTTGCGTCCCAGTACTTTCAGGTCGGCGCAGCATTCCCGGATCTCCGCAGTGGTCTCTGGCAGTTTGTCCAGAGCGGCAAGCGCAATGTCTCCGTTGGGTGCCTGGTGAAAGGAAAGCTTGTTGTAGGAGCCGAGGATTGCAATCGGGTCATTGGTCTGAATGAAGTCGCTTGCTGGAATCTCCTTGAACTGTATGTAGTCGCCCTCTTCGTAACCATCACGCTTCCGCTTCTTCACCTCAGGATTGTAGACCTTGGCTTCATTGTTCGGGGTGCCGCCTGCGAGCTCTGCAAAGACTGATCTCGGGTCCAGGAAGCGAGGGTCAATGTGCTTTGGCGCTTTGTATCCTCGGCAAACGACGAAGATTTCGGCTGAGACGTTTCGAGAGGACGGGGGCTTGGTAGCTTCGACCTTGGCGAAGAGCTGGTTCAATACCCACAGCAAGGGGTTGTAATCTTTGGATCTGAAAACCTTGGTCACAAACGTGCCTCCTTCCGCAAGGAACTCTGTCGCGAGCTTCAACGATTGCAGCGCGAGCTCTGCTTGGTTGAAGGAGTCCTGGGCCCACGCAGTACCGACGTTGGGAGCACCATCGTGCAGAACCGTATCCGCCTTCCACGTCTTGAAGTGCTGTCGGATGGTAGCGCGGCACTTGTCTGTTGTGATGTCGCTCTGGAAGGTAATGACCCGAGGGATGGGCTTGATGGGCGCCAAGTCGACTCCAACAATCAGACTGTTGACCGGCATGACCTCCGCGGCAACCTGACACCATGACTAGAAGAGAAATGTTAGCCCTTTTTCTTTCTTTTTCTTCCCACCTGGTCCTCTCCTGTGGGCTCTCGTTTTGCGTTTGCTCTGGCACAACAAGGGAAACAACATAAGGAATCAATGACTTACACCAGGCGCGGCGCAAAGATCCAACAGGACTTTGCTCTTCTCCAGGAAGCCATACTTCTTGTTCAGCTGGATCAGCTTGAAGGCGGCACGGGCACGGTATCCCTTTTCTTTGGCAAGCTTGTACCACTTGTCCAGACGGCCCTTGCCGTGCTTCTTCTGAATCGCCATTGTGCCTGTTGGTGTTGGACAAGGACAAGGACAGACACAGGTGGGCAAGCCAGCAGAGCGTCTCGAGAGCGCTCCAAGTGGGAAGCAATTCCAGAAATTTTGTCGGAAAGTTGCACCGATAGCAGCATCACGTGCCGATAAGAGGAGACTAAGAAGAGAAGTGGCAACGAGTGGGCCGCTCTGGAGGTCCAGCCAATCGCATGATGATAGTGGACTACTAGTGCTGTTTACCTAAGCACCCGAGCTAAGGCCATCCCGGTAAGGTATGAAAGTGCTAGCTTGGGTGCCGACCCGATCGTGGGATCAAGTGCCAAATGCCCGCCATGCCCTGCAGGCTTCTTCTCTCCCCCTCCAAACTCGCCAACCTCATCAGCCTGCCTTGACTCGGAGCCCGTCAGGCCTTATGGTCGTCAACAGAGCAGCTGCGCTGACTGGAAGAGCCCGCCCACGATGAGCGGCAGGTTCCTCGCAGCGAGTCTGCGGCCTTTGGCGGCGAGAAACACCTCGGCCGCCTCCCACTCGAGCGTCCGTCACTTACACCGATTCCCAACCGGCGGCCTGCTGCGGGCAGATGCCTCGATACGCGAGACCCGGAGACGCATGTGGTTTGGCGGCAACGCCTTCCACAACCAGGTCATCACGCGGAATGCTTCCTTCGTCCGCTTCCTGCCCAAGCTGGTGCTCAAGTTCGCCAGGATCCCCGCCATGTTCGGCGGCCTGGCCATTGGCGCCTTTGCTTGGGTCCAGTATCAAGCTACACGTATGTTGTCCCTCTGATAGGTACTTGTCGACGGCGTTTTGCTCACCGGTTTGCTTAGAGGCTGGCACCTATGCCATTTCCGTCTTCAACACAACCCTGGATACAGTGACAGGGACGGCATCTAGTCTGTACGGCACGGCCAAAGACGTCGCGGACCAGACACTCCAAGGCTGGGAAACCACAAAGGAACGGGTCGAGGTTCCCGCATGGCTGAAGAAGGTGCTGGGAATGTCCGAGGGAGGCGGTTCCGGCGGAGAGGGCGGCCCTGATGGCGATCCCAAGCACAGCAAGGTCGGCGCGGCCGCGGCCGTTGGTGCTTCAGCTGCCGCTGTTGGCTACGACAAGTCAGAAGAGGACGATTCGCGCGACTCGCTGCAGGCTTCCAAGGACGATCAGATGATGGTGCTGACGAAGAAGATGATTGAAATTCGAAGCATCCTGCAGAAGGTCGGCCAGTCCAGCTCCCTTACGCTGCCGTCCATTGTCGTCATCGGCTCGCAGTCGTCCGGAAAGAGCTCGGTGCTCGAGGCCATTGTCGGTCACGAGTTTCTGCCAAAGGGCCTCAACATGGTCACCCGGAGGCCGATTGAACTGACTCTGGTCAACACGCCCGACTCGGCCGAAGAGTATGGAGAGTTCCCCGACCTCGGATTGCGAAAAGTCACCGACTTCTCCTCGATCCAGCGAACGTTGACGGAGCTGAACATGGCTGTTTCGGAAGCAGAGTGCGTTTCGCACGACCCTATCCACCTGACGATATACTCGCGCAACGTTCCCGATCTCTCCCTCATTGACCTGCCCGGTTACATCCAGGTTGTGGGCCAAAACCAGCCCTTGCAGCTGAAGCAGAAGATTTCGGAACTCTGTGACAAATACATCCAGCCCCCGAACGTCATCCTTGCCATTTCTGCCGCAGATGTCGACTTGGCCAACTCAGCAGCCCTCAGGGCATCTCGCAGGGTTGATCCCCGGGGCGAGCGAACCATTGGCGTCATCACCAAGCTGGATTTGGTTGATCCTGCCCGTGGAGCTGCCATCCTCAACGACAAACAGTACCCTCTTCGGCTCGGCTACGTTGGAGTCGTGTCCAAAGCCCCGCACTCACAGGGGCTCTTCAAGATGGGCTCTTCCGATCTTCTTGCCACCATTGCCAAGAACGAAAGGTCCTACTTCTCCGCACACCCTCATGAATTCGGACCGGAGGCGGGCGTCAACGTGGGCACCCTAAATCTCCGGAAAACTTTGATGCGTGTTCTGGAACAGACCATGTCCTCCAGCCTGCAAAGCACAAGCGACGCCATCAGACAGGAGTTGGAGGAGGCGACCTACGAGTTCAAGGTTCAGTACAACGACCGCCCGCTCTCTGCGGAGTCTTATCTGGCCGAGAGTCTGGATGCCTTTAAGCATTCCTTCAAACAGTTTACCGAGGAATTCGGGCGTCCAGAGATGCACGAGCTCTTGAAGAGCGAGCTTGATCAGAAAGTGCTGGACTTGTTGGCCGCACGATACTGGAACAAGCCCGTGACGGACCTGACGCCAGCGCCGCAGGATGTCGATAACATCGCCGACCTCCCCAAAGCCGACCCAGACTCTCTCTACTGGCGCCGCCAGCTGGACGCATCGACCTCGGCCCTCACGAAGCTTGGGGTTGGGCGCTTGGCGACCACGGTCATCGCATCGTCTCTGCAGGCCCATGTTGACAAGTTGCTGGCCAACTCGAGCTTTGCGAACCATCCCTTTGCAAAGAAGGCCATAGTCGAAGCCGCTTCCACCATCCTGAATGAGAGGTTCTACAGCACCAGTGACCAGGTCGAAAACTGCATCAAGCCCTTCAAGTTCGATATCGAGGTGGACGAAAGGGAGTGGAGTCAGGGCCGTGAACATGTAGTCACTGTGCTGAAGAAGGAGCTGCAAGATTGCGAGTCTGCGCTCGCCAGCCTGGAGCCCGCTGTCGGTGGACGGAAGAAGTTGAAGGAGGTCATGACCTTTGTAGACAAGGCGCGAAAGGGCGACATCACCGTAGAAGGCGATGGGCGAAGTGGTGCGGGAGGATTCAGCGCCGCGCTTTTGGCCAAAGGTCAGTTTCTGTTCATTCCTACGCGTAATGTGTTTGTGCTTTCCAGGTCTGACGTGAGAATCCAGGGAGAGAGGCTGTCTTCCTTCGAGACAGGGCCGACATTATCAAGATGCGGATGATGGCCGTCAAGGCCAAGCAGTGCAGCAACCCCAAGAACAAGTACTACTGCCCCGAGGTCTTTCTGGACGCCGCAGCCACCAAGTTGGCTTCCACGGCTGTTCTCTTCCTCAACGTGGAACTGCTGTCCGAGTTCTACTACAACTTCCCGCGGGAGCTGGATCTCCGCCTTGGACGGCACCTGTCGGCGGAGGAAGTCGAGAAGTTCGCCAAGGAAGACCCCAAGATCCGGCGGCACCTGGACGTCATTCGGAAGAAGGAGCTCTTGGAATTGGTGCTCGAGAAGATGGACAGCCTCCGGCAACTGGAAGGAAGAGAGAGGGAGCATGGACATGGACCCAATGCGAGAAGAGGGGCCGCTCACCAGGAGCGTGGACGATGGGGACTCTTTTGAGGCCCAGTCCGTCATTACGGATGCCTGGACTGCCGTGCGGGACGACGCTCTGTTGACCACTGGTGTTCCCCTTGCTTGGTTATACGGAGTTTGAATGTGCGGTGACGGTACTTGGTCACTACTACCTACGTTATGATTGCTCTTTACAGCGGCTTCAGGAATCCTCACCAAAGAAAAGGAAAAAAAAACCCAAAAAAAAGAGACTGAACAGGAAAGGAGAAACCGGTGAAAGAGAGGAGAGAGAAAAACCAAATCAATGTATGACACGTCATGACAATCCCCATATTCGGCGCAAAGGATCAATAAAAGGAAAGATATCAAAGGATGTATATGAGAAGACGATACGCAAATAACCATATCTGTATACTCTATTCAACCTGAACATGTGCACTTTATGCGTCGTTCTATGTAAACCATCTTGACTTGAACCAAGACGCCGAGTACAGTAAGGGAGCCTATAAGCACACGTTAAAGAAAAAACCATGAGCCCGGCGGTCTTTTCAAGTGCCGGCATCAACGGTCGTTTCCAGAGTCACCTCCCACCTTACGTTTCCCCCGTTGCCGTAGCCTTCTCCTAATCTGTTTTGGATGAGGGCCGAGATGCGATTGCGCAGCTTCACCAGTGCCAGCTCATCGTAGCCATTTGTAATGATGAGCTTCAAGTTGGCCATGCACAGGCCATAGTGGACTTGCCAGAATTGGGCGCCGTCCACACGGGCAATGCCCGATTCGGATTCGATTTCACGCAGGACGGCGGTGACGCCAACGTCGCCCCTGTTCCCGCCGTAGGACATGAGGAGCATGAGTCCTTGGGCAACAGCAACACGCATGCCCAAGCTGAACATAGCGAGGGAGATGACGGCACAGATGAGCCGATCAAGCCAGGCATACAGAGAAATAGACAGCATAGGCAACAGTGAGATCAGGGCGGAGAAGAAGAGGGTGAAGAAGTGGAAAGGGTTGGAGAGGATGCTCGGCAGGGTGGCCAGATACGAGACCCTCATGACCTTGGCGATGCGCGCGTGGTTCTTCAGGCCATAGGCGGACACGAGCGTGCTCGCGATGGCGGCAGCTGACACAACGTCAAGCGAGATTCGCTCGTGGCCGTGGCCATGCTCATGCTCATGGTGGGCTTCGTGGTCGCCGACGGATTCGAGGATATGCTTGAGGTTGTGCGAGAGGAGGTCGAAGCCGCCGAAGAGGAGGAAGATGGACATGGCAAAGCCGGCCAGGATCTCGGCTCGCTCAAGTCCAAACGGGTGCCGGATGCTGCTGCGGCGCCAGACCTCGAAGTTGCCGAGGACGTCGACGACAACGCACACGGCGGCGCTCCCGGCGTCGAAGAAGACGAGGTGGGACAGGGCCATTGCGGCGAGGGAGCCGCCGGAGCGGTAGAAGATGAACATGGCGATGGCGACGTGGCACAGGCCCCAGTAGAGGCGCATGCGCTGGTCTCGCTGCAGGCTTCGCCATGCCTCCTTGATGGTCGGCGTGGGGAGCGAGGCGGGGAGGACGGGCGGCGGTCTGGGAGGCGGCTCCTGGAAGATCTGGTGCTGTGCCGACACGCTACTATGCTTGTACCGATGCCCACGGCGCTGGCCAACGTTCTGCTTTCGCTCCAGACGTCAGCTGTTTGAAGAAGAGGGCGGGGGAGGAGAGACAAGGGTAAGACGGCGGAGCGTCTCGAGCTGGGCTGGTTGGACGAACCGATTTGACAGGAGTGGTTGAGATCACCTGTGTTTGGAAGTTGAAGGGATTCGGAGCATCGGCTGCTGAGCCAGCATTGTGCAGGGACTCGGCCTCTGTGGCCATGGTTGGCGATGCGATGCCTCTCGAGGAGGATGCTGGATAGTTGGTTGGGCGTTGGAAGAAGAAGCGGGAGATGGCGAGACGGGACGGGATGGATTGAGACAGAACTGCTAGTAGTTCGAGTTCCCTGGACTGCGGCACTACTCCTTTGCCATGGTCGCAGAGGCTGAGGCTGAGGCTGCACAATCGCAATCGCAGTCGCAGTCGCAGTCGCAGTCGCAGGCTCTGGGGCGAGTTGGGAGGTGGGAGGAAGCTGTTGTTGGCCAGCAGTCGTGGTAAGGCGATGATGCCTCACGCCAAGGTTTATACTGGTAGTTGTAGCAGCACGAGTGCAGGCACACTCGGTGAGCGCCAGCGGTCCCCTGCAGCTGCGGAGTCCTGCGTTAGTGCATGTACTAGTACTACTACTACTACCTGGAACTTGGGCGCGTCTGGTCTCTGCCTCGGTACCTTGCCTTATGGCTGCCACCATAGAAGAGGTAGGTAGACGTCAGGTATAAAAAGACAAGGAGAAGCGTGCATTGTGGTCATTCAACAGCCGCCGGGAATCAATTCGGCCAATTGATCCCTTTAACCCTTCTGTTGCTTTGGCCACTGGCTAATCGGCGAGGCGGCAGTCTGGCGGGAGTCAATGGCTATCCAGAATCCCCCACAGATGAGTATCGACGGAGTAGAGCAAGGTATATTGAAGAGAATGCAAGATGACTGCTTCCATCACTTGCAAGTAGAGTTCGGGTCAATTTATTATTTCAACTCATATCTTTCTTCGTGTTTCCTCTCCCATATCTAAAAACCCGGTATATCTGTCCATTGGCGGGAGTGCACTCAGCAGCCCCGGTAATACCCAACCAGCCAACGCCACCAGGCGCAGCATCCCTTCAATCATCGTCATCTAACGGGACACCTCGCCCAAACAAAGGCCAACGATAAGAGGCTGGCAGATCTCCGATGGCCAAGGTAAACAGCCCTGGAATGCTTATATACTGGGGCAGTCCAGCTCCGTTGGTCCAGTGGCAGAAGCGAGGCATAAACCTTAGCCAGCTATCTAGCAGTAGTACTGAATAGTGCTACCCTAACCTTTACCTGCCACTGACTGTACAGACAGAACTAGCTCTCGACGCCACAGGTTTGCGCAAAGCTTCACTCACAGAGGGCAGCTTGCAAAGACAAACTACCTGTTACAGGCGGGCAGACAAGAGACACAGGCACAGACGGGGCAAACAGACGGACAATGCCGACATCACATCGCAACCCGTCCCTCCGATGATCTGGTACCTGCTCTATCCGCTGCGAGGGTGAGCAATACCACCCGACATCATATCCCACGCTCTCAATTCTCCGCTGACTTGGCCATCCGCCTGCCCTAGAACAACAGAGGCACCCGTCCTCTCGGCATCTCACCCGCTCCGCAGCGCCCTCACCCGCTTCGGCCGCTATGCCTCCCGCCATGCCATCTCGACGCTCCTCCTCTCCGTCGGCATCGCCTCCCTCCTCATCTACCCGCTGCCCTTCATCTACAGTGATTATGCCATCAACGGAGCCTCGAACGTCCCCCGCCATGTCTGGACCGCCGCCCAGCCGCTCCCGTACGACAGCGCCGCCAGTCCCGACATCGTCATGCGCTCCATCTGGGTGCACTCGAGCTACATGCAGGCCTTGAGCCCCGACGTCCTCCTGTCCGCCCTCGACCTGCAGGACGAGCTGCTCGGCGACACCCGCGACTTTGGCCCCAGCGCATCCTTTGGCCAGCTGCCCCCCGCCGGCTCCGGCTCCGATGCCGACGCCGCCCTGACCCCGGCTCAGCGCGACGCCCTGCACATCGTCAACGGCCTGACCAACCAGTCGTGGATATTCCAGTCGCCGCTGCTGTACTGGAACTGCTCCCGCGACCGCATCCTGGCCGACGACGACGTCCTGGCCACGGTCAACGCCAACAAGAACCAGTCCACGCCCGCCAACATCACCCTGCGCCACTCCATCGTCTTCAGCGGCAAGCGCTTCGAGGACCGCCGCTTGCTGGCCGCCGATGCCCTCGTCATCACCCTGCTGTACCGCCGCGACTCCCCCGTGGGCCGCCGGTGGGAGGCTGTTGCGCCGTCCTTGCCCGCCAAGGTGGGCGACGAGTGGGATATCTATCCCCCGAGCGGCAACGTCTCGGCCAGCCAGCTCTACGAGTTCCATTTCCGGCCCATGTCGGTGCAGGATTCCGTCGTCCTCGCCCTGGCCTATACCCTGGCCCTGGTGTACTTCCTCCAGCAGGTGTCCAAGCTCCGCGCCGTCAAGTCCAAGTTCGGCCTCATCGTCACCGTCGTCACCCAGATCATCATGTCGATTGCGGCCAGCTTCACCATCTGCGCCGTCTTCAACATCGACCTGTCTCGCATTCCGCGGGCCGCATACCCGCTTGTCATACTCTCCATGAGCTTGGAGCATGTTCTCCGGCTGATGGACGCCGTGGTCCGCACGCCCTCGGGAGAGACCCCGAGTACCAGGATCGGCGCCGCCTTTGGAGAGACAGCGCCCACAGCCCTGGTCAGCACCGTCCAGAACGTCGTGATTCTCCTTGGCCTGTCCTATGCCGTCTCTGCGGGTGTGTCCGCGTTCTGCATCTTCGCCGCAATCGCCATTGTGCTCGATTTTTGCTTCTTGTCCAGCTTCTTCATCTCCGTCCTGAGCGTCGATGTGCGGCGGATGGAGCTTGGGGACGCTCTCGCCAGAGAGGCCCTGCGCCGCAAGCGAAAAGCGCGCCGTCCTCGCGAGAACCCCTCGTGGCTAAAGCGTTTGCTCGAAGGCAAAATTGCACTGTCCACCCGGATCGCAGGCTCAACCGTAATGATAGGCTTCGTCATCATCGCGCAGTCTCACTTCTTCGGCGGCGGCGCCATTTCTCAGAAGCTCACTCATCTGTACGGCGGCCAAGACATGGCGCCCAACGTGTCATCCCCCGAGGCATCGCTTCTGGAGGACATTCATCAAGCAAGAACTCCCACGTCTTGGCTGCGGCTGCAGGACCATGATGCCGCTCGTGAAATCATCCGCCTCATCAAGCCTTCGGCCTATAGCTACATAGCTAGAGTCTATGAGCCTTTGGTGTTCGTAAAGAAGGGCTCCAACCGCATGCCGGTGATGAGAGAGCCCGCTCTGTTGCCCGCGGCCTATGATTTCGTGCATCACCGGCTCGGTAGCTTCCTCCTCGCCGACATCGTTGTGGTTGCCTTGCTTCGTCTGCTAATGAGCTTCCTGCTGACAGAGGACGAGGCCAGGGTGGAGGAGCTGCACGACTCGAGTGACCAGTCCAGCCTGTCTGTGAAAACGCTCTCCGGAGGACACACTCTCGACATAGCCATGCTCGCCTCCTCGCCCAGAGGCTACGCTGTATCGGTCGGGCTCGATCGTGTGATTTGGCTGTGGGATCTCAACCATAGGAAGAAAAGCACTACAATCCCCACCTCAGAGAGGGGAGCCATGATCAAGTTCCCTGTCCTTGCAGTGGCCATGGACGAAGATTCGGACTGGCTGGCCATCCTGTCATCCGACACGGTCGTCTTCTGGAACATGGTCACCCATCTCCAGGGCTCGGCCGTGGCTGTAGAAACCCATAACCAGAAGCCGGAGGCCTTCTTTCTGGAGCCGAGCGCAATCGCATCGTCAGATATTCCAAGGGCGGTCATCGTATGGAAGAATGGAACGGCATTGGATGTAGAGCCGACGACGGGAGAAAGCCGCGAGTCCACTATCTGTTCAGGATTGACGTGTGCCCGCCCGCTCTTGAGTAAAGGTGAATCGAGCTTTCCCCCCATTCCGTTTACCAACTATCAGTGTAGCTGACCAGAGGGATACCTGTCCCTCTCTCTACAGTTGGCAAGCATTCGAGGCCGAACATCTCCCTTGTAGCAACATCTCGAAATGGAGACGTGCACATCATGGCAAGGCACGGGCTGCTATGGGAAGAGCAAAAGCTTCTTGCAGGACGGCTCGCACGCGATGAAGTTCACCAAGTGGTGCCCCTCTCGCCTCTCCCCTATTTCCTTGCATCGTCCAGAACGGAAATTCTTCTCATTAGCCTAGACGATGGCACAACCTCGTGGAGCTTCCCTGTAGAGGAGATGCGGCCGCGGTCGCTCGCGTGCGCCTTCACCCGCTACCGATCATCCAACGACTTGCCAATAGGGCTAGTCTCCTTCACTTTTAGCTACCTGGCACTGGACTCGGGCGATTGCATTCTGCACACGTTTACGCCTCCAGAAGACGACGACGCGATTTGTCTACAGAGTGTCGACGACGACAGTCTGGTCAGTGGATGGTGCAGTTGGGAAGACGCCAGGGAAAGGAAGAAGCACATAAGCAACCCTGGCGTCTGGAGGCTCTTGTCTGATGGCAGCGCACTGGGTCTGCGTCGCCGACCCCGTGCCGATCTGAGACGGCATCGCCGACAGGAGGCCGCGTCAGGGGTGCGGAACCGCATGCCCAGCGCAGCAAGTCAAGAGTTGGGGGCCTTCAGCTGTTGGGAGCTGTGGAGAGTAGCGTCCAGCGACTGGGAGGAAGCGGACGAAACCATGTCTCTCTTTCCTGATAACGAAGACGCAGGCCACTTGGTTGTCTGCGACCTGGGCCCCAGCGTGAGGGTCGGGCCGACATCGGTCGCCTTTGCCTATGGCAACGTCATCAAGCTCGCGACGTTGAGCGGGCACAAGCCTTTCGAGGCGGGCGTCCAAGAGGTGAGTCGCGAATCGCCAGTGAATGTGCCAACCAGGCGTCGCAGACTGGGGACCACAGTCAAACCAGTAGCATCAGGCCAGTAGTATCATGACAATTCCTGAAACGGTATTCGGTTGGAAGAGGTGAGGTGTGAACTGAGGTGTCGTGTATATGAAGATGCTACTGCCGTGCGCGCACAAGTCAAGGCGGGAATCTGCCAAGGTAGCTGGAGAAAAGCAAGATAACTCATCTGCACATTAAACTATAGGGATATAAGTTTATATACCAACATTAACTGTAAACATGCCGTGCGCGCGTGTGTAAATAAGATCCGTTGTAAGTGCTAGATACGCTGAGTGTACACCGAGGGAAAGCCGACAGGGAAATATATATGACGGATGGGCGGTTCGTAATAAAGGATCGGCGAGCATCCTGGGTCGCGTCGTTGGGTGAGGGACTCGACACCCAGCCCGCTATCGTGGTCAAATACCTCGTCGCCGCCTATATCGGATTCTCCATGCCGACCGGAGGTGTAGCCCCAGGAGAAGAAGCCGAATGCGATACCTGAGCCTTGCTGTGAAGGGTGTTGTTGGATCCGAGGCCACGTCTCATCATCTTGCCCAAAACGGTGACCAACTCGCAGGCGTCCCGAAACATGTCATCGTCCATGCCTTCTGTAGCTTCGTAGACCTCGTTAATCGTATTCCTTGCCAGCGTGCGGCTGGCATCGGCGTCGTGGACACATTCGTAGAGGAAGGCCGCATACTCCGTCTTGACGGATAAGCGCAACGAGTGGGAGCCCCAGAGGAGTGCATCGGCAAGCTGCGCGGCCTCTTCAAAGTATTGATGTGCCGTGGGAAGGTAGTCTTTGGCAGGCAGCAAGAAGGAAAGCGAGTGCGCGGAGACTGGGGCTTCGAAGCCTGGGGGAGGGCCAACGGGGCCGCCTTCAAGCGAGTGGTGCATTAGATGCTGGTAGTCGTCTGCGCCATACATGTCCTTGCCGCCATCAGCCGGCACGGCATCGGGGTCCCAGCCCGGCATGTTGGATACGCGAGGCTGGTTCCGAAACAGCACAAAGATGTGGTAGAAGCTGGCGCGTAGCTTATAAGCCAGGACTTTCAGCTCGACGCAGTTGGTGACGAAAGGAATGACATATTCTTGAAGCATCTTGAGCCCTTCGCGCGCCAACCACAAGATGCGCATGATGTTTTCGTGAAGCGTAGCATCTGGCTTGCGCTGCTTCTTTACCTCGACGAGCTTGTCTGAGAGCCTGAGGGAGAGTCCAAGAATCTTAAAGAGGGTTGAGGAGAGGATCGCGTTGTCTCCCTCAACCGACCTGGCCATCCGCCCCAGATACTTTTGGTCCACCTCAGAGGACGCCATTGCAAGGCGGATGCTGCCTTGCCCCCCCTATCCCTCTCTTTTAGAGTCAACACCCTGCAGCCGGAGAACGGGAGCTATCACCGGAGGAGAACTGCGAAGCGACGGGGCTGTCTGATGTGGTGATCCAAGTAGGTGTAAATAGATAGCGCCGCGGCGGAAGATGTGAAAAATCCAGTGCTGTGGGAGGCGCTAGGATGCCGTATCTGCAATTTATTGACAAAGAAATATCGATTGATCCAACTGGCAGAAGAATAATGGCAAAGACATGGATTTGATAGAGTGGCTATGTGCAGATGTCGTCAGTAATGATTCAGCATTGCAAGTATATAGGCAAGTAGTAGTAGTAGCAATAGTCGAGAAGAGCGAAAGGGGATTGCGGCCGAGAGACGAAGCTGGCCAAGTCAATCCGCGGGTGATGACACAAAGGGCCATTGTACTCTTGTCCGTAAGTCACGAGATGGCGTGAAAGACGAGCGAGCAGCAGCTGGACCTTGGCTGCACCCAAGCGTCCCAAGGAAGCCTTGCTGCTCGACGCTGGAGGCGCCGTATCGAACATCGTCAAGAGGTCGGGTATGTACTTCTTGAGACACGGCTTGCGGTCACCACAAAGGGACGGAGCGTGTGCACCAGAGTCGACGCCACTGTGATCGGTTGCTCATCCTCCAATCGCCAAATCTCCAATTTTCAATCGCCAATGCTCCGGCTCACCCACGCCTCACCTCGTCCGAGCATCGTGCCATGTTGCGCCGTGTGGGCGCCATGCGTGTGTCGTGCACTGCGAGGCCAAGGGGGGGAGACGGCGGGAATGTGTACTTTGATTTGGTCATGGCAAGCGTCGCACAACCTACCGATTGAAGAAGAGAGGCGCTTGAAGCGTGGCTTGACGGCGCTGCGGCAACGATGTTGGCCCTGATTTGGGTGCTGGAGTTGGGATGTTTGGTCGAGTCCCGTTGGCGACGGCTGCGTTGGCACGAAGCGATGAGGTAGCAGGTACAGACCAGTGACAGGGGCTGCGATTCGCGTATATTGGCGGACTCGCGCGTCTCCGAGTACCTGAGGTAAGTAATGCCTGGGGTACGGAGTACGGAATACGGAGTCAGAGAGGGCTGTACCTGGATGTACATGCATGCATGCATCTGTGTGCTGCTTAATTCCATCCGCGACAGGGGTTACCTGCATACACCTTATTGCCTACATGACGTTGAAGCTTGCCAGGGTCGAGAACTACCTTACGAGGACCTCACGATTGATATCGCTTCGACAGAAGGCAAGCAAGGCATGGCGGGTTATGTACTGACAATTTGAGTACATGTGCACCGAAATGATCCAGAATGAAAGATATGTGTCAAGTAGATATATACGACTTCATCTAGAAGATGGTGCGCCTCGTAGATACATGGCTGATATAGTAAAAGTGTACATGATGAAGGATGTGATATCGATATATCCTGTATCCCCTCCCCTTTCTCAGAGTCCCAGCCCGGCCATGCCCGTTCCTGCTGTCCCGCTGATGAGCTCCTCGAGAAGATTGGCTTGCGGGAGGAGCCATGATAAAAAGCCAGATGTTCCACGGTAATCGTCGGAACAAAGGGCCTGAACGTCGAAAATGATTGCGATAAACTGGTGGTTCGGTCGAGGGTAGATGCTGGCGCCATCCATCTCAGCGCGAGAGTTGCCTCGGCTGCAGACGGGAGCGTCGCCTCGGTGTCTCAAGCATGCTGAAGCTGCTTACATGACGGTGCAGCCAAGGTTGCCGGTGAACTTCTTCTCCGCGGAGGTGGGCTTAGCCATGACGGTGCAGCCAAGGTTGCCGGTGAACTTCTTCTCGCCGTTGTTCTGGGGCTTGGCCATGACGGTGCAGCCGAGGTTACCAGTTTGAGCCATTTTGAAGAGTGAGGGTTGGTGGGTTGGTGTGGTGTGTGTGTGTGGTTTTGAAGAGTTGCTTGGAGGTTGTTGCTTGATGAGATGATTCTCCTTAGCCAGGACGGAGAGGTTGCCTTGCTTTATACCTGAAGCTTCTGGCTTGGCCGTCGTCCCAAGTCGTCCCGACTGCAGTTGGCGGTTGGGCACCGAGCATTGTCCTTGACCATTGTCCCAGCGCATCCGATTGTTCTCATGCGCACATTGCCACGCATCAGATTGTCGGTCCCGTGGACTTCGCGCTTTCGCCTAGGTAGGCGGTAACATGAATGCAGGACTGAGGCTTGGCTCCGGGGCAAATTCCGCTCTTCGACAGCCCGCGCTGGCGGTCTGGATTCTTTCTGCTTTGCAGGATTGATGCATGGGCCATTCCGCAGCCGTTCTGCCCTCTACAGCGTCAGCTTTCAGCCTTGAGTCTTCTTCACGTCGAGTCCCATTGTTCTCAAGAGTGGATACCAGAGCAGCCAGACCGTCCCATATGAATATTATCACCTTCATATTGTTCTTGTCCCTGTTTGAGCCAACAACACCTTTAGCTCCAGCTCCTGACTAATCTCTGCCAACCTTTACCCGCCTCCCCCAGAGCGTGCCAGAATGAAAGTGACAGAGTAGTACTATTGAAGGCAGTCGCCTCAGAGGTCTAGGAGATGCATTGTCATCAGCACATACGTCTATTTTATTATGATTAGAGGTAAAGCTAAAGCCGGTTTGGTGTATAGAATGCCGAAGATTGTCTCTCTCCCCCTTTTCATCCCCTTCGTCTCCTTTTCTTGGCCGCTTCTTCTCATCGTTGCCGCGTCACTACCACCTACCTAGGTACCTTAGGTATTGTTTGAAAAGATAAGGTACCTACCTACCCAGAGGTCCCAAGTAATCTGATCGCTAGCCCTGCTCCTAACACGCTGCCCATCCATCTTAATTCGTGCCACTAACGGCAAGCCTGCACCTCCTGTCAGTACGCGTCGTCTCATGGCTTGTTCAGATTGCGCTTCTTACTTCATCAAGTGATCCATAAAGGTCTGCAAGGATACATCATCCGTGAAGATGGTCTGGGCCGAGGTTGCCCCCACGCCACCATATGGTCCCGTCGTATGGGTGGTTGAGGGATTGAGTTTTGACAGCAAGAATCTGGCCTGGGAGCCCCCGGCATCGCAGATGATGAATCGGGGGAGCGGGAACCGATCCGTGATGAGATCCTAAACAGTCACATTAGTCGTTGCCGCACACGCTTTTCATTCATTCGCCTTTGCGCTTACTCTTGCGTCTTCCTTGGGCTGCTCTAGTAGTGCGGCAAAATTCTCGTAACCTTCTTGTTCGTGGTAGCCCGCCTTTCGCCACTCGGCAATGGTCTCGCCATGGAAGATGAGAATGTGGAAAAAGGTATCCAGCAGGAGGATATGAGTCGGTTGGATGGAAGCTGAGTCAAGCAGCACCGGCTGACCGCCCTCCTGGTCGAATGTGTACGAGTCCAAGGTCGGCTGAATCATGACGAGGGAGTTGCTGACGTCTTCGTGGTTCAGAACGTGACGATAGAACGCAGTCTCGTCGGGTGAGTTGTTGAAGACCTGCAGAAACTGACTCCGTCGGAGGTGGAACATAAACTGGGGATAGAGCGTAAAGTTCTTCTCCAGGCGGAACGACGTCGGGTCGTCCTTTCGGTAGTCTGCAAATCTGGAGCAGAGCCGGATCAACATCCTGTCCACCCAGCGAAGCACATCTGGGCCGTCGTCGACTTCGGCCTTGAAAACAGCAATCCGCGACATGAGGACGGCCGCTGCTTCCTGGTCAAAGGACTGCGCAATGGCTGGATCTCCAGCGGGTCCGCTCAGATTCCGGGCAATGGTCGTCACTCGAAGATGGAACTGGCCTGACGAGTGCTGATAATATGTCAAGAACTGCATCATGCCCTTCTGCGGTGCCTGCTGGTGAGTTGCCGGCCCTTGATTGGCAACCTCAAAATAGATACCGTAGCTGGAGTTGGGATCGATGCCACACATCTTCCATGAGCAGGTGTTGCCAATGCCACATTCCGTCTCACCAACAGAGACGGACTTTTTGTTGAGGGATACTGCGTGCCCGATGAGGCCAGTGACCTTGAGCTCCTTGGTCGTCAGCACTTCGAGCACCGCGTTGAAGCCCATGAGAAGATTATCGTCGCCATCCTTTTCAAAGATGCGGACAAACGATTGCTTGAACATTGAAGACGTGAAGCTGTCAGTAAGAATCATATGGCCTCCTGTCGAGTTGCAGAGCCCCTTCATCTCGAGCAGCCCAACCTGGTCGAGGCAGCCTGCGAAAATATCTATGATATGTCCATTGTGAGCAGTGCGCTTGGCAAGGTTATCATAGAACTATGAAAATTGTGTCAGTTCCTCGTGCCGTGTAGCTGTTTACAACAATTGCAAGTTGCTTTACCTTCAGTGCCTTCTTGTAGTACTTGGCATTATCGCGGTCAATGTCATGGTGTGAGCGAATCGGCTCCCTGAGTTCTGGTCCAACCACCATGCCGGGGCCCTCGGTTGCGGGACCGCCCGCGAAGAGCATGATACGGCCACCAGCGTTCTGGAACGTTGATTCCATCAGCCCAATGGCAACACTCAGAGCGACACCCGTGCAACGGAGACTCCTCCGATCGCTGGCAGTTGGCCAGGGGTCTTTTTGCAGCGACTCCAGAACCTTGGTGAGCTGAAATTCGGCTTGCTGAACGGGCAACAGAAACCTTGACGTGGTGCCAGCGTTCATTGGGCGGGCCGCCTGTGGTGGCACCCCAGGTCGGACACCCTGAGAAGTCAGTCCCAGCATATCTTGGACAGTTTTGGCGGAGTAGTCCTTGCTGCCACGGAACACATAAGACTTGGCGCAGCCCTCATAGCCGATTTCATGGACTTGGGCCTGGGATTCATTAGCACTCGTTTGCAGATGGGGCCATGGGGCGAGCGGACCATCGTTCCGTATGTGATGAGGCCAACCAGCGCATTCTCTGGCAGCAGGCTGAGACTCATGACCAGTGACTCCTTGAGCGCAGCCAAGCTATCCTCCTCCTGACACAAATCAACCACGTATAGAAACAGAGGCGGCGCGGGCGCAGGTCTCGACAGCCTGTACTCGATTGTGGTGTTTGCAGGATGCAGTTCCGGCGGGATCGCATTGGCGGTGATGTCTTTGTAGTGCGGCGGCAGCTGGTTTCTTGAGAGGCAGAAGGGGCAGATCCATACACGAGCGCGAACATCCACTTGGCTAACATGGACATCAGTTAGAAACGCTGCGCGGGCAGACTTAGAGACAACTGGCTAGTGGTGAAGGAGTTTACCAGAATGGGTTGAGGACCGATCGACAAGGCTGCTTGCATGTAACGGGCTCGAATTGGAGCAGGGGCGTATCGGGCTTCTCTTTGAGCGGCGTAAACAGAGCGCCTATGGGTACGACTAATCGCGAGGCTTCCTGTTGATCTATGAGCTCGGGGTCAGGGTTATCGCTTGACGAAATCAAGTACCATTCGAGAGCTGGGGAACACGTTCCAGCTGAGGCGGACGCCATCACGGTCCTCGACCTCGCTCCATTGCTCCTTGAGTGCTTCGTAGTCCATTGGCAGTCGAGTCAAATCGTCGAATGCGCTCGGTGGGTTGGATGACGGCTAGGCCACAGGAAAAGAAGAAGAAGAGAAGAGCTCTGTTGACGAAGTCGCAGCAGTTTCTGCGCAGAGGTGAGCTCTTCTGTATGATAAGATGGGAGTGAAGAGATCGCAAACGGCCTTTTCTAGTAGGCTTGCAGGCAATCCGCTTCAGATGTGAACACGTTTTGCAGCACAGAGAGAAGCACGATCCAGATATGAGGACAGCTAACAGTCGGAGCTGGTGAGACTCTTTGGCCAGCGTGGAGCATCAGGGCCCCACCTCGACCGATAACACAATGATAAGGTACTTCTTCTCCGGTACCTGGCACTTGACGTCTTAAGTTGCCTTGTCGCATCTTGTCTGCGTCCGCGGGGCAGGTGCAGTGACATACTTTCCTTCCTGGGTTGTGATTTTTTGTGGACACTTGGAAGGTTGGAACCAGCTTCCTCTTTCAAAGATGCCATCTGTTCCCTCTACAAATATCTAATACCTACCTAGTACCTATAACTATACCTTACCGCGAACAACCTCGGTCAGACATCTTCTCACCTCCTTCGCGCCTCCACTACTTGATCCTCTCGTGACTTCCGTCGAATTGCTGCTTCGCGCCAATCATCATCTCCAGCAAATCACCCATCTGCCCAGCTCACGAACGGCCTTGGGGCCACCAGCCAGCAACATCCGCGACCAATGGCGACGTCAACGGCTTCTCCCTCTCATACCAACACCAAATCCCCCACGATTCGACGCATACGTGAGTTCCCATGCCCCCGATCTCTCAAGACAGGAGGTTACGGAGGCGGAGTCTGGGGTTCAATCATGCTTCGCCCTCACTAACTCGGGCATTTCCCAGTCCGCGAGGCTGCAGAGCTTTCAAATACGCCGTCTCCCGACTACACCGCCGAACCGCTGGAGTCGGATCTCTTCGAATGGCATTTCACCCTTCGAGGACCGCCAAATTCCCCCTATAGCCAGGGGATATACCATGGTCGCATAATCCTACCTCCAGCATATCCGCTTCGACCCCCGAGCTTTCGCTTCTCCACCCCAAATGGCCGCTTCGAGGCCAATCGTGAGATCTGTCTCAGCATCAGTGGCCACCATGAGGAAACATGGCAACCAGCATGGGGCATCCGAACCGCCCTTGTCGCGTAGGAACTCCACGCTCGAATATGCACCCATGTACCTTAACTGAACCTTTCACGCCTACTAACTGACGGTTTTTGTGGCACAGGCTCCGCAGTTTCATGGAAACAGATGTTCTAGGTCAGTTGGGTGGCCTGGAAACCACTGAAGCAGTCCGCCGCCGCCTTGCTCAAGAATCGACGTCCTTCAAATGCGCAGTCTGTGCGAGGACAAATGCAGATATCATTGCCGAATGCGAGGATCGGTGTAAACAAGCTGCTTCCTCAAGTTCAGACATATCAGTTCCCGCTGAGCTGAACATGGCCTGGAGGGATGAGCTTGAGACGACAAGGGACCAAGCATCATCGCCTGGTTCGAACCGGATCCCACCTCGACCCAGTTCCGGGGAGGGAACATCTGACGCAGCTGAGCTCGCAGAGGGTTTTGTACAAACTACTCCCAGCCGTCCAAATGACGTGATAGCACAACCAGCATTGCCGATGCAAGCTCCTGGGACTCGGCGAAGCTCCTCGACTACCCACCAGGTGAGAACGGGAAGCGATGAGGTGCCTTTGTGGATAGATAGGGTCATTGTAGCGTTGGTGATCTTGCTAGCCGCATTGGTTCTGAAAGTGTTGTTAGGTAGATGACAGGCTTTCGGCCTAGATAGGGAGGAGTTGGCATTTTTAACAGGTTGCATACATAGCCAATAATACCCCCCTGATCACGAATGAAGGGCAGGTCCGCCAGGTAACGAAAGGTTATCTAGTCTCACTTACAGAGCACGGCCGGAAGCCAATGCCGTCGACTGCCTGATATAATATTTGCTTTGAGCATCCCCAATCTCTAGCCCTATGGTGCTAAGCTAAAGTTGCCCGGCCCGGGGAGTAGATGAATATACCAGTTAGGGAGGCGGCCTCACAGAGGCCAAAACCTCACATAGTATAGTCCGGTCGCGAAAATATATATTCAAACGCAGCATAAGACGCCTTCTCCCAGTAGGGACCGTCTGGTCGCTCGGAGCTGCTCTTATCGGCTGTATTGCCACGGTACGGCTAGCCACCACCACTCTCCGACAGTTACACATACTCCGCCCATGGCCTCTTCGAAGACGCCGGTTTTCAGGCCCCAGTCGATAATGAGCTCTGCCTCGAACTCGTCCAAGATGGGCCTCAAAGAGTTGCAAACGTCCCTCACAGCCATGGGCCCTTTAGTGGCATAAGTAAAACAAAAGGCTCCTAGAATGTCGGACCACCTTTTGGTATCCTTCTCCCCGAAAAAGTCGATCCACTGAGGAATTTCTCCCTTCGAGGTTGTAGAGGGTAGGCCTTCCTGCACTACAGCTTGCAAAACGGCAATGTCCTCGCTGAATTGGTACTCCTCTGTGGGCACGGCTTGGAGTCGGAAGTGATAGTAAGATTTGGGGTACTTTCGGCTTTCGTAGTTGCCCGGTTCGAATCCTAGGGGAATGTTCGGTATGTCCATGGGGACAATTTTGATTCTTGCAGCAGCATTCAAATTTGTCAAGGCCATCATAGAACCATCATCCAGCGTATATGGAACCTCGAAGGCCTCCCTTTTCCGAAAGACGGCATCCATCTGCATTTTGAACGCTGCTGCTTCTTCATACTTTGAACGTTGCGCTACCCTGTTGAGCGTTGACAGATACCATTCACTTAGCCGGTACGGACGACCCCCAAGCGGCGTCTTCTTGCTCCTGCAGATGACTCTCTCGGCCGTGAGTTGATCAATTGCCTGCTTGAGTAGCAGAGAGCCTTGTCCTGTGCCTTCTTCCCTTGAAAGGGTTAGAAACTTTTCCCGGATTTTCCGCACCGAGTATTTCGCTTCGCCGGTGCAGCAAAGCGACTTGATCCACGACCTCGCGACGTCTGCTTTGCCGAGATTGGTATCGTATTCAGGGTTAACGGGGACTGCTCCGGGTTCTGATGTGACCGCCTCAAACCGGGAAAATATTGACGATTGGGCGTGGAAATATCTCTCACACCAGTCTTGCTCGCCAGACTTGCTGGTTACCAGTGAAAAACGGTGAGCCAGAAGCTCTCTCGTCTCTGGAATTTGATAGCCCTCCTGGCGAGATAATCCTGACGCCCATTTGATAAGCGTCTGCCAATCGTAGTCAGTTGGGTCTTCAAAGTCAATCATGGGCAGTTCCTGGCTTTCAAAGGCCTCAATCAGCCGTTGCTGGACATCTCGCGTGAACTTCTTTATGTACGCGCCCTGTTCCTTGCATGCAATGGCCCAGAATTTACGCAAGCTGGCCAGTCGGGCATTCGGGAAGATGTGAAGTAGAATGCCCCAGTCGATAGCTTTATCAGCGCCTCCCAGCAAGACTCGAACAATGACAAAGGCGGCTAGGAGGTGTTCTTGGCTGACTGGCTGGCCGTCCACTGTCTCTAACGCTTTTGAACTCTCCTTTCGATCCGTACCCTTTTGAGAGATGGACGTAAGTGGGCGGGTTATCAAAGCCACGCGTTTGACCTTCGATTTTGTAGCTTCGCCAACAATCAAAGGGCGCCTTGCATATCCCATGACAGATGTATCCGAGCCGAACTCGGAATCTTCTTCGTCATCACTTGATGTCAAGGCTCCTGGTGTGAACACACTTCTGTCAAATGACAGAGGGGTTAGGTGCTCTTGCTGCCGCCACTCTATACCAAGAGGGGAGCTACTAGTTCCTACTCCGGCCGAAAGATTGACAAATAGGTTATATGGACCAGCAGCCAGAGGCAGCGCGCTGGTGAATTGCTCCGCCCGGTTCAGCTCCAGATCGAGACAGTCGATCAGGCACTTCATAAAGCTGTCATAAGCAGCTTCAGCGCTGACAGCACCGTTTGACCTTCCACTTTCATTTGCGGAAAGTCGTTTGTCAAGGTCTTGTACCATATCAGCCCAAAAGAACCACTTCGGATCCGGCATCCAGCCGCACAGCGTGAAGCTGGCGTTACTGCTCTTCTCCTCAAAAAAGGGCAGCCCGAGGTATGGCCAGCTTCCATGATGGCCTAAAATCCGTCGCACACCATTCGCCATGGCGAATTCTGCTCCTTGAGCGGTTGGTGAACCTTGAAGAGGAGTATTCGTGCGAGTCCATCTGGAAGACGGTGTTGTTCCTAGCGATGCTTCGTGATCGCCAGCACACCAGTCGTCTTCCAGGAAGGAATTTGGAGCCAGGAATTGTATCTTGACTTCGTGAGTGGTGTGAACCTCGTTGTGTTTGTTGCCATTCGGGGGATCCATCCTCTTCCCAGAGAGCCAGCTGTTTGAAGCCCATCTTGCTCGATACTCGTCATTCGAGGGCGCGGATAGAGATGCACAGCTTGGGCTCTTTGTACTGGCCTGAGTAAATTTCCTTCGCTTATTTGGAGTTGTGTCACTCAAAACTCCATGAGGCCTTTTAGATGAAGATTGAGCTGCATAGACCGGAGCGTCCAATTGCGCAACCTCGCCGGCAAGAACTCGACGTCCTCGCCGATTCTCCTTCTTCTCTCCATATTCAACCACATTGTCGAGAGTGTGAAAGGGCGAAGGTATGAAGGGCTGAGGGTGCCGTTGTTTGATTTTGTCGACCACGGCCAATGTTTCCGCAGAGAACGCATCAAGATGTGGCAGCGTGAGGATTTGACATTTGGAGAAGAGGCCGCTCTGATCCTGAAAGCCATGCCAATGCTCCAGTACCGATTTAGCTTTCAGCATTCGACTTAAAGCCCATTGAAAGTCCTTTGTTTTCGGTACTGGCTTGCCAGGATAACGTTGGTTCCAAAGAGTGGTGACAGCGTGCCAAAGGGAATGCCCTCCAGGAAGGACTCCATCTCGCTCCCGAAGCATATCCATGAGCAACGTGGAGATTTGATCGGTGATCCCGATTCGGGGGGCTTTTTTGCTTTGGACTTCCATTCCTCTGTTGCCCAACCCGGAGTCATGGCGTTGCTGGCTGCTTACGGTTCCTGTATCTGTCTTTGTTGTGTGAGACGCCGTCCCGGCTGCCTCATACATGGGCTCGCGATGGTCGTCCCGATCTCCTGAAGTGCTCATATCTTCGAAGGGCAATGGCGGGGTTGGACGTGATTGGATTTCGTCCGGATTGAGAGCGGCGTAAGGATAGGTTTCGAGCTCATTGGCAGGATAGTCCCGATTCTTGAAGTCGAATGTTTGACACGGTTGTCTCATGTCAACCAGTAGAGACCCAACATGCTCGTGGGGAACAGACGATAGCTTCAAGGCCTTTCTATGCTCCGGAGTTGGTTGATTAACGTATGACCGACTCAAAGCATAGCTTTCTTTCTCTTTCACTCTTGGAGTAGTCGGAGATGGCGTGTTCAGCCGATATTTACCACCATTGAATCTGTGTTCCGTTGGCGATGTTTCGGATATTGAAGATTCTTCATCGTCCCGCCCTCTTTCTCTCCTTTCCCTATCCCGCCTGTCTTCAACGGCTTTAGCCATTGTCTTTCGACCTGAGGATCTCGTCCCTAGAGCCGGGGCTGCATGGGCATCATCAGTTGACTTAATTGCGCTGGTTGATCGGAGAGCAGATCTCGCCTCCCGGCGAGACCCGTCAATATTGGCAGGGCTAAAGGATGGGTTACATGAAGTTTGAGACTTCTCCAGGTGATATTTGAGGCCGATATCATTCTTCCAAGTCTTACCACATTGATCGCATTTCCATCCCTTGAGTTTCGTCGCGTCATCGGTGGGAGTCCTAAGCCGCCCCTCATCGCCAAAAGGGTGAGAACCCCGATCTCGCCCACGTCCTCGCCCACGTCCCCGTCCCCGTCCTCGTCCTCGTCCTCGTCCGCGGCCTGCAGAGTGAGTGCTCCCTATGGGCAGATACGAATCAGGTGGCGACGATGCAGTCGCGCCTGGAAGATTGTCGCCTGTATGAATATCTGTAGTCGCTTCTACTAGCTCGGGTTCCATGAGCTGCTTGAGAATATCACGGGGCACCTTTAGCTTAACCATTACTGAATTCGAATGGGGTTGGCCTTCGGTCGTGGACGCAACCTCTGCTTCAGGCGTCTGTTGCATTTCATCGTCTTCATTCCGCTCACTCTGATGCTCTGGCCTGATCTTTCGAGGCCTGCCTCTCTGCTTCCGTTGAGATAATGTAGCTTGGCTAAGATTAGCCAGCTTTGAGCCCCCAGCGGATGCTTCCTGGTCGAAACCATACGGCGGGCGTATACCAGTCGGGTTCTCGTCGTCGGGCAGTTCCATTCCAGCTGGCAAAGCATCCACATGAAGCATCCAGTCCGTAGCCTGTGGAACAGGGGGCAGCGAGTATCTGTACGACGCAACTTTCCCAGCTCTAGAGTGCTCACTGATCACTTGTAGGTGCTGCAGTTGAACAGGCTGGATATTCGGCGTAGAGAGGCATGTTGTCAAAGACGATAGGAAACGTGTGAAAGATACACCTAGCGTAAGCCCATATACGTCGGGATTTGTCAACCCGGTATCACCGCATGCCATGATATTCTTCGTAATGGCAATGGCCAACGGTTGATCAGCTGACCATGCCGGCGCGACGGTCAGGCACTTCGAGGAAGCAATCGGTTCCATAAACGACTCAGTAGCATCGTGACTTTCTTGGTTGTAGGATTCGCCTGTCCTCGCGGGCTTCCCGGCCCGCTTTCCAGTAGCTAGAAATATAGACCAATCCTTCGCAGTGAGATCACGATTGAACTGGACGCAGTCATTGAACACTTTGTTGTTCAGCTTCGCTGCCACGTACCGAATCGCGTCCCGCGCATTCAAGAACCGGCAAACTTTGGAAACTACCTTCATTTGCCATCGCATGCCGAGGACACCCAACTTGGCTTTCAGGTCTTGCATGCGTAGAACACCCCATTCCTTACAGACTGCCATTATAGTGGTTGCGAGAGCCGTATAATCAACAGATTCCCCTGTCCATCTTGTGTGCCAGGGAACAGCGTCAAGGTCGATGGCTAGGACCTGGCGAGAAAGATTCATCTCCGCCTCCGGCTCTGTGGCTGCGCTCCCATCTTTCGGCAGCGGAGGGGCGAAGAGCTTGAGCCACATTTTGCTGGTTTTGGTTCCCCTTACAAGTGTTGTACGCTTGGTAATATAACCTTTCTTGACCAGTGCATCCGTTCGCTTCGGTACTGAACGCTTGTCTTGGTCGACCAGGCGGCCAAGATCACCTTGCAGTATTCCGCGTGCTTTTGTCGAAGCGATGCCAAGAAGTAGAAGCCATTCGGACCGAGGAACGCGCTTGTAATCTACCGCATGTCCAGTGATAGCCTCCCACATCGTCTCCTGGGAGGCGTGAATTCGAATGCCGTGACCATCATGAAGTTTGTCCAGCGCCAGCGCCTCTGGGAATGTTAACCGGTTGTATTGTCGATCAGGCCCAATGGATATATCAGTCCGCCGAGCAAGCCATTTCCAAACTGTGGCGACTGCATGATCCGAGAACGTAAACCTTGGGTTTTCGGGTGTCACATCGTGAGCATTGTGGAAGGCACTGGCAGCACCGTCGGAGAGTTGGAGAGCTAGTTTTGCAGCATCGTTGAATTCGCTGATGGGCAGGCCTGCATTGTGAGCATTAACGACGGTTATGCGATAATCAAGGGCCTTGAATGTGCTGAAACGGAGTTCTTAATGTCTTCCGGCAAACAAATGCTACAGGATGGGAGACATACCTTCTTCACCAGCACATGATATGATAAGCAATACACGAGCGATTAGCCCTTCGAGTTCCAGTGCCATACTAGACTATAACATGAAGATTGACACATTATAGAAGGTCAAGACGAGGTCTGTGAAGAAAGGCGAAACTTTATGATTTGAAGATTTTCGAGATGCTCAGCGGGTTGTTAGTGCTAGATCACAAGCCCCCACCTTCGTCTTAGAAAAGGTACTCGGCAGGTGAAGTAATTGTCTATTAGAGGGAGCTGTAAAGCTCGCCTATAGTATCACCACATACTAGAAGGCTCTAGCTAATTACAGACTAGCTAAAGAGAAGACTATTAAGTAATATTTTTACTATTTATTATTAAACTTTATATATTTAAGTAATTATATATAATATCTTTATATATAAAGATTTATAATTAATTATAATTTTATTTTAATTATTTTTTATTATAATTATAAGTTAAATTAATATATTTATATAATATTTAAAGCTTTTATTATATACTTAATATATAAGAATTTAAAAGAATTTAATAATAATAAAGTAAGTTTCTTTTATATTTACTTAAGTATTTATAATAGATTTATATATTATAAGCTTAAACTTTACTTAAGCTTAAAAATAAACTAAGCTATTTTAATATATATTTTATTACCTTAAATAGCTATAATAAGATAATAGCTTATCTCTTTACTTATTCTCTTATATAAGAAAAAGCCTTAAGTTAAAGTAAAAAACTTATATATTATATATTTACTTTAATAATAGGCTTTACTTATTATATTTTTATTTATTAATAAAAGTACTTTATAAATATAAAAATTATATTTTATAAGTATATATAAAAAATAACTATATATTAATTTATAACTAGGCTAAGTCTTATTATTAATATATTATTTTTATATATAGCTTTCTTAATTAAGTTCTTAAGGTCTTTTTATATTATATATATAAAGGCTTTATTATATTTTTATATTATAATTATATTAAGATTAAAACTAATACTTTTTTATACTTTTTTAAATATAATATTAAAGATAATTTTTATAATTTTTATATAAATTAAATAATTAAAAATATTAATTATAATTAAATTATTCTTTAAGCTAGAATTACTTTAAAAATACTATAATATTTTTATTATAATTAAGTAATAAATACTTTACTTAAGCTAAGCTTAATAATTACTTATTATTATTAAAGCTATACTTTTTTTATATTATTTATAAAATTTTATTATAATTAATATATTATTATAATTAAAAGTAATTAACTTTAAAGAATTTATATTTAATATTATTTTTAATTTTAAAAGTAATTTTAAATTATAAAAAGTAATTTAATATTATTTATAAGATTTTTATTAAAAGTATTTTAAAATAATATTAAAAAGTAAAAAGAATTTAAATTATAAAAAAGTCTTAATAAAGTATAACTTTAATTATATTAATTAAATTATAAGTTTATATTAAATATAAAAGAAATTTTAAATATAAAAATTAAAAATTAATTATATTTATTTTTAAACTTTTTATAAAAGTATAAGTTATTTACTTTTTTATATTTATAAATATATTATAAAGCTATAATTTTTTTAAGCTAAAGCTATAAGCTTTTAATAATAAAATTATATTAAACTTATTTAATATTTATAATTTTTTTATATTAAGGTTTATAATAAATTACTTTTTTTTTAATAATATTTTAATACTTTTATTTATTAATATTATATTTATTTATATAATAATATTATAATTTTTATTTTAAATTATAAATAAATATAGCCTTATTTTATTTACTTATTAATTAGTTTTTATATAAATATCCTTTAATATATATAAAAGGTTTATAATTCTTTTTAATTTTATAAAATATTTTTTCTTATTTTTTAATTATTATTATTTTTATTTTATAATATCTTTTTATAATTATAGATTTTTATTATAACTTTTACTTTATTTAAAAAAAAAGGTTATTTTTTAAAAAAAGACTTTTATATTACTTATTTTTATTATAATAAATAAAAATAAAAATAAAAATCTTATTAAAAGAAGTATATTAATAATATTTAATAAAAAAAAAAGAAAAAAACACTTTATATATTATATATTTTTTAATATTTTTTTTTAATATTTTAATTTTATATTTTTTATTTTTAGCTTTATTATAGCTTTATTATTAATATAAAGATAAATAAGTTTTATATTAATAATATATATAGTATTTAATATAATAATAATTAAGAAATTTATTTACTTTTATTAAAAAATATTAAATATATTCTTTTTCTTTTTTTATATTTTTTTTAACTTATTATTAACTATTTTATTTAAATATATATAATATAATTTTAATAAAAGAGATTATAAATTATATTTTATAATTTTATATACTTTTTATAAATTAGCTATAAGTTTATAAAAAGCTTTACTTTTTAATAACCTAGACTTAATAAATACTTATTTATTTATTATTTTATTTTTATTTTAAATTATTTTTAAACTAATATTATTAAAAATATAAGTAATTTATAAAAAGCACTTAAGTACTTTTTATTTAATTAAAAGCTTATATTAGTTTTTTTATTTTAATAAAATTAATCTTTTTATTAATATTTTATATTTTTAAATTAAGTTAACTTTTAATTTTAAGATTAAATTATTTTCTTTTTTTAAGCTTAAGTTATAACCTTTAACTTAACTAGCTTTTAAAGTTCTTTATATATTTAATTATATTAAATATTAAGTTAAGGCTTATAATTATTAATTTATTATAAATTTAAAAAGAGGTTATAATATACTTATTATAATATATAATTCTTAAATATAATTAAAGCTTAAATTTTTAAAAGTAGTTTATTAGCTTTTTTAATTACTTATAGCTTTATTTTATTTATTTATTAAATTTTTATATTATTTTATTTATTTCTCTTTTTTTAAATAAATATTTATTTTTTATAATAATATTTTAATATATTTATAGTATTTTAATAATATATAAAATATAATTTTATTATTTTAAAAATACTACTTTAATATTAGTAATTTATTATTAAGTAAATATAAAGAAGTATATATAATATTTTAAAAATAAAACTTATAATATATATATATATATATTTTTTCTTTTTTAAAGCTTTTTCTAATAAATATTAGTATTTTTTATAATTACTTTATAAAGTCTTATATTATTATTAATAAACTTATAATATATTATATTTACTTTTAATTTTAATATTAAAAAGGTTTACTTTTTTTTTATTAAGATTATATACTTAATAATTAAGTAATTATAAATTATTAAAGTATTTAGTTTATAAAAGTATATATTAATATTTTAATAAAATAATATTTTATATAAAAGGTGTTTTTTATATATATTATAATATCCTTAGCTATATAATATAATATATTAATATCCTTTTATAATATATTACTTTATAGCTTTTATATTATTATAATAACTTTATTTTAAAATAGTATTAATATATTATAGAAATATATATAATAAGGTATTAAAAGTTATAAATAACTAGCTTTTTATACTAAAACTTATACTTTTTAAACTATAAATTCTAATTAAAATTATATAAAATATATAGCTAAAAATTAAATAAAGTATAAAGATTTATTCTCTTTATATAATATATAACTTTTTAAGTAATTTTATTATTATTTTATTAAGTTATTTTAATTAAGAAGTTATATTAATTTAAAAGAAAACTAATATTAATAATATTTAATTAATTATAAGCTAAAATAAAGTTCTTAAACTATTTTACTTATAAACTTATATATAAATATTATAAATATTAAAGTTAAAATTTATAATTATTTTTATTTATTAAGTTATTTAAGTTATAAAAAATAGCTAAATTTAGCTTTATTTTAAAATAAAAAAAATAAATAAGCTTATTATAAAATAATAAAAAGTTATTAAAGTATAAACTTTTACTTATTTTTAATATAAAAAAAGAAATTTTATTTTATAAAATACTATATAAGCTATTATATTTAAGTTTAAGAAGTATATATTAAAAAAGATAAAAATATTTACTTTATATTAAAATATATATTATATAAGTAGTCTTTATTTATTTTAATTATAAATATACTTATTTTAGCTATTTATTAAATAAATAATATAATAATATTTTTATTATTATTTTTAAGCTAAGTAAATATAAAGAAATTAATATTTTAATTTATAATAATATAATTTAAAATAAGCTTATAGTAAATATATTTAATACTTTTAAAACCTTATTATATATAATATAGTTATTATAATAATAAACTAGTATATAAGTAGTATAATATTATTTTTAATAAATAAGTTAAATTAAGCTAAAAGGCTAATACTTTAGCTATATATAAAATAAGTATAAATATTAATATTATAATAAAAATATTATATTAACTAAGTAAAAAAATAAGTTAAGTATAATATAAATATAAATACTTATTATTATTAATATATTTTAATATAGCTAAAGTCTTTAAATATAATATTATATTATAATATATTATTAATATATATTAATAAGTT